AGAAATAGCCCTAGAATGACCTGGATAAAATAGCCATGAGGGCCAGCTCATAACACCATGAAAGGCATGTGAAGGATCAGGAACATGCCTTACTAGCTCTAACATGAACAAACACGGTCTAAAAAAAAAATGAAGTGGAAACAATAAAGTAGAAACAGAACCTCAACAAACACAGAAATAATCACAGAGCAAACAGAAGGCAAAAAGAACCACGAGAGAGTCTGGGCTTAACTGTGAGTATCTTTCATTCATTTGTTGGGCATCACCCACTATCCAAACTACTCATGATAGACTAAGATGCCTTCATGGAAACACCTCATCAAAAGTATATCAAACCTGGATGAGAATGGCAGCCAGTCCCGCATACAAACCTTTGCTTTTCTGTTTTAAATCTCTGAGCATCATTTAGGAAAAAAAAAAAACACTTTCCTTCCAAAACCAAGTTTGCCTATATGCCTTGTCTAATGCCTCCCCCTAGTGATTGCATATATGATGTACACTAAGAATCCATGGATACCATTAATGTCTTTTATATTTGCAGAACACTGCCCATTCCTCAGAGTGCTTTCACAGGTGTAATCTCTGTGTCCTGACAACGGCCCTGGGAAACCTCCAACCTTGCTTTTGAGTCTATTATTAAAACTGGAGAAAGAGGCTCAGTGTTGTTGGGCTTCCATGCGTGATGGAGTTTCCCCATCATCTCAGTTGCCTTCCTCACATTCAGGACTGCGTGGAAGTGGGTCCTAGCATAGCCCCCACACTTCCATCCTGAGAACCTCCTCTAATAACCAAGGACCAGTGGATAGTTTGGTTCAGTGGATAGTGTTGACCTGCAGGCTGAGGGGTCCCAGGTTCGATTATGGTCAGGGGCACATGCCTGGGTTGCGGGCTTCCTCCGCAGTGGGGGGCATGCAGGAGGCAGCCAATTGTTGATTCTCTGAAATTTGTTTCAATCTCTCTCCCTTTCCCTTCCTCTTTGAAATCAATAAAAATATAAAATTAAATTTAAAAAAACTGGAGAAAAGAAAACAGCCTAGAGGTTTGGAGTTGGATCTGCATTTGCAGTCTGGTGCCTCCAAGAACTCCTTTGTGATTTCCAGCCAGTAAATGTGAACCTCCTCTCCCATGAGTGTGATCATGGTTGAGGCTGCAAGAACTCAGTGAGTAGAAGAGAGTTCTGTAGAAATATGAGGAATATGGCTATTTCTGTTGTTCGCGGCATCTTTGAAGAGTGCTGTCCACTTCCTTAGAAACCCATTTAAGATTTCTGGACCTCCTGGGAGGCATTTCTTCCCTGTATCTAACTGAAATACATATCCCTATAACTGAAAATGTACTTCCTTTTGTTCAGTTTTCGTATCTTCTGGTTAGTGCTCCCAGGCTTATGGCCTGCCGTCCAGTCGCTTCTAAAGAACCTTGGTGTTACCGGAGTCCCATCCTGCCGCCCCTCTGCTCTGGTCTCAAGCCCAGAGCCGTGTGCAAACCCACAGGATGCCCTTCCCTGGGCTCCCTGTTCCTCCCTTTCAGCTCTTTCCACCCCCAAAACCCAGGGAGCTGAGCTTGTCAAGAAGACCACATGCACCCAGGCTCATTCAGAACTTCTCTTCCTCAGAGACTTTATCGCCTAGTGGACAGAGAACCCAGTTGCTTTGAGAAAGGACAGAAAAATCCACAAGGAGCTCTTTAGAACTCTAAATCAAGCTTATCACTGGCAAGCTTATAAAGCATGCATGCACGTGTATATACACACACACACACACACACAGGTTCAGAGCAATTATAGGCTCGTGGAGTTTGCTTGAGGAAGGTGGGAACCTCCTGTAGTCAGTCAGCCACCTAAAATAGCTCCAGCACCTGGCCCCAGCAGATGTCAGGATGAAGAGCAAGCAGCTTGTTCCTGAGCAAACACCTTTGACACGAGTCACCCGGGCCGCCCTCCTAACTAGCATAGGCCTGTCTCCACTTCATGGAGTCAAGAATCAACGGCTCCACCAGGTGCCTTTGGGGTGTTACAAGACCAGCCCTTTGCTGATGGTCTTTTCCTAAACACACCATCCAGGGAAGATCCCATGAGTGGCAGGTGCCCATATACAGTCTGTCCTAGGATGCAGACACCTGGAAAAATCTGTCCCTGCCTCAAACTGTGGGCAACATAGCTTCTGCCAACTGCTGCACACCTACAACCTGCTGGGGGACCACCTGCAGCCGCTCCAGCCTGGTTGCTTACACTGGTCACTGACCTGCGGGAAATTTACTAGTTCTGCCACGCTGAACAAGGTTATAGCCTCCTTCATAGGCATCCCTCACTCCTCCCTTTCGGCTCTCTCCATTCTATTTTGGGGGAGCAACAACTCAGCTCCCAAATACATGGTCATTCTCTGCTCCCTGTAGGTTCTCCCCAATCTGAGTAATCAGGGTTTCCTGCCTCAACTGGCTCCAATAGTGGCAAGGAGAGCCACTGGAGAACTAGGACACACAGCTCCCTCTGAGTTTTGATGCTCCCTTTCTCCCCCAGTGAGTGAACTTTCAGTGGGCAGTTGGAGATGGATGAGGCAAGCAGGCTAGTGTGGCCCTTCATATTCAGAGCAACTAAGAACTGGGAATATTTAACCTAGAGGGAATGACTTGAAGAGCAAAGACTATCTTGGCATATCTGAAAAGTAACCAAATGAGAGTGTGATAAGCTTCCCTTATTTGATACTGGAGTAAGAAAGTAAGAAAAATTGATGCAAGTAACAAGAATAGACTTTTAATAAAATTAAAGAACCATTAACTATTTCAACTGCCCCTAACTGGAACAGGCAATATTAACGACTTCCTGCCACTTCAGAGGCAAAAAGATGAATTTGGGTTGGAATGTTGAGGAAGAGGACACAAATAAGACACCAGACGGAGTCCTGAGTTTCTTACAATTATTTTATTTTTTTTAAAAATTCCAACATAGAGGAAGATTAAGAAAATAATACAATTATACAATTCTTAGGAACCAAACCCCGGAGAGAAGAGTAGCAAGGAAAGGTTGTAAAACAGAAGACGGGTTTCTGTTTCTTTGTTTTCAGGTGGCAAAGACATAAGTAGCTTTACAGCAAAGCAAAGGAAAAGAGAGAGAGAAGATGCTGACACAGCATCTGGCCTTCAGATCAATTCCCCAATGGTTTTCTAAAAGCAGCCAGATAAGGCCTGGGGAATCCCAAACCCCTAGGCAGGCATCCCAGGTCATATACCTTAGAAATATTATCTGATAGGTGTGCTATAAAGTGAAATAGTTGGGAAGCAAAAATCTGCAAGCTATAAAAATAAATTTCACTTTCATTCATTTAAATATTTGAGCACAATTCAATGTCAGGCACTTTCTCCAGGCTGGGGATAAAGCAAAGGACAAAAGAGGCGATTCCTGCCCTCATGGAGCTAACTCTCCATGGTGGGGTCTGGGGACTGACCAAGTATTTATTTGAAAATTATAAATATTATAGGCAAAAACAGGTAAGGGGACAGGGAGGCAGGGGGATACTGGATGATCGAGAAAGATCTGATGAGAAAGGTGACATTTAAACAGATCTCAAGATAGTGAAGGATCAAGTCAAGAACAGTAAGTTTTATACAAGAGAACCAGTGGAGGGCCCCATGGTAGAAGCATGGCAAACCGCAGGGAGGCCAGGCACTTTAATGCTTCAATACTCAGTGGCAGACATTTGTCAGTGGTTTTTTAGCATCTGAAGGGCTGTTTTTCATCAATTATCATTTTTTAAATATGTTTTTATTGATTTCAGAGAGAGGGAGAGGAAGAGACAGAAACATCAATGATGAGAATCATGGATAGACTGCCTCCTGCACATCCCCCCTGACTGGGAATCAAAACACGACCTCCTGATTCATAGATGTAAGTAAACCACTAAACCATACCAGCCAGGCCAACCGATTTTTTTTTTTTTTAAGCTTCTTCAACAACAAAAAAAGATAACACATGGCCTTGGCCAGGTGGCTCAGTTACTTGGAGTGTCATTCCAGATACCAAAGGGTTTTGGGGTTCGATTCCTGGTTGGGACACATACCTTCTAGGTGTGGGTTCAATCCCCAGTCAGGGTGTATTTGGGAGATAAACTATCGATGTTTCTCTTCCTCCCTTCCTCTTTCTCTAAAAAAATCAATGAAAACGTATCTTTGGGTGAGGATTAAAAAAAGATTAGCACGTGAACTATAACATAGTGCCTGGCAAGAAGGAAATTTAAAAAGTTAATTATTATTACTTAATAAAATAGTAATAGTAAAAATAAAGTAGAGCTCTTCAACCTGAAGTGGAGGTGGTAAGCATGAAGCCCTAAATAATTGCTTGTGCTTTCTGTAACCGGCAGCTCTTCTGGATAAGACTTACGTTGCACAGAGTCCCAGAGAACACCAGGGCTCAGCAGAGAGGTGTATGATCAACAATGCCTATCTCATCTTGTCTGAAGGTTGAAATTACTAACTGTGTTGGCCCGTAATGCTAATAAAATCTATTAAAGCTTAATAAAATTAGAACAAGTCTGATAATAAGCATCCCTTTATTAGCTGATGCCATTACAAAAACCGATTACATTAGCAACAAAAAGTGTTTTCTTGAGTGGAAGTCAGAGGCAGTTATTCCCCAAAATGTTAAGTAAAACAGTGCACAACATCAGTATTAAAATGTTAAATTTTACATTGTCTTTACTTTTGATCTTCTGAACAATTTATTGAGCAAAATAAGAAAAAAGATTACATGTTTATTTTATCTTCAGGAATGTAAAGGTCTAATTATTCAAACAGTTTTTATTATAAAACTAAACTCTGAAGGTGTCTACAGAGTTGGCTTTTTTCCCCCCTCTCTTTAAATCAGTAGTCTAACAAGGATTAGAAAAGATGAAACTCTGTTCAGTGTTTCTGACGAAGTAGAAAGGGCGAAAACATAAATAAGGCTTTAATTTGGCAAAATATAATACAATGCCTCCTGTTATTCTTGAGTGAACAGTTTCTCAATTACTTCACTCTGTAAAAGATCAGAAATAAATTCATTTTAAAACAAAGAAACAAAGGCAATCAGAAACTTCTGACAAGCACTAGAAGTACATATTCCATTTGAACTAGCATGGTCCTTTCGACTAGGATCAAAGCAATTAGTATTAATGGTAATCCAAGGGGAAAATTCGGAAAACTTTTACATGGATTTTAAGATATATGAGTCAAAACCTCATACCAAACTTAGAATAATGCAAGGGTGTTAAAAACATTTAAGAAAACAAGACAGAATCCATTTTTGTTAGTTCTACTCAAGAGCCCTCTACAGCTATACCAGTGAGTAAGTAGCCCTGAAAAGAGGGACGGAAATTTACAACTTTCCACTCATGCGTAAATAGGTTCAGAGTCTTTCTGAGGTCATATGAAGCTTTCCAAGTCTGATAAAATAACTAAAGAAATTACCTTCAAAGGACATAACCAAGTACAGCATGTGAATTTTTATAGGATGCTGGTTTGGGAAAAATAAAAGCTATGTGGGGTATAATTGAGGGAATTTAAATATGGGTCTAATACTGGATGATGATATAGAACTACTGTTTTATTCTGGGGATGTGATACTGATGCTGTGGACTTATAAAGGAATGCATTTGTTCTTAGGAGATGCACACTGGACTGCTCAGGGATAAAAAGTCATTATTTTCAATGGTTTGACATTTGAAACAAATAGAGAGAGAGAGAGAGAGAGAGAGAGAGAGAGAGAGAGAGGGTAAGCTACGTGAATGTATTATTCACTCAACACTCCTTTGTGTGAAATTTTTTCAAAATAAAAAGTTGAGGGGGAAAAGAAGCAATTAGAAAGTAAAAGTTATCACTGGCTATCATGTTATCTAAACAAGATTGACAGCTGGTCAAAAAGTACATATATTGCCGGGACCGGTTTGGCTCAGTGGACAGAGCGTCGGCCTGCGGACTGAAGGGTCCCAGGTTCGATTCCGGTCAAGGGCATGTACCTTGGTTGCGGGCACATCCCCAGTGGGGGGTGTGCAAGAGGCAGCTGGTTGATGTTTCTCTCTCATCGAAGTTTCTAACTCTCGGTCACTTCTCAATTCCTCTCTGTGTAAAATCAATAAAAATATTTTTTTAAAAGTACATATATTAAACTATAAAGTGCTATGTAAACACATTACAGAAAATGAAAACCTGATCAAGTGTAAAGTGGAGTAATAAAAGCTAATTTTTATCTGGAACGTCAATATTATACTTCAATAGCTCAATTAATTCTTTCTTCCCCGGAAACATGAGACGGTAGCATCATAAAATAATCTATTTGTCAATGGGAGTAGGGAAAGCACATACATACTTCACCCCAATTTTTCTGGATAACACTGAGAGCCTCTCCCATTCATTATTAATAAATCAAATACATACCAACTTTAGGAAAAAGTCAGAATTAACAAAAGAAACTCTAGAAAGCTGGCAACAAAAGATGAGACAAAATGAGGAGAAAAGGAAGAAGTGACAGAAGGGATGGAAGCACACAGAGCCTGAATCAGGGAGGACAAAAGTACTGATTCAGAGCACAGGCCCTGTGCCCAGACCACTTTGATTTAAAACCCAGCTCAATAGTTACTAGCTGTGTGACCTTCAGAAAGTTACAGAACCAATTCTGGGTCTGTTATATAATGGGAATTAAAAATTAACAATACCTACCTATCCACCATGCTGGGTATTGTGAAGATTGCATGAATGACAATGCCTATGTGCTAGAAGCATGCTCATGCTTGGAGGCACACTCATGAAGCATCAGCTATTAAAGTTATCATCCTCCCTCCACGGGACTCCACAAACTGGTTCCAAAGTCAGGGAAGCTGAATCTTTTGTGTCCATCTAAAAGCCATAGGTTGAGATTCTAACCCCCAATGTAAATGATATTTGGAAGTGGGGTCTTTGGAAGACTCCACTGTCATGAATGGGATCAGTGCCCTTATAAGCAGGACCCAGAGACCTCCCTCACCCTTCTGCCATGTCAGGACGGAAAGGGAAGATGGCCCTCTTTAAACCAGGAAGGTTTCACTAGAAACAGAATCAGCTGGCACCTTGATCTTGGACTCCCAGCCTCCAGAACTGTGAGAAATTGTTGTTTAAGCCATTCAGTCTGTGGAGTTTTGTTATAGTGGTCCAAACAGATCAAAACACTGGGGTAATGAAGTTTTCTGATATAGACAGGTACACACTTAGAACACAAAGGCAGGCAAATAGGAAACATAAAGAAGAGTAGATTATCTGAGAACAAAAAAAGTATATTATAAAATACTAGTAATTAAGATAATTAATTTTTTTTAAAGTAGGGGTCTGATAGTCTTTTGGGGTCTTGCAGGGAGAGAGGAATAGCAGATGGGCAGGAAGACATTCAGAAGAAAAGAAGGTTAAGGTCTTACCAATTAAGAATATAAGTAAATATTCGTACTCCTAACTACTTACTGTATATTAGGATTTAGAACACTAAATTACTATCACCTCTCACTTGTCTTTTAAAAATAGCTTTTCCCTTACTGATAATGTACAGCATTATTTTAAACAAATTCATATATACTAAAAACAATTCTCCTGATATCAGCTTTAATCTATTGCCTACATTCTGATAATTTAAACATTGCGCAAAAACGATGGCTGAAGTTAAAAACCTGAGAGAGACACCAACAGTTAAGGAAGAGCTGAGGGAACCAAGGGATGTGTGGGAGGAGCAGCACTGTCAGTGCTGTCAGGGCTGGTAGAACACACAGAGGAAGGCGGTCCTCAGGGCCCTCCACCTTCACTTCACACCCCCCATCCTATCCCTCTCTGTACCACTGTTCAGCTCCACCCTCCCTTCCACTTGCCAGAGAGGGACTTATGCTCATCAGCTGACAAGAGACTGCTGAGCTATCACTTACGGGAGCTGCCTGCCAAACAGTTCACTTTTAGCTATGTTCCAGAGTACAGATAATTATTTAACAAGGTACTGCAATTTGATAAATCAAGATCAAAACATTTTTAAAAATACAAGTGTTATTGCCAATGATCAGTATAATGTCAAATTTAATATGATTAAGGCAAATGTGGAAAAAGGCCAAGTTAAAGATGGTTCACAAGACTTAATATGAGCAACCCAGGTACGTGGGGGGAAAATAAAATATTCAAGAACACCTTTGAGATGCTGGAGAGGTACTACTGAAGAGGTCTAAAGACAAGGGTAATCGATGATCTCATAACTTTTTAAGCTCTTGGAAGTGAGCCCTTCCCTTATAACACAAAGGCCTATGGACTGACTTCAGCCTATTTAGCATATTTCAGTATCTTCCATGCAAACAAAGGATCTGTATTAGATTCAGCAATTAGGAAATCATTAATGACTTCAGCAAAAAAAAATTTCACCAGAAAGGCAGGAAAAGAAGCTGTTCTAGACTAGATGAACAAGTTAATATCAAGAAGTAGATGTTATGAGAATAGTTTCTTATTTTAAGAATTTTGTTGAACAGTGAAGTAAAAGAAAAAATAGGCTGGTAACCTAAAGGAAGTGCTCAGTTAAAATAAGACATCTGAGCAGGTTTTCAAGACTGAACAGAAGGAGCACATGGAGAGAAAAGAGTAGGGCTTAAGACATGGGAAGCAGGAAGTAAGGGCATTTCCTATTTTTGGAAGGTGGTAATATGACAGAGGTGTGACTCTAGGTAACTGAAAGGTCAACATCCTAAGGCTAAAAGACTACAAAATAATTATTTTGCTGACAGGTTAAAAGAATGAACTGGATTTATTTGGAAAGTCTTCTCAAAGGCAACTGGCCTGAAATAGCATTTTAAAGAAGAGCATATGCTAAGGCAGGCCAGAGGATAATCATTCTATACAAGTGAGACAGGCCCTGGCTAAGTGGCTCCTTTGGTTGGAGCATCATCCCGTACACTGAAAGGTTGGGGTTCAATTCCCAGTCAGGGCACTTACCTAGGTTGTGGGTTTGATCCCTGGCTGGGCTGAGTGTAGGAAGGCAACCAATTGATGTCTCTGTCTCACATCAATGTCTCTCTTGTCTGTCTCTCTCATTTTCCCTTTCTCTTAAAAGTCAACAAGCATGCCCTTGAGTGAGGATTAAGAAAAGAGACAGAATGCTCCTGTAATAAAAATAGCTGTCCAATGGAAGCATGGAATAGAATGCGAATCTCAGAGGGAAGGCGGGGAAGGGTGGGTGTGTGGGAAGTAATCAACCAAAGACCTTATATGCACACATGTATAACCCATGGGCACAGACAACAAGATGGTGATGGCCTGAGATGGAGGGTGTGGTTGGGCTAGAGGGGGTCAATGGGGAGAGAAAGAGGGCATATGCAATACTTTCAACAATAAAGATTAAAAAAAATAAAGTTAAAGCATAGGATATAAAATAAATAAAAATAAAAGTAACCCAGGTCTAAAATAAAAAAATAGCTGTCCATTCCAGCTTTTCCAGGACACCTAACTTACCCTCTGTACAGACTTAGTCTTAAGTAAGGGTTTTAAAAGAGACAGTTCTGTGATGAGTGGCCCCTTTGTGTTGTATAAGCCATTCCACTCATCCCCAAATACCATGATTACTTTAGAACAAACAGCTTTGAAAGAAGAATATCTGAAGTACTTCATGCATATTGTAATATCCTAATTACCCAAGGTTAATATGGCTTAAATCATTCTGAAAACTGGTAAAACCCAGGATTAACCTTATTCAGCAGCTAAAACACAAGTCACTTTTAAAAAATACATATATATTTTAAACTTACTTTTAGTTATAGCTGATACACAACATTATATTAGTTTCAGGTATACAACAGTCATTCCACATTTTAATACCTTGCAAAGTGATCACCATAGTAAGTCAATCAGCCACGTGTCACCAATCATAGTTATCATATTACTGACCATATGCCCTATGCTGCACGTTACATTCCTTCAAGTCTGAGCTTTCCCAGGTAATATAGGCAATAAAATTTCTTAACATGGTTTGGTTAGTGATGGATTTATTTATCTTCAATTATGACCATCACTTCAGAAGTTAAAAAATGGATCTGGTTAGCTTTTTAAGCAAGCAAAGAAACAAAAAATCCAGCATTCAATTTGAAGAAATTGTGATGACCTGATTTTCAGCTCAGAATCTTAACTTGGTAAAAAACATCACAGTCACTTTATTTTACCAAGTCATTAAAAAAAAAAATGCAGAGATACTTTACCAGAACTTAGATCAGGATAAAGTAAAGGAGTTGCAGACATTATGGCAATGAACAAAACCTAGGTAAACAAGTTACAAGAGTGTATGTTTCATACAAAGATCAAGGCAGGTAAAAATAAAGGGATTTTTCCCTCCCTGAAACTGGAAGACCAAAATATGTACAAAATGGTAATAAAGCTCCAAAAAAGCTAAAGCTGTTACTGGAGGTTCTGAAAGAGACAGAGGAAATATTTCTGCTAGGGCAGTAACAGCTCCTGTATTTATAATAAACACACAGTACACATACATTCACATATACACACTATGCCTATTACCCACAGATAGACAGTAATAATTCAGTTATTCTTACCTACTACTGGGTAGTGTTCTTTCTCCTTTGTGAGTGTTTGGTTTACTGCCTGAAGCAACTGTTGTAACTGTGCTACAGTCTGATTTAGACTTACAGACATTGTCTCCTTCTCAGAAGACTCCTAAAACAAAGACGGGAGGAAGTAGTGAAAAACTCCAAACATAAGAAAAGGGCAGAACATTTTTGTTTTAAATACAACATGAAAAATCTGAAAGGTGACATGAAAATCAACAGTAAAAACCACATAGAGAAAGAGTGTTTGATACCTAGTGATGCAAATTCATTTGCACCAAAGAAAGCTGTCATAAAGGTTGTCACTGGACCACAAAGGAAAAAACCTAGAATCTCTGAATGTCAGATATGAATTTATTTCTCTGATCAGGAAAAAAATATGTGGGGCACCAAAGAAGAGAACATTCATAATAACAGTAAAAAAACAATAAACATATACTGAGCTTTTCTAAGTGCTAGGCACTGCTGACTTACCAGCTATTTTAAGTGATTTGTATCAGCAGTTGCCAACCAGTGGTCCGCGGACCATTGGTAGCCCGTGAGGTCCGAAAGACTGGCGACCGCTGATTTATATAGTAACTCAGTTATTCCTTTCAACAATCCTACAATATAGTTACTATTATAATTACCTTTTACAAATGGAGCAATTAAACCACAGAGAGGCTAAGGAATTTGCCTGAAGTCTCACAACTACTAAGTAGTAGGGGCAGGATTCTAACACACACGGTCTATACTCTTAAACAGTATACCAAAATACCTCCCAACACAAACTGTGATTAACATCTTACTAAGCTAAAGGAAAAGAAACATTAATAAAAACACTGCATTTCAAAGATAGGCATCAGTTAAAAGAGCAACATGACTGATGGAAGTACATTACAAAGGGTTTTTGTTTTTTTTATCCTCAGAGGATTTTTAAAATAATTGATTTGAGAGAGAGAGAGAGGAAGGGGGAGAGAGGGAGGGAAGAAGGAAGAGAAGAAGAAAGAGGGGAGGGAGAGAGGAAGAGGAAGAAAAGGGGGAGAGAGGAACAGAAAGGGAGAGGAAGGGAGGGAAGGAGGGAGGGAGAAAAGGAGGGAAGGAGAGAGGGAGGGAGGGAGGGAGGGAGGGAGGGAGAAATATGAGAAAAACATTGATCAGTTGCTTCTGATGTACGGGGCCCTGACTGGGGATTGAACCTGCAACCTTTTGGTGTGTAGGATGATCTAACCAACTAAGGAACCCACCCAGAACTACAAAGGCATTTTTTAAGTCATAGATGGATCTTGTACATGTTTTACTTCACTTAATTTATAAGGTAATTAGCCCTGAGATTTGAAGTTAAGAAAAGACATACCATTTCTGGAGAAACATCACTATTCTCAATAACAGTAGTATCTCCAGCAGCTTTTACTATTTTTGACTGGATAAGATCCAATGACTGTTGAGCCTGGAAAGAAAGCAATATGGTAGCCTCCACATACTACAACTGATAATTAAATAGAGACAAGAAAGCAATGAGTGATTTTCTTACATTTTTTGTACAAGTATAAAGCTCTTCTAAAAGCACAATGTAAAGCCAACCTATTCAGTTTTTTCTCCAAAATGAAAACAGCTTCCTCCCCCACCAGACTATAAAAACACATGGCTCACACTGTTTTAAAAAGTTCAAACAATACACATTTAGTTTAACATTAGGCTAGGTCAGGGGTCAGCCAAGTCTGGCCACAGCCTGTTTTTATACTGCACATGAGCTAAGAATGGTATTTAACTTTGTAAAGGATTATGTTAAACAAACAAACAAAGAACAGTAGGTGAGAGGAAGTCATATGTGGCCCACAAATCCTAAATAAGTTTGTGGTTTTGCTGATCCCTAGTCCAGATCCCTCTTCTGTGCATACAAGGGCAAATAGAAAACTGGCCAAAATGTGTATAAATGGTCTTTAACATACATGCTGTTTTATACTTGTTCGTTTTACATTGTATTTCGTTAACCTTTTTCATGTCAATAAATATTTATGTGTATTTCCAATCAAGTGCTGCACAGTCTTTCTATATAGATATGGGCACATCACTGTTGCTTATTATTGCCATTTTAGCCATCACAAATAACATGGCATATCTAGTATCTTTGAGTGCCTGTTTAATATCCTGAAAGTATATCTGAGAAACTAAATTGCTAAGCTAAAACTACAGTTTTATATATTTGTCCAGAGGTAAAAAATTACCACATACTAAAGTAAACTAGACTGCTCAGCTTTGACAATTGTATCATGTACCTAAGTTTTGAGGTCTAAAACAAACTTCCTCAACACTTTATTTTCTGATGAGAATAACACCAAAATAATCTGAAGCAATTCTGAAGTCCTATACTTTTGCATAACATCATACAGAATTAACAAAAACATTTCTTTCAACTTTTGAAAAAGTGACATTTGTTTTGCTAATGAACATAATCACAGCTCTAAAGCAACTTTGATAAGCACACATGAATTACTTTGAAAAATATTGCAGAATTAAAATAACTTGTCAATCTAATGCAAAGAATTAAAAAATGTAATCCTAAAAACTGCCTATTTATGAGACTAAGAAAAATGTATTTTTACAAGTAATAAATGAAAGGAGCAAAGAGGTCTAGATACATCTTTCAGATCCATGAAGATAAACAACTATATAATCTAACCCTCCCCTCAAAAAATATATGGCTGTAAATAAGTTTTAAAAAAAAGAATGACTTCAATTAAATTTATTCTATACTTTATAAAGCAATTAATTACACAAATGTGATGAAATGAAGCAAATTAAAAATGTTAAAACAAGCCAAAAAGCTTAGTTCCAAAAACTATATAACAAATAGTTTAAATTTATAAACAAATTAATATAATAATGAAAAAAAACAGCAGAATTAGCAGTATGTCCGTTGAAAGTTCAAGGCACAACATTGCATGATACAATAACATCTTCTGGACAACAGTGTCTTACCTTATGCAAGTCACCAGCTACCTTCTGTCTTTCACTTTGTTCAGTTTTAAGTTTTGTGAGTGTTTCATTTAACTGTGTTTTTAACTGTAAAAATAAAGGAACACCATAATTAATTTATTGTCATCCTTCTTTGATTATGCTGAGATCTCTAGGACTGAAGAATGAATGAGAAAGAATGGGATCTCTAACAGTTATGCACAGTGAATTAGCCAATATGCTGCACCAGATGGATAGAGAAGCTAAGCAGTGGAGGATCCCATCTGTAAAGCTAAGTCAATGTAAGAAAAGCTACAGAAACAAATTAGAGAAGAAAACTGTAAATGTAAAAACAAAATCATCAAATTCTAATCAAGTGGCTTTAAAAGTATTCCTATTCACTATTCATAATTTATTCATATTTAAATTATTCAAATTAAAAAGCAAGTAGGCCCTAGCCAGTTTTGTTTAGTGGATAGAGTGTCAACCTGCAGACTTAAGGATCCTGGGTTCAATTCTGTCAAGAGTACATGCCAGGGTTGCGGACTTGATCCCCAATAGGGGGCATGCAGGAGGCAGCCAATCAATGATTCTCTCTTATTGATGTTTCTATCTCTCTCTCCCTTTCTCACTGAAATCAATAAAAATATATTTTAAAAAATAAAAGGCAAGTAGTCGGAAATTTTACTAATTTTTAAAGACTTTCATGATTATACAGTTAAGAAAAGTCAACTGTGTAATATTTTAAAAGACACTGAACAAAAGATTGCAAATCCAATAAAATTATAACTCCAAAAATTTTAATATTGCTTATCCTTTAAGATGACACTGAAGAAATCAGTGCAAGACCATACTGGCCTAATAATGGCAGCAAGAAATGTCTTAGGACATACTTCTCAATAACCAACTTGTCAAAACAGTAATAAAAAAAAAACTTCCTTATTTAAACTCACCAAGTTAACTGATTTAGCCTCCCACCCAGAGGCATAACATTCCAAACAGGTTTGGAGACGCAAAAGGGGGAAATACAAGATGCTGACATTTCAAATTGGAGGGAAAATTAATGGGGGACGTTCATTTGGAAATTATATTTAAATCCCAACTTCTTCAGTTGTTGCTCCTTTACTACACCAGAGAGGTTATTCCTTTGGTCCAAGAATACACAATGTATGGATAGACAAATAAAATTATTTTAATTTATCTTAAAATGTGGCAACAGTTTTCCTGAGCAAACAAACAGAAAAACTAAAATTAAGATTATAAACTCGATGTGAAAAACCTCACTGAAAATGGCCTCTGGCCTGGCCATACTGGCTCAGTGGTTGAGTGCTGACCTATAAACCAGCAGGTCACAGTTCAATTCCCAGTCAAGGCACATGTTCGGGATTCAGGCTCGATTCCCCAATAAGGGGCGTGTAAGAGGCAGCCGATCAATGATTCTCTCTCATCACTGATGTTCCTATCTTTCTTTCCCTCTCCCTTCCTCTCTGAAATCAATAAAATTAAAAATAAAATAAAATGGCCTCCTGACAGAAACTGAGGAGAAAATAATCAAAGAGAGCATCAATCTGAATGAAGACTCAACCATAATCCTGTGGGTTTGATGCCACTGTTAGAGTCAGTCACCAGGCACCAAAGTTAACAACAGTGTCTCCAACAACAGTAGGAGAAATTATTTTCTAAAAACACATTACAGAGTAAGGCTTACAGCTGTAGCATAGCACAGTACTGATCTGATCAATCAATGCATAGCGAACATATTTTCAAAACTAGTCTCACACTGTAGTGGGAATGATTCAATTAAGATAAAATGAAGGTAAATAAAGGAAAAATTTTATTTAAAAACTAAAGAGGTTGCTGTGTGCATGTATGAGTTTGGGGGAGAAGGGCAAGGCTCTACATGTATATTCCATTAGAGCCCTATTCTGAAAACTGATCCCCATAAATCACTAACATAACACAGAAAATCAACCACAAATGCATAAGTTAATAAGTTTTCTTTGGTACGGTATCTACAGCAGTATTAATAAGAAAATTCCAGACAGGGTAGGATTAACTTGGTGTAAGAAAACTTACTGTAATCTTCCTAGAGTTTATTATGGTACTTTTAAAAAATCTAATCACTTTCTATAACAATTTTTAAGTCACAGAAAGACATAACAATTGTTTTCAAAACATATTACAATATAGTCATATTTATCTAACAACTAAGCCTGACACAATCAGTACAAATTTCCAGAAATTTAATAATGGGAGTACTCTATGTCTATAGACATTTAGCTAACTTTAGTTAAATCTTTATCATGACTACTATGCCTAAATGATATGTTGATGATAAAGAATTTCACAAGCTTTTTATTAACTATCTGTATAACAAAAGCCTAAGTGACCGTTAAGGTGGAACAACCAGAACAACCAGTAGCTATGATGCGCACTGACCACTTGGGGGCAGACGTTCAATGCAGGAGTTGCCCTCTGGTGGTCAGTGCACTCCCACAGGGGGAGCACCACTCAGCCAGAAGCCAGGTTCATGGCTGGTGAGTGCAGCAGCGGTGCAGCAGCGGTGGTGGTGGGAGTCTCTCCCACCTCCACAGCAGCACTAAGGAACAGCGAGCTGAGCAGGAAGGAGTGAGCAGGCGAGTGGTAAGGAACGAGGGGTCCCAGTGATCAGGCCTAAGGCGGCAGTCGGACATCCCCCAAGGGGTCCCAGATTGCAAGAGGGTGCAGGCCCGGCTGAGGTACACCTCCCCCTTCCACAGCTTCCAGTGCAAGAATAAGCACTGGGCCACAAGTAATCTATAGGAAGTCCAGTTAAAATAAGAAGCTGGATTATTGCACTTGAATGAAGAGGCTGCATCTTCAACCTTTAATATTTTCCTCCTTCCAGGTCAAAAAATAAGAGGTCTAGTTAGTTATGGTAACTCTGAGAAGAGAATCTTCACAACTCAGTCAGTCTTTATCAGCTTATTTCATTTCTTTATTCCATAACACTATTCAAGAAATTAGGTTTCACAAAACACGGAAAATTTCTTTGAAAAAGAATTGCAAGCCAAACATGCTATTGTTAGAAGCTAAGAAAAGAAGGATCATCTTAGGCATCAAGAAAAGAAAAGATCACCTCAGGAGTCAATAGAATATGAAGATTATCTTAAACTTACAAAATTGCCAAGCTGAAGATGTTAGCAAGGAGAAAAAGTTTGGATGGTTTCTCCACGTGTCAACACAAGTGTTTTCAGAGCCTACTTGATACCCAGTGGAGAATAAGCTTCTTACCAAATTTAGCTCTTCATTCTGTCTTACTGCTTCAGAATATGAATCATCAAGTTTTTTCTGCAATTCAGTCAACAGATCTTTCAGCTGCAATGAAGTTTAGAGTTTAAGATTGATCTCCTTATGGTAGCCCATGTTATGTATGCAACCTGGAAGCTCTGCCACAAACAACTTACACTAAAATATTTTACTACTCTGTTATAAACTTAATTTAAGTAGAGAAGCAAGGTTGAAAAAAAATCTACTATAAGTACCTCTCTGACTTCTGTGACATAGGTAGATCGTTCAATTTCTGCCTTCTCTAGTTCCATTTCCAAATTCTCTCGTTCTCTTCTCAGCTAGCAATGCAACAAAAAAGGAAAAGTTAACCAACACATTTACGATTTCCCTTCATGATGCTTCTCTAAATGAAGTTATGATACTTCTGAATAAAAAACTATTATCTCAAAAACTACAAGATATTCTTAAAGAAGTCTTAACAGATCTTAAAAAAAAACATATGCTTAATGCTAAAAAGTCAAACAATGAAATAACATACATTTTCATTATCTTTATTTTCTCTTCTTAATTGTTCTAGCTCTTGTTCCAAAGATGTGTATGATAACTGCATCTGAAAGATAAAACAATTATATGACCAACTAAACCACCAAGGATATAGAGACTTCTATCTTCTAGAATTTTAAACCAATTTCTTGAAATGCACCTCATTTAAAGCTATAATGAATTTTAAAAGACCTTAAAAATGAGTGTTACAGTTAACTTGATTTAAATTGCAGTCAAAAATCCACCCCATTTGCATGTTATTATATTGGGCCTTGCCAGAAGTGCTTACATTTTTTAAATAATTAACTGACAACTGACTGTATTTAGTCCCCAAATGCATTATCATGGAGCACCATGAGCATCCCTAAATTCTGCCCAGATTGATCCAGAAAAACAAGCAAGCAATAGATGGCACTCTTTACCACACCCAAGTAAATGGGAAATTAATATTGCACAAAAATATTCAGGTCCATAAAGAATATAAAAACTTGCTTTTTCTTGAATACTGTATGTCATGGGTCACAACATAATGTTATAAAAGTCATTTTTGCCTGGCCAGTGTTGCTCAGTGGTTGAGCACTGGCCTATGAACCAGTAGGTAACAGATCAATTCCCGGTTAGAGCACATGCCCAGGATTGTGGGCTTGATTCCCAGTAGGAGGCATGCAGGAGACAGCTGATCAATGACTCTCTCATCACTAATGCTTCTATCTTTCTCTCCCTCTCCCTTCCTCTCTCTGAAATCAATAAAAACCTATTTTTAAAAAAGTAATTTTGAGATCCAAATAATTTATCTCATGTCACTGCATAGTTCTGTCAATTTCAAAGCATTTTATATTCTTTATTATTATCCTTTAGTTGTACTCTAAACCAATGATTCTCAGTCTTGGGTAGAAATCATAATCACTTGAGGAGCTCTTTAAAGCAGACTACTGGCCCCACAGTTTCAGATGCATTTAAGTCTTGGGTGAGACTCAAGAATACATTTTTAACAAGTTTCCAGGTGATGCTGATGTTGCTGGTGCAGGGCCCACACTTTTAAGAATCACTGCTCTAGCCTGTTTTGCTCAATACATAGAGCATCAGCCTACAAACTTAAAGGTCCTGGGTTCAATTCTGATCAAAGGCACATGTCCAGGTTGTGGGCTCGATCCCCAGAAGGGGGCATGCAGGAGGCAGCCAATCAATGATTCTATCTCATCACTGATGTTTCTATCTCTCTCTCCCTCTCCCTTCCTCTCTAAAGTCAATAAAAATATATACTTTTAAAAATCACTGTTCTAAATAAGCTCTTCCGTTTTAAATACAGTACCTGTTTAATAGTCTTTTGTGATTCATCGACCTTAACTTTCCATTTATTTTCTTCCTGCTCCACACTTCTCTGTAGCTTCTGTAAAATACCTTCCTATGGACAAAAGAATAGTTGTTATGAAAAATTCATGCTCTGATGCTAAAATAAACTATTTAAGCCACTAAGGAATAAGTTAATGATTTTTAAATGAAACCAAAATGTAGATTAAAAATCATTTCCTACCGTTTCTGCAAGGACGGATTTATATTTTTCACACTCTAGCTGTAACAATGTGTGCATTTCATCAGCTTCTTTCAACTTGTGCTCTAGAACCTGAAAAAAAGTGACATAAAAATTCCCTGGTTTTACCAGAAAGTTTTGTGCTTCAAACTTGTTTCACTATTTACTGGTATATTGTGACAAATAGTTTCTGTTTAAAATGAAACATTACATTTAAACCTTCTTAAAGAGCAATAAAGTACAATGACCTTTTTGGTCATTTGGTTTTTGCTAATAAAACTCTCCGAGTCTGTTTATTACAAAATATATTATACAATCTATATATATATAAAAGCCTAAGCAACGGAACGACCAGTTGACCAATTACTATGACACGGACTGGCCACCAGGGGCAGACACTCAACACAGGAGCTGCCCCCTGGTAGTGAGTGCATTCCCAGCACACTACAACACTTGGGGGATGTCAGACTGCTGATTCCGGGCCAGCCAAAACTGACAATCCGACATCCCATGAAGGGTCCTGGATTGCAAGAGGGCACAGGCCAGGCTGAGGGACCCCACCGGTGCATGATCAGCCCATCTCACTCAGTCCCAGCTGAGTGAGATGGGCTGATCATGCACCGGTGGACCCCAACAGCAAGCTTATCTACTGGTCGGAGCATCTGCCCCTGGTGGTCAGTGCATGTCATAGAGACTGGTTGACCTGTTGACTTCCTGCCCCTGGTGGTCAGTGCACATCATAGTGAGTGGTGGAGCAGCCTTAGCATATCATTAGCATATTACGCTTTGGTTGTTCTGCCATTCAGTCTATTTGCATATTACCCTTTTATTATATGCTAGAGGCCTGGTGCACCAAATTCATGCATGGAGGCAAGAGATGTCCCTCAGCCCAGCCTTCACCCTCTCCAATCTGGGATCCCTCTCACAATCCAGGACTGCTGGCTCCCAACTGCTTGCCTGCCTTCCTGATTACCCCTAACCACTTCTACCTGCCAGCCTGATCACCCCCTAACCACTCCCATGCCAGCCTGGTTGATGTCTAACTGCCCTCCTGCCAGCCTGTTTGCCCCCAACTTTCCTCCTCTGCCAACCTGGTCACCCCTAACTGCCCTCCCCTACAGGCTTGATTGCCCTCAACTGCCCTCCCTTGCAGGCCTGGTGCCTCCCAACTGCCCTCCCTTGCAGACCTAGTTCCCCCAAACTGCCCTCCCCTGCTGGCCATCTTGTGTCCAGATGGAGGCAGCTATCTTAACTTGTTAACTGAGCGGGACCTATAAATACGTCAAACGTAAACAATATCGGGAACGGGTAGGATGTATGAATACATCCTTGAAATATATGTTGCGCCCTGAGAGGGACGGTAAAAATTTTTGTAATCTTTATCATTGTAAAATTTATAATTTTTTAATTCGATGTTTCCATTTTTTTGTTGGTATTCTTTTCTATTTGTTTGTAATTTTTTATTTTCCTTTGTGCTTTATATATAAACAAAAAAATATATATTTCATTTATTTTAATTAAGTATAAATAAAAAAATAATAATAATATGAAATTATGTCCTCCGGGTATGACGTACTGACACGTCCTAGTGAAAGAGTACGCGCCAGTTATAGGTTGGGTAATTAAAAAGGGAACTCCCCGGCTAACAGGTTAATCTTGTGTGTTGGAGTGATGGTCAATTTGCATATTACTCTTTTATTAGATAGGACAGAGGCCTGATACATGGGTGGGTTTGCCCTGAAGAATATCCTGGATCAGGGTGAGGGTTCCCTTGGGGCATGGGGCGGCCTGGGCAAGGGGCCTCTGGTGGTTTGCAGGCCGGCCGTGCCCCAAGCAGAGGCCCTGGTATCTAGGATGTATTTATCTTCTACAATTGAAACTTTGTAGCCTGGAGCAAAGCCAATCCTTCTGCTCGCCCCATGGCGGCAGCCATTTCTGTTGGAATTTATTTACCTCCTATAATTAAAACTTTATAGCCTGGAATGGAGGCCTAGGCCCGCCATGGCAGGTGGAAAGCTTTGTTTCCTCCGTTGCCAAGGGCAACCCTAGACTGCTCTCTCCAGCTCCATGGCTGCTGTCATTTTTCTTGGGATTTATCTTCTATAATTGAAACTTTGTATCCTTGAGTGGAAGCCTGGGCATGTGGAAAGTTTGGCTTCCTCCATTACAGGGGAAACCCAAGCCTCTCGCTGCTCTCTGTGGTGGCAGCCATCTTGGTTGGGGTTAATTTGCATACTCGCTCTGATTGGCTGGGGGTATGGCTTGTGGGTGTAGTGGAGTGGTGATTAATTTGCATATTACTCTTTTATTAGGTAGGATGGCTAGAGGTCCGGTGCACAAAATTCATGCATAGGGGATGTGGGAGTGTGTCCCTCAGCCAAGCCTGCACCCTCTCCAATCTGGGACCCCTCGGGCAATTGGACATCCCTCTCACAACCTGGGACTGCTGACTCCTACCCCTTCGCCTGCCTGCCTAATTCTCCCTAACCACTCTGCCTGCCAGCCTGATAACCCTCTATCCATTTCCCTGCTGGCAGATCGTCCCCAACTGCCCTCCCCTGCCAGCCCAATTGTCTCTAACTGCCCTCTCCTGCCTGCCCAATCACACCCAACTGCCTTCCTCTGTGGGGCTGAGGGGACTGGGGGACTGAGGTTGGATGAGGTGGGGCTGAGGGGATTGGGGGACTCCGGCTGGATGAGGCAGGGCTGAGGGGATTGGGCACTGTCATCTTGTGGCTGTGAGCACTGCCATCTTGTGAGGGTGTGACAGTCAATTAGCATATTCCCTCTATTGGGTAGGTTCATCACTCTTTAGCAGGATGGTAAAATCAAAGCAAATCCACATGTGAAATAAAGCCATAATACCTAAGCTAAACACAAAAGAGGATTTGAATCATGCCACTTGACATACAAAGAAAAGTCAATCCCCAAATTTCAGTAGGCAAGGATAAAAACACATCTAGGATCTGAACACATCTAACGATGTATCTGGGGTTGCATTAGCAAACCAGTCAGTCTCTACCTACCTACCTCAACTGAGCTTTACTTTTTAAATTCAGGCTAAAAAGAGAGTAAGAAATAAATATTCAGTTTTAGAACTGAGTTGTACAGTTAAAGAAATGGTAAATATTAACTTTGTATATAAATCAAATGCAAGGAAGACTTATAGCATTTTCACTAAAATTTACACAAAATGAAATCACCTTATTCTTTCTAAAAAAAATCATTATTCTGCCCTGGCTGATGTAACCAAATGATTAGAGTGACAGCCCACCCACCAAAGGATCTCCAGTTGGATTCTCAATCAAGGGGATGTACCTAGGTTGTGGATCTCATCCCTGATCTGGGCAGGGGCAAGTAAGGGAGGCAACCGATCCCTGTGTTTCTCTCACATTGATGTGTTTTTTCTCTCTCTTTGCCTTTCTCCTTCTCAAATTCAATGGAGAAAATAGCCTCAGGTGAGGTTTAACAACAACAAAAAATCATTAGCCTATTCATACTACATCTTTTATCTTTCCCAAGCTCATAAAGACAAATTCTGATTTAATTATTTTTTGGTTAAAACAGATATTTCACTTCTTAAACTAACCTTAACCTCCTCTGACCCAGAAGTTCCAGTCACACATTCTTTTGCCTTCTTTTCAAATCCACGCAACCATTCACTATAATTCTGTGGAGAAGAAAAGTAAAAATAAACAATATTCAAAAATATATAAATAAAATAGGTAAACATTTTTAAATAACTAATTTAAATTATATACTGTAAAAGAAAACTAAATAGCCCTGGCCAGTGTGGCTCAGTTGGGTGAGTGTTGTCCTATGCACTGAATACACAGACAGGGCACATGCCCAGGCTGTATGCAGGACGCAACTGATTGATGCTCCTCCCTCACATCTCTCCCACTCTCCCTCCCTCCCTCCCTCCCTCCCTCCCTCCCTCCCTCCCTCTCTCTCTCTCTCTCTCTCTCTCTAGATTTCTCACTCCTCTCCCTTCCTTTCTTTCTAAAATCAATAAAAACTTTTTTTTTTTTTTAAAGAAAACTACATAGCCCTCTGAAAATTTCAAAGAAGAATAAATATAATGTATAAATTATATATAACCATCCTGGGCAGGAGGCACAGCTGGCTGGAGCATCATCCTGTACACCAAAAGGTTGAGGGTTTGATTCCTGGTCAGGGCACATACCTAGGTTTCAGGTTTGATTCCCATCAAGGCAAGTATGAGGCAACCAATCAATGTTTTTATCTCACACTGATATTTCTATCTCTCTCTTTACCCTTTCCTCTCGCTAAAAGACTAAAAAAAAATATACTTGGGTGAAGATTTTTTTAAAATTATACATAACCAAGGCTTGAAAATAAACACTAAAAATATATCTATGGGCACATGCTCTCCCTCCCAGCAGCATGCCCACCCCTTTCCCTTCTTCTTCTCCACCGATAAGCATGCATCTCCTAAACTCTAAGGGACCCCACAGGGCTTACAACCAGGAGCAATGGGCAGCAGCAGTTCATCCCAGGCTCATCCCCGGACTGTCCCGAAGGCCCCCTATCCCCTGACTTCTCAGTAAGCCAAAGCAGCCCAGCCTAGGCTCATTTTCCACCTACTCTCTCTCCTGTTGCTTCTTCTACCCTAGTCCCTCCCTTGTTTCACTGTCCTCAACTTTAATAAATGTCCTCTAAAATTAAATATATATATATATATATAAACATATGTTTTATATTATAGTTTTAGTCATTATTCTAAATTTTAGAAGAATTTATTCTACATTTTGGATGCTTATCTAAATTTAATACTTTAATAGAGTATTTATTTGCTAGATACTTTAAATCAAATTTCATCTTAATCCTCTTTTAAGTCTTTGGTTTACTTTATTCTAAGAAAAAAAGAAAACAAGTGAAATTTCTATTGACTGCTGTAATTTAAAGCTTATTTACATGCTAAATCAGATTCTCTACAATCTATCAAGTCAGAACAAAAAATGAAAACAGGGTGTGAGACCATCCCATAACACAATAAAATAATACCCCCTAAAGCACAAAATTTACATTTTCACATTATAAATTTGAACCAAAACTAAGTGGATACTATTAAAATCCTATTTCGCTTCAGATACTGGGATTTAATATAAATAAATCAGCTGAAAAAATGATTTAGTTGTTTAAAATTTGCAATCCTCCCTCCATGTCACATGGCTTACATCTCTCCTATGCTGATGAAATGCACCACACTGCCTATGCAGTCATCCTGCTCCACCCATCCTAATCAGGCCTCTACTGACAACTTATGAATACAGGAAGGACATAGGAACACACTGGCTACAGAAATTCTGTCAGCTACATCCAAACAGGGTAACTGCATAAAAACATAGGTTTTGTGGTGTGTTTACTTTTTAAAGGGTAGGGACTGCTAACAAATCGAAGGGAATTCATGGAATAAAAAAAAAAATCTAAGAGACATCTTAAACAAATCATATGCTGACCCTTCCTTGGGTCCTGACTGAAACACACTACAATAAGTAGTTATTGTTTCATTAAAATAGACAATTGATATGACAACTAGAAAAATGTACTGACTAAATGTATGAAATTAAAGATTTTTTTAAAAAGTAATAGTTTAATTTTAAGGAATCCTTATCTTTTATACATCTTTTATATCTTTTATCTTTTAATATATATACAGAAATATTTATAGATGAGATGATCTTATGTTTAACTTCCTTCAAAACAATCTAGTAAGTGCAGAATAGGAGGAAAAACAAGATGCTATGTATTACCAATTTATGCCACATATTATTAATTGTTGAAGTGGTATATCAGGTTCATTATACTATTCTAATTTGAAATATGTATACAATACTCCATTAAAATAAATGAAAATATCTACACCAACATTTAGGGAACTACATGCATTCACTGGCTTTCTCTGTCCTCAAATATCCACTGCATTGATTATATGAATCAAAGCAACTTTTCTCTCTCACTTAAAACACACACAACCTCAAGTTAAGAAAGTTGTTCCAAATTATCTTCAAGACTTTTACTTGAAAACCTTAACAGGTGACCAAAATCTTGCATTGTGAACTAAAGAGAGGTTGGCTCATAGTATTAAATACCTTTAATTAAAAAGATAAAATGTTCCTAAAACTAGGAAGCAATCACTTAAAATAAAGTTCTATTTTGAATAAAGCCATTAAGAATATTATTGGCAGATTAATCATTAAGAAATCATTTTGTCCCAAATGTTTATGACCGTCTAAATATATGTCTCCTATTAAAATTTTATAGAATACAACAAAAGTATCAGGTGAAAAACAGGAATGAGTTTTGAATCAAGTAACTCAACTTCATTACTTAGAAGCGCCCTAGGCTAACAATGGAAAAGAGTAAGGAATTGGTTCACTATTGAAAACAAGAGCAAGAGTGCAAATGCTGCTTACTCATAACTTTCTTGAACAGTAATAAAGATGTCATGTTTTACAAAATAATAAATTAATCTTACCAAATTTGAAGGAACAGACACCTTTGGAAATAATTTTTTGAGAACTTCTTTAGCTTCCAACTCAATAGCTTCCATATGTTGTTGTCTTTCCTAAAGCAGAAGTTCAAATCAAACTTACAAGTTTATAGAATTAAAAAAAAAAAAAAAAAAAAACTAGAAATGTAACAAACTACATGCAAAAAGTAGGCACCTGAGCAACATAACTAAGGCTTACTGCCTGACAAATCTCCACACAAAAAAATGCATCACCGATTGACTATAATGCCAGGGGATTAAAATGCCAAGTTCTATATTTCCACCTTCAAGGTCAGGTAAAAATACCTTTTTTAAACAAAGCAAAAAAAATAAATCAAAATTTGATGGGTGGTACATATGAGAAGAAGAGAAGGAGGAAAAACTGATGTCATATTACTTCACCAATGTCAAATATCAAGAAAACTAATTCTGAAACTTTTAGATGTACTCTGCCCACTGTAAATTTAAAGTTAAGTATTACAAATGCATGTCTAAATTTGGTGAATTTAAATCCAAATCTAATGAATATCAATTAACTGAAAATCACAGTTTGTCAAAATTAGGGTAATGGCTTAGTCACACACAAAATAAAAATCTAATAATAAAACTATCTGTGCAAGATGAAAAATGAGAGCTATAAAAATGCACATCTAAACCAAGCCAAGAAAATTATCCCAAAACACTTGTGAAGTTCAATAGGTGACAGAAATACAAGTAAGTTAGCAACATCTCAACTCAATCCCCTCTCATCATTTAAATTGATCTTACTTCAATTTAAGAAAATCTAAAGTCATGCCACACAATAAAAAGCTAGAACTTCGCATTAGTATATGTACAAAAGTAATAATTTAATAAAAAATAAAAGAATAAATAAAAATTTAAAAAAAAACTAGAGATTCTCTACACACAAAAGTTATTACAGTATTCTGGGTTAGTGGATAATTTTAAAAATAGATGTTTTAAGGAAGTATTTTAAATAATTCAATAAAGTCAACTATTTTTTAGGAATACACCCACCTAGCTGCATAAAATAAGGTATACTTTATTCACGGAAAATATTTAACTACCAATTCAGAGACAATTAAGAGGTCTCTGAATTTTTAGCATCTGACCATAGAAATGATAACACAATCACTAAAGAAAATCACTCAGGAAAAGATACACTGTGAGCAGATTCTTTCTGATAACTTCCCAAGGAAAAATGAATCTAAAGAAAATAAGTATTTAACTTTTAACCAAAAGGCACAAAGATGAGAAGTTACTTTTAATCTGTACTAATTCTAGCTAAAATGTTTTCATTTAACAAAGTAGTTTGTAGATACAATTTCCATTCCCCAGTAACACCTGAAAAATATCCAATAATTGGAAGTAATCATTATAATTTCCTTACTATCTTTGTCTAAGGAATATATATATAAAGTATCTTATATGTGAATCTAACATTTATAGTAGCTCCTCAAGAATATATACTCCTTAAAGTATGACTTGTGGTTCTGGGTCAATCAATATGACTTTACACTTATGCTGAGGACTAGATTCCATTAAAATAGAGAAAGTCTGTAAATTCTATTATCTGTTGATTATTAGCTACACAAGAAGCCATAGTACACTTGGTGGTGAGTTTGGAAATGTGGATAAAATCTTATACTAATCACCAAGCACATGAAACATGGATAAACTCTAGCTTTCTTTTGGAATCATAACATGCCAGAATGCCTATATAACTTCTTGCAAGATTATTAAGGGACTAGAGTCCAGTGCACAAAATTTGTGCACTTGTGTGTGTGGGGGGGGGGGGGTGGAGGAGAGTGTCCCTCAGACCAGCCTGCACCCTCTGACAGTCCAGAACCCCTTGGGGGATGTTCATCTGCCAGCATAGATTCAATCCCCTAGGGCAGTGGTTGGCAAACTCATTAGTCAACAGAGCCAAATAACAACAGTACAACGATTAAAATTTCTTTTGAGAGCCGAATTTTTTAAACTTAAACTTCTTCGCCGAAACCGGTTTAGCTCAATAGATAGAGCGTCGGCTTGGAGACTGAAGGGCCCCGGGTTCGATTCTGGTCAGGGGCATGTACCTTGGTTGCGGGCATATCCCCGGTGGGGGGTATGCAAGAGGCAGCTGATCTATGACTCTCTCTCATCAATGTTTCTAACTCTCTATCTCTCTCCCTTCCTCTTGGTACAAAATCAATAAAATATATTTAAAAAAAAAAAAAAAAAAAAAAAAACTTCTTCTAATGCCACTTCTTCAAAATACTCACCCAAGCCGTGGTATTTTGTAGAAGAGCCACACTCAAGGGGCCAAATAGCCAGATGTGGCTTATGAGCTGCAGTTTGCTGACCATGGCCCTAGGGAATCAGGCCTAAGCCGGCAGTCAGACATTCCTCTCACAGCCTGGGGTTCTCACAGTCCAGGACCTTTTGCTCCTCACCACCCATTTGCAGTGGAGGTGGGAGAGGCTTCTGCCGCTGCCGCTGCCGCTGCCGCTGCACTTGTCAGCCATGAGCCAGGTTTCTGGCTGAGAGGCGTTCCCCCTGTGGGAGCAAACTGACCACCGAGGGGGAGCTACTAAATTGAGCATCTGACCCCAGTGGTCAGTATACATCATAGCAACTGGTCATTCTGCCATTCGGTCAATTTGCATATTAGTTTTATTATGTAGGATTAGTATTTTGTAGATACCCAGTCTCATTATCAAAACAAAAGCTAAAAGGTAGCTCTTAACAGTGACAAAGTTATAAAACCACCACCCCCGTTATTGATAGAACTGACTGCAACCACTCACAATGAAACAGTGTCCTCCCTGGCCTAGATTTTTCTATTCCTGGGCCTAAATTTCTCTAGTCCCAGTATCTGCCAGCTGTCTCAACTTTAGGTAAATTTCCATTACGTTAAAGGAACTATAACTACAAAAATATATCCTTAAAATTTTATAAAAATTCTACTAAAAAAAAAGTCCTTCAAATGTCACTAAGACTTACATTTAAAATTCAACAGATTACCTTGGCACACAAAATACCTATAGAATGTTGAACTGAATCACATAATTAATGAGCTTTATTAACCCATCTATAAAATTCATTATTTCTGTTCCACATTTATTCTTGGAAAGAATTTTCAAAATGCCTGACTGAACTGGCACATTCATTTCTTTCAATCTTTAAAAACAACTTCTTAACTTTAATTCATTAGAAATCTTTAAGCCCATGGAACTTGAACTTAAGAATATCCTTTATCACGTTGAAGACAGGGAGAGATATTCCTCAAGAGTATTATAGCCGAAACCGGTTTGGCTCAGTGGTAGAGCATCGATCTGTGGACTGAAAGGTCCCAGGTTCGATTCCGGTCAAGGGCATGTACGTTGGCTGTGGGCACATCCCTGATGGGGGATGTGCAGGAGGCGGCTAGTGGATGTTTCTCTCTCATCTATGTTTCTGACTCTATCTCTCTCCCTTCCTCTCTGTAAAACATCAATAAAACATATATTTTTTTAAAAAGTATTATACATATTCTGGTCAAGAGAATTATCCCTTATAGTATTATTCCATTCTGAACAAATTACATGATTACTGTCCACCACTTCAAAATGTAAACTTTAATTTTAATTCTACCTCTTTTAAGGAACCATCCCCAATAATATACCAAGAAGTGATCCTTTCCCTGAACTTCTTAAGACTTCTATTATTTTCCACTTTGTCTGAGTTGTCCTGATGTGCCCCAAAGAACCTAGTTAAGTTCACTGTGCATTGTAGGTACATCCTAGTTATCCAAATATGTTTGCTATTTCAGTTAGTTTTGTTTTTGTTTTTGCTTTTGTTTTTTTGCTTAATTTTCATCAAAGTTTTCTTAGCTAACTCAAGAGACACATGCTGTCTCACAAGGGCTTACATGGGAGGCAGCATAGGTTTCCTGAGATTCTTCAGCTTAAAGGAGTAATCACCAAAGCTCAAACAATCAGGGAATCACAACAAACCAGCAAGCCCAAAATTAAAGCTTCAGGGAGTAGATGAAAAAAAAGCAGAGATGGCAGAAATGATAAATGTGGATGGATAAGGAGATTATATATTAAAAATGCAGTATAATTAAATGCTTTAGTCTGACTTCAAGATAAGCTGCAGATTTTCTCTGTTCAGCAGATTGTTTCTAGGAGTTAGCATTACAACCTTGGAAGTCTTGTTCACTTTGTCCTGCAGCATTTTTTCAGTTGATGCCAATGCTTCCATTGCTTCCCAGTTTTTCTCCCGAAGGTCCTAATCATTTTTAGAGAGAATGATTTCAGTTTATCCATTACTGAAAGATTTTGGCTTTTTATTTCATCAGTATTTTGCACTGCATTTAAATGCTGGTTACTGCAAAATTATTTCAATGGGAAAATATGTACATTAGCAAAAAAAATAAAAAGCAATGTTTAAAAATTTAAATGAAAAAACAAAAATGCCCACTTTGCATGTTTTAGTATACATGTCAAATATGCCAGCTTTAAAGTAATTACTATGCACATGTGATAAAGAAGAAAGCATTTAAAATTAAAGGATTAGGACAGAGCAAATATTCAAGAATTGCTAAAAGCTTGATTTTTAAACAAGGCCCACTATCACTCATCGGACATTACACTGCAGCCTAACATTTTTTTCTCTAAATATGTTTAATTTAATTAACTCATTTCAAGTCTACCTAGGAATGACATAGTAACTCACTGTGCTTCTGTATCTTTCTTGGCATGGTCAAATATATATGCCATAAAGCAACCTGACATGAACTGTATGAGCTACTCGATCCAGGCAAACCAGGAGACAGGAAAACTATAAAACACAGTCTCTTGGAAAAGAAACAGAGGTCATTGGACACTGAACTCTGAAAGATCTATTTCACAGCATTTTATTAGCAAGTACAGAAAAGGACAATCTGCTATATTTCAGTCTTTGTTCAGATTCAGAAATCCAAAGAGATAAAAAACAAAAAATAAAAAGCCAATAATCACCATTTATTGAATGCTTACTTATGTACCCAACACTGCACTTAGCACTTCACAGAAATTCTCATTAATTCTCACAATCCTAAAAGGTATTTATTCCCACTGCATTGAAAGAGAATCCACAGCTCAGGTAGGTTAGGAATTTGGTCAAGTGAATACTGCAAATGAATTGGCAGAACTAGCAATCTGCTTGCCTCCAGTATCCTGGCTTTTCTCACACACATCAATGCCTCTAGCGCTGCTGCATTAGAATGCCATTTACAATGCTCTACAGTTAGGATATTAGCAGTATAGTGACAATTTAATTCAGGTTTTGTGGCCAAGCAATGCTGTTAGTAACATTATACAAACACACAAGGGCAATTCACATACCTAATTTTGACAAACTCAGGGGTGCAGGAACATTTCAACTTGTTAAATTAACAAATTAATGCAAACTTTGAAAATTTTTATTTTCACTAGAAAACACATATCGATTTATTACCAGTAGCCCCTAGATTTCAATAACATTTGTAACCTTGCTTACAACTTAGCAATCATACTTTTGTGTGCAAAAATTCGTTCTTTTGCTGAATCCGGTTTGGCTCAGTGGATAGAGCGTCGGTCTGTGGACTGAAAAGTCCCAGGTTCGATTCCGGTCAAGGGCATGTACGTTGGTTGCGGGCACATCCCCAGTAGGGTGTGCAGGAGGCAGCTGGTCGATGTTTCTCTCTCATTGACATTTCTAGCTCTCTATCCCTTTCCCTTCCTCTCTGTAGGAAAATCAATAAAATATATTTTTTTTTTTTAAATTCCTTCTCTGCCAAAAATGTTTATAATCTCACAGTTGTCACCTCTGGTCAAAAAGAAGTTAAAAAAATCATCTTAATTTACTCTTTATCTATTTAATAAAAAATATTAAGATTAATATTTCTGAGGGCATTATCCCTTCCCATTTTAGCATAAAAGTATTCTAGAGCCCTAAGAGACCTTGATAACATGTTTATTAATTCCAAAAATTTGAACTATCTCAGTTAAAAAAGAAAAATTACAGAAGGCTTGAATACAGTTAATTATTAAAATGAATTGGGTTTGAATACCGACATTACTTTTAGTTTACAAAAAAGCTAGCCCACTCAAAATAAGAGGAAATAACTTTGATTTTAAAATGTTGAACTTGAAAAAATAATTTTCCCAAATAAAAATTTAACAGAAAATAAACTGCATTTTACTTTTAACATATTTTTAATCAGAAGATGTAATAATCATAGCTTCAACATTTTAAATAATATTCAAAAGTGTACAAAGTGGTCTTTTCACTTATTCATTTTAAAAAGTCTGTTCTCCAATAAAATTAGCCCAATACTTCTCCTCAAAAAAGCTATACACAAAATAGTACTTAAAAAGACTAAGAAAAATATCTCAAGTAAAAGTAGATTTTAAAACATTCTGAAATGTGATATTTCAATGAACAAATAAAACGAAAAGCTTTATTCTGATCAAGATCTGCTTACATTGTTTTTCTTCCTCTGGTGTTCAACGGCATCCTTCAAAGTATCAATCTCATTCCGGAGACCAGTGATTTCTTTCTCTCTTTCTGAAATTCTAAACCAGACATAAATATACACAGAAATATTTTGGGTAAACAGTGAATAAAATACTTGTTACTACAAAATAAAAACCTCAGGTAGATGGTGCTTTAAAAAACGCATTAACTTAACAGGCCAAATTCTTAAACTTAATTACCACAGAAAGCCATCTATGAATAAATTTTTACACTACTACATGCTGACATTTGTGTTAAACAATCCCCTAAGAAATAATTCATGCCGAAACCGGTTTGGCCCAGCGGTAGAGCTTTGGTTTGCGGACTGAAAGGTCCCAGATTTAATTCCGGTCAAGGACATGTACATTGGTTGCGGGCATATCCCGGGTAGGGTGTGTGCAAGAGGCAGCTGGTCGATGTTTCTCTCTCATCGACGTTTCTAGCTCTCTATCCCTCTTCCTTCCTCTCTGTAAGAAAAATCAATAAAATATTTTTTTTTTTTAAAAAGCTATATGGATTTTTTTTAAAAAAGAAAAAAAAAGAAATAATTTATGAACACATAAATTGCTAGTTGTATCAATAGTTATCTCTATTTTTATGTAAGTTAATGAAGTAGCAGTAAAATCTCAATAATTCAGGGGTGTTCGTTAAAGCCAAAGTCCATTAGTGGGTTTTACAAGTGTGTATGTTAAAAATTAAAAAATTAGTTTACCTGTTTTTACTTATGTAGATAACTTTGTATAATTAGATACAATTAAGTATGTAAGAAGAGTTTAATTTCACAGAAAAGTTTTCTATGTGTTACTCTAATTTTAAATGTATACTGAATTAGTAGCCCAATGTACGAATTCATGCACATTGAAAGGAAATTAATTAGAAGATTCATGTGGTAATTAGGTTACTGCGAAACATTATATGTCAAAATAGTATATGTAATATAGTATTATAAAATTAAAACACACGCACTTGGCGCCAGAGAGTGCTTTGTAAGTATCGTACATGTGCAAGTCAACATTTATTTTTAAATTGCCAGTGCACATCATATGTACCGGCCAGTTGGTCGGTCAGTTGGTCGATGAATAAATCACGAGATGATTCACGTTGAATGTCAACAACAACCAAATTTACAATTGACAATGACAGATCAAAACACACACATGCAATTGGCACCAGCGAGCGCTTTACATGTATCGTGCATGTATGATGTTTATTTTTAAAATAGAGACTAGGTGCATGAATTTGTGCACAGGTGGGATCCCTTGGCCTGGCTGGCAATTGAGGCCTATCAGGGGGCTGGCGGCTAGGGGGAGGGATCCTGGGAGGTTGGCAGGCCAGCCAGCCCCCCTCCTCCATCAGGGCATTAGTGGGAGAGAGGGCCAGCTGAAGGGATGGGGGAGAGGTGACCGGAGGTTGGCTGGGGAAGCACAATGACCACCTGCTTTGAGCATCTGCTCCCTGGTGGTCAGTATGTGTCATAACGACTGGTTGACAGGTCGGTCATAACAGTCACTTAGACTTTTATATATATAGAATGCCAATGAGCGTCATATGTACTAGTCAGTCAGTAGGAAGATCAAATGGATAGATGGTCAGTCACTTAGACTTTTATATATATATATATATATATATATATATATATATATATATATATATATATATATATATCTCGATCTAGTAAGTGCATGAATTCACCAGTCACATGTAAACAAATGCACAGGGCTAGAGTGTGGCTTAGCACAAGTGGGAACATCAGCTACAGGGTTAAAACTGCTGCAGAAAGTCTCACCACAGGGCAACAGACTCTATTCTTCTGAGCCATGAGGTGTGATCATGTGCTAATCATTTGCTGAACACTGTTAATTAGTGGTGACTTTTGGATTTAAATATGTAGACTATAATTGTAGAAATGTAATGTTTATTTATGTTGGCAAAGTTACTATAGTGTTTTCTCTAACACATGACCTATTTGCTATAATTTGTTAAAAATAACAGTGAATAACCAAAATAATACCTGTTAATTTATTTATAAGCAAATCTTGGTTAAAAGCATTTTAAAATTAACAACGTCAATTTTCAGATATATAACATATGGGCCAGAAATTTTTATCCCTTAAATCCAAAGTCTATTAAATCGAGGTCCACAAAAACAATGATTTGCTATATTTGCAGAAGAGTGAAAATGATGTGGAAGCACTCTCTTAAATATTACTTTTTTCCAGAAGATAATAAAATCAGTTGTGAATTTATTAAAGTGGCTAACCCACAATAAAAGTATGCAGTTAATGTGAGGTAGGTGTTCCCTTATAATTTTTGTAACAGTCTCGAGGTTCCTGTTTTTCTGGTTCTATCTAATGAATTAGTGGAAAGCAATGGCAAAAGCTAACAATTCAATTCTGTAATAGTGGACAGCAGCTTGAATAGAAACTTAAATTACAAATAGATCTTTCCTAAGAATAAAGCTTTATATAAGGATTTGGCCAAATTAGGACTCTGGGTCTGTCCCCACAGTCTGTTTCTGTATAGTCCTCAAACAAAGAGATAATTTTGTTTTTAAAGAATTAATATATGTTTATTTATATTTGTATAGATTTATGTTTATTTAGATTAGTTATACCACCTAATAATAAATGTTTGACATTTAATGTTTTGAAATATACCAATGTATCTGAAATGACCTTAAATATAGCCTCTTTAGAGAAAAGTACAGGTCGAGAATTTAAAAAAATATATTTCAGTTTAGAGAAAAAAAAAAGTCTCCTCAGAAGAGAGCAACCATATAGATAAGTGTGCGGGGTTTTTTTGGATGCATAAACAAAACTAAATTTTCATCATTCAATTCCATAATGATAGAATAAGTGACAAAATTTAAGTTAAAAAAGGCTTCAAAGTATAATTTATTTTATTGGATGCTTTTGGAATGCCCAAAAAACTAAATAAAAATTTCCTTCAACAAAACGTTCAAAGAAATCCAAATACTATAAAAAGGTACATTAGCTAAAGGCACAGGTAACCTCTACTGATCTCCAGTTCAAACAATCCAAACAAGAACTGCAAAAATTTGGTGACCATTTGCATTGACAGCAAATTGCTTGTTTGATAACTACTTAGCACATAAAAAGTTACCAATTCTCAAATTAAGAATCAAAATTATTACTTACACTTTCAATAGTTCTTCATGTGGGGGAAAAGAAGATGCCTATTAAAAAGAGTTAAATGTTATTTTAAAACACAGCTTTCCAGAAGATTTTTTAAAATTAATTTTTTAGACATAAATTAAGACAACACCAAAGGTAAACATGCCATATATTCCATGCTTCCAAGTAATTTTAATAAAAACTATACAAATTTTTAAAATGTACTGAGCCCTAAATAGAATTTTTATTGTCACTACATGCTTAAACTCTTCATTTAATAATTTATCAATTTCCTACTAGGCACAAAGCACTGAGCTAACACCTTCCAATTTTCGTTTGGTGTATTTCCTATTTGACTGTACTAAGTTCCCGAGGTCAAACAATACCATAAATGAAGTAAAAATAAAAATTAGGAAGAGTTAACTTGCAAGTACCAAAAAGGAAATTTTACATAATATGTAAAAGTATACAGCCCTTTCACATGTGATATTTATTCCTTTATGACTCCAATATCTCAAACGAAACTACTATAAGCTTGTCATCAGAAACTAATTGTTTTGTCCCTGAAAAAAATTTCTAGTTTATTCATATACATTCATAGATTAAAGAATATTTTGTTAATATCTTTTTAAAAATTTAACCTAGAAGAATTATATCTCAAAAGTTATTTAAATAGTGGTAAACTATCTATACTAATAAAAGCCTAGGTGGCCCTGGCGTGATGCCCTCACGGGCAATCAGGCCAGCAGGAGAGAGTAGTTGGGGGGAACCATACCTGCAGGGGAGAGTAGTTAGGAGCAACCAGGCCAGTAGGGGAGGGCAGCTGGGGGCCATCAGGTAGGGGGACAGTTGAAGGCAAGATCAGGCCGGCAGGAGAGGTTAGTTGGGGGGGATCAGGCTTGCAGGGGAGAGCAATTAGGGGTGACCTGGCTGGCAGGTGAAGGCAGTTGGGGACAACCAGGCCAGCAGCGGAAGGCATTTGTGGGCGAGATTAGGCCCGCAAAGGAGGGTGGTTGGGGAGGACTAGGCCTGCAGGGGAAGGCAATTAGGGGCGACCAGGCCTACAGGGGAGGGCAGTTAGGCGCAACTAGGCTGGCAGGTGAGGGTAGTTGGGGGCAACCAGGCTGGCAGGGAAGGGCAGTTGGGAATGAGATCAGGCCAGCAGAGGGCAGTTGGAGATGAGATCTGGTCAGCAGGGGAGCACTTAGCCATCAATCAGACCAGCAGGGGAGCGGTTTGGGGCGATCAGGGTGGCAGGCAGAAGTGATTAGGGACAGTCAGGCAGGCGAGCAGTTAGAAGCCAGCAATCTCAAATTGTGAGAGGGATGTCTAACTGCCGATTTAGACCTGATCCCATAGTTAGACATCCCCCGAGGGGTCCCAGATTGGAGAGGGTGCAGCCGAGGCTGAGGGACACCTCCCCCCAATATACAAATTTCGTGCACCAGGCCTCTAGTTACTTATATTACATATTTTTTAGTTTTTCCCCATTACAAACATTTCATTTGGGGTTAAAGGGTAGTAGAATATATACATATAAGTTAAAAGTGAACTCATAGGATTTTAAACTGAGTTACCAAAAAAGGTTTTCTAGAAAATCTGAAAATGCACACAGCCATACATAACAGATGTGGAATACACATTATTTGTGTATACACTGTACTTTATAGATTTTATCTTGGATATGGCATAACAAATTGCTTTTTTCCCCGGAAATTTGATAAAACACTTATAAATGAAAACTTATAAATATTATCCTATCTAATAAAATATCAATATGCAAATTTACCATACCTCTGCTACACCCATAAGCCAATCAGGAGCAAGTATGCAAATTAACCCAACCAATATGGCTGCAGCCACGGAGCGAGCAGAAAGCTTGGGTTTCGCTGGCAATGGAAGAAGCCAAGCTCTCGGAGCCCTGGCCTCCGCTCAAGGCTACAAAGTTTCAATTACAGAAGATAAATAAATCCCAGATACTCAGGGCCCCCGCTTGGGTCACCAGGGGGCATGGTTGGCATGCAAATGAACACAGGCCCCTCATCCAGGCCACCCCACACTGCAAGGGAACCCCCAACCTGATTCGGGAAACCCTTCAGGGCAAACCACCAGCCCCCACCAGTGTACCAGGCCTCTATCCTATCTAATAGAAGAGTAATATGCAAATTAACCACCATTCCAACACACAGGATAACAGCCCCCATGTAGACACAAGATGGTCACCACTAGTTCTGCTGGCAGTTGGGAGGGACCAGGACTATAGGGAGGGCAGTTGGGGGCAATCAAGCCTGCAAGGGAAGGCAGTTAGGTGTGACCAGGCCAGCAGAGGAGGAAGTTGGAGATGATTGGGCCTGCAGAGAAGGGCAGTTAGGAGGGACCCAGGCCTGTAGGAGAGAGCAGTTAGGGGTGACCAGGCCAGCAGGGGAGGGCAGTCAGGGGCAATCAGGCTAGCAGGGGAGCAGTTAGTCATCAATTAGGCTGGCAGGGGGCAGAAGGCAGACAGGCGAGCAGTCGGGAGTCAGCAGTCCTGGATTGTGAGAGATTCTACCAGTAGAATCAGGCCTAAACGGGCAGTCGGACATCCATCAAGCAATCCCAGATTGGAGAGGGTGCAAGCTGAGCTGAGGGACACACCCCACACCCCCGTGCACGAATTACGTGCACAAGGCCTCTAGTTCTCAATGAAAAGACAAATAGGTAAGAATATTACCCAGCACATCATGGGTTACATAATTTTTCACCACATAAATATATGGCAAGCCATCTCCATAGTACCTACCTGGTGGTAGTTCTGTTGCTTCAGCTGTTCAATTTGGGATTTAAACAAATTGTTCTTGTCTTGTACCTCCTATTTAAACAAAAAGTAAACATTAATAACTGGATAGAGAGTTTTATTTTTACTTTGAAACCAGGAAAATTCTAAAATAGTAATAATTTTAAAGGGGCATAAGCCCTAATTATAAAATGAGAATAATTATATTATTTAGTAAGAGTCTGAAAGTGGTAATGTCTCAATGAAGAAAATCAGATCCAAAAACAGAGCCAAATACCTGTAAGAATTTAGTATAGAGTAACATTTTAAACCAATAGGACAAATTCTAGTGATATTTTAAGCTAGCTGTTATTTTGTTGCGAGGGGCTGTCCCATGTACTGTAGCATGTTTAGCTTTATCCATGTCTCCATTCACTAGGTATAGCACTCCACCAGCTGTGGCAAATAAAAGTTGTCTCTATATATTGCTAAATGTCCCCTTAGGGGAAGAACTAATACATTAAAATAATCATCATGGATTATTGAACAATGCAGCTAGCCTTCTTTTTTTTTTAAGTTGAAATGTTATACTCATAACTTGCTCAAAAAGATTACATATGAATAAAACATCTCAACAAAAATATAATCATAAATGTATTAAAAGAAATATGTAAATGTATTTTTATGATCATAGCAAGAGAGATACCTTTCATCCCAAGACCTGAAACTAAAAAAATTACTTATATTGGAATATATAAAAGTTTTAAATTTCCAAAAGAGAAGGGGAAAAAAACACAAAAGAAAAACTTAGAACAAATCACCTCACATATGACAAGATTAATTTCCCTTATATGTTGAAAGGGATCATAAGTTAGTAAGAAAAAGTTAACATGGAGAAAAAATATAGAAAAAATTAAACGCAGATTCATATACAAAGAAAGAGTGCTTAACATCTCACACAATCAAATGCAAATTAAAACAATCTGACCATCTACCAAGCACCATACCAAATGTCTTGATCTTTGTCACTGTTGGAGGATAAAAAGAAAACAACCCTCAGTTGGTACCGTGTTTCCCCGAAAATAAGACATCCTCCGAAAATAAGACCTAGCGTATGCAAAGATAAGACATCCCCTGAAAATATGACCTAGCGCAACTTTGGGAGAAAAATTAATATAAGACACTGTCTTATTTTGGGGGAACAGGGTAGGAAGGTAGATCAGTAAAAATACTTTTGGAGGATGATTTAGTATTATCAAACAAATTTAAAATTACTTGTGAGAAGGAACCTGACAAAACCAACCATTTGAGCATGAAATTGAACAGGAGTAGTGAGAGACAATGCAGGATGCTATCACTTCAAATGAATGTTTTGTAAGTACTTTCAATATTAACTATATTAAGGTAAGGATACACTGATTTTCTATTTCAACTATCACTTTCAGAAAGGAGAAAAACAACTCCGCATAATTCTTTGATCCCAAATTTTCATTTCTAGGAATTTTAGGTAGAGATATACTAACAAAAGTACTGAAAATGTGTGTGTAAGAATGAATATTCACTGAATTGCTGTAACAAGGATATTCACTGTAGAACTGCTGTAACAAGAAACTGTAAATAATCTAGGTATCCATAAACTAGGATGATAAAATTATATCATAAAATACCATGAAGCTATTAAAAATTAAAGACAGAAAAGTGTTTATGTGAAAAGATCTCAAAAACATTATTAAATGAGGATGGGGAGTAAACACAAAAGTATGAATGGTTAAATATGGAAGACAATTAAGTATACATACATATGCATGGAATGTTCTCAAAAGATGTACAAAGGAATAAAGTAAGTCATCTTTGAGAAATGGAACCCAGCAGCTGTGTGGGAAGGAGGGTCATTCTGTATTTTGTTTTCTTCTGTAGTAGTTAAAATTATATTCAAAACATATACATAATTCATACAATGATTAAACATTCACCTGTAGCAGCTTTGTTTTGCTAGAAAGATCACTCTCCCTCTCTTTTAGCATACTTTCCACTCTCTTCATTTCATTTTCCTTTTCTTTCAACCTAGAATTTTTACAAACACCTTATATTTAGTTATACACATAAAAATGAATAAGCAGATTCCAATACCACATATAAGATAAAAAAAGATAGCAGAAACAATGCCTACCAGCTTTCTTCCCATATTACACCAACTTATAAATTTGTTTTAAAAGATAATTATTTCCAGAATTATTCAACTCAAAGTCAAGTACTTCCTAACACAATTTATTTCATATTTAACAGTTCTTAGGCAAGTATGGCTTTATCTAGGAGAAAAATCTAAAAGAAAAGCCATAATTATTTGGCCCTAAAACTTTATTCCCAACCCTTTGTACTAAAGAAATGCTACATATAATTTCATCTGGTTCTCCCTAATCCAACCCACTGATGACATAACAACAAAACAAAATCTCTTAAAGGGAATTCCATAGGGAACCAAAAAGATAAAGTTCAGGTACCCTTCTCACCACTGTAAACTGATTCAGTTTAAGATAACAAACTTTATAAGCTAGAAAATTTTATAAAATAAAACAGACTCAATATTTTTATTTTTCTTCAGGGCATACTGATGACAATAGATACCATTTTCCCCAATAAGCAAGTTTTACAGAAAGAGTCAATATTTATTATCAAGTTATGATTAAAATTATCATCTGGTTAATTAAAACATATTATTCTTTCAAATACTAAAATAATCTTAATTTGAAATAATTCTTACTTCTCTTTACAATAATTGCATACTTTGTTTAAAAAACATCAACAAACTTAACACCAGTTAATACTAAGCAGAAAGAGTATTTCAGAAAATTATAGTTTGAAGGACTGTGAAAAGATAGTCTCCAGGTATTGAAAATATTTAAAGGGCCCATGTTTATTTAGTTTTTACTTATTTTTTTTTTATTGTTGTTAATATTACAGATGACTTCCATTTTCTCCTTTTTTGCACCCTCTACCCAACCACCACCCCACCCAAGCCTTCCCAGGCTATTATGCATGTTTTTGAGTGATGCATATTCTAGAGGCCCAGTGCAGGAATTTGTGCACCAGTGGGGTCCCTCGGCCAGCCTGCTGGATCTGGCCGAAACTAGCTCTCTGACATCCCCTGAGGAGTTCCAGATTGTACAAGGGTGCAGGCCAGGCCAAAGGACTCCCACCAGTGCACAATTGGGGCCAAAAGGGACGCGGGAGGTTGGCCAAAAAAGGCTCCAGGCCAAACTCCAGCAGCAAGCTAACCTATCAGTCGGAGCATCTGTCCGCAGGTGGTCAGTGCACATCATAGCAACTGGTCAACCAGTCAACTGCTCCCTGGTGATCAGTGCACATCATAGCAAATAGCTGAGCATCCTTAGCATATCATTAGCATATTACGCTATGATTGGTTGAATGGATGAATGGACACTTAGCTTATTAGGCTTTTATTATATAGTATGTTCTTTGGTTTACCTCTTCCTATCCCCTCCTCCTCCCTCTCCTTCATCCCTAACCCCCAAGGTCTGTTATTCTGTTCCTTGCATCCATACTCTGGACCTATTTTGTTCATCAATTTATTTTGTTCATTAGATTCCACATAAGAGATCATGTGATATTTGTCTTTCTCTGACTGGCTTATTTCACTTAGCATAATACTCTCCAAGTCCCTCCATGCTATCTTAAAGGGTAACAGATCTTTCTTCTTCACAACCATATAGCATTCCCTGATGTACATGTACCATAGCTTTCTTATCCACTCATATACTGATGAGTACTTGGGCTACTTCCAGATCTTAACTATTGTAAATAACGCTGCTATGAATATAGGGATATATTCCCAGAAGTGGGATCGCTGGGTGAAACAGCAGATCCTTTTTTAATGTTATGAGGAATCTTCATACTGTTTTCCCAGTGGCTGCACCAATCTGCATTCCCACCAGCAGTGTTACAAGAGTTCCCTCTTCTAAAGAGCCCATATTTTAATATACCAAACGGAGACTCCACTTATTTGCCTCTGAACTACAATTCCTATTTAACCAGAAAGTTAATGATTTAAAAGAAACTCGTTATAATATTCAAGCACATTCTGAAAAATAATGAAAACTTTCTCTTTAAATGTTGGCTAAAAAGATACTTACACAGTCTCAAGTTCTTCATGCCGTGAGGCAGAACAGGCCTAAGAAACAGATTCACATTTTCAATTCTAACATCAAAAAGATCAGGCACTATAAAATACCTCACCAATAAAATGAAAACATAATTATACATGGTAAATATAAAAGATAGAATGAGTTTTCTTTAATTTCCCCCCTTAGATTTTGCTTTTATTTTTTAACAGATTTCTAAAGTAATTTTAAGTTTACAAAATAATTTATTAAAAATTACAAAGCTCTAACTTAATTTTTAATATCCATTTCTTTAAAGGATTAGAGAATAAGCAAAACAGAGACTAAGAAAGTTGTCTAAGGACACAGAGAATGATCCGAGTTTCTAATCCATACCAATCTCTTGATCCCAATGGTATGTTATTTCCCTACATGTCTTTGATACGTAATTTTTGTTTAAAGATTAAAAAAACATCTATATTAATCAATACTAAATTAAGTAACATTCTGACTCCACATCAGTAATGTCATAAACCCTACCAACTTTTTAAATATTAAATTTATTGGGGTGACATTAGTTAATAAGGTTACAGAGGTGTTGACTGTGTAGTTCTATGACCCATCATCTGTAATTGCATTGTGTGCCCACTACCCAAAGTCAAATCTTCTTCCTTCACCATATATTTAACTCTTTTTACTCTTTATAATCCCCTTCCCTCTGGTAACCATACTGTTGTTCTGTGTCTATGAGTTTTACAATAATAATTTTTAAGCAAATAAGTTCAGAGAACAGATTACCTTCTTTGCTTTCTAATATAGTAAAATAAAAACTGCTCATTTTTATGTAATAATCTGATTGTCTACTTATACTATACCTCTTTCAAGTTATGTTGTGCTATCTCCTGAACATGAGCTTTTAAAGATTCATTTTCTTCTTGAAGATCCTGAAAAAGAATAGGTATGAATTGAACTAATATTCAAGTATAAAAAAGATGTTATCTTTGTCTTTATCTTCTCACCTGTAACCATTTCCTGCTTTTGGATAGATCTTTCTCCTTTTCTTCTAAAACAGTCTTCAAGGTATTCATCTGTTCCTCCTTTCCTTTTAATCTGACAGTAAGTTAAGAACAACTATCAATGAAAATGTTACAAGACTATACAAAGCAAAAATAATGGAGACTGGGAAAGATATATTTTAGGTTATATTTATACCCCAAGCTAATTTAAATAAATTAAAAATTAAGCATGCAAGATTTTGGAGATAACATATTAAAAAGCATAGGATGATTAAACCCATCTATCATTGAAGATCCAGATATTGACTAAACTAGGATAGCTGTAGTCCCACTCCATATCATGCTATTTAAGTCAATACCAGCAAATTTAGATGGCTTATTACAAAAGTGGTTTGGTTTTGAAATATATAGCCAGTTCCACAGTGGCTATGAAAATGGGCAAAGAGGATAATCTCAATTTAAGGTCATATTAAGGTTATAAATCATAAAAAAAAAAAAAAAAAAAAAAAAAAAAACTTTCCACTGTATCCCCATTCCCATTAAAAAATAAAACAAACAAAAAAACCTATAGGTTAAATCCTCATGAAAACTTAAGATCTTAAGGTCTTTTTGAGGTATAATTTGATATTCCCTAAAGTAGTACTTAAAATCAATTAAAAAGAAGCTACAACTTTTGTTATAATTATATTTAACTTGTTGAAAAGAAATATTAAAGAGAAATTAAAGAAATGGTACTTACAAGTTCTGAAGCTCCTGAACTTGAGAAGTGATAGATAACTGAAATACAAAGAAAAAAGCAGAGAAAAAGCATTCATAATCCTTTCAACTTACCTTATGATATCTTTATGATAAACACAGATACGTTCTAAATTACAAAGATCCCAGTTGAATTATTCATGCCAAAATGAGATGCATTTTGATTTTATCATCTCTTGATTCAAATGACATAGTAAGAGTAACAAATTAAAAATGTAAAGTAGGCAGGAGGTGGTGACAAGGAATACAGTTATGAATAACTAACTCTAAATAATGTGATACTTCTGTAATTGTGAAAATTAGAACATTAAATTATCCACATACCTCCCTACCTAATCAGAGCTCTTCTTTCTCGATCTTCAAGCCAACTATTCAACAGCATTCTAGTGTCCTTCTTTAATCTCATATTCTTATCACAGTTCTATAGTACCTTTTATTCTCCATAGCTCCTTCAGAGTTTGGCTTAGATAACAATTCCTCAGGAGGAAACTTTCCTGATCTCTCAATCTATATTTAGAGGAGTTTTATCTTTTCATCATACCCCATTTCCTTCAACACATTATCTTCAATCACTAACATATTCTTTTGACAAGTAGGAGGAACTCAAAAAATACTGTTGAATCAATCTATTGGAATCTCTTCCATAGAGCCTCACCATTTTTTCAATGAAGCCTTATTGGATCAAATTCACCAAAACCCATCTATTTCCAGTAACCATTTTTACCTCTGAAATATGAAATCGGTACTTTGCTCTAAAGACAAAGGTTGAGCAATACATATTCTATAACAAAACATTACAGTCCATGCAGTTAAGAAAAAAGTGCTTCATGTATTAAGTTAAAAAATTAAGGTGAAACATTAATACAGAAAACTTTCTGAAAAGGAATCTTTAACAGTTTGAAGACTCATTGATTAAATGTCTCAAATCAGGCAAAAACAATAAAAAGCACATAACCCAGTATACTTACATCACACTACTAAAATATTTTTCCAATTAACAAGAAGAAAACCAAGTACCTCGTAAATACACATACTAACAAATCTGTCATGCTATGGCTCTGGGATTGTTACCTGTTGAGCCTTTTCAAGCTGGATATTTCCTATTTCTTCTTTTAGAGCCTCTATTTCCTGTTTCAAATCCTTGACAATGATAAAACAGACAAGATTGGACAATGGAAACACAGAAATTGACATAAAATGCAATGTACAGACAAACACATGAAATTACGTGGTATTCATTAAAGTTGATAAACAAATAGACAAGCACACAGTTTTCTCATTTCCAATACCTGAATAGTTTTCTCCTTATTAGCAACTTTGAGAAGTTCAGCTTCCAGAAGCTCTTCCACAGACTTGATCTTTCCATCTTTTTCATGAATTCTTAAAGAAATGGAGTATTAAATTTGAATAGAAACCATCACCAACTAAGAATTGCACCAAATCATGAATAAGCTCACCAAATGAATTCTCCCTGTTTTAAGTAAAATAGCAACGTATCAGACAGAAGGGGAAATAATACTTAAAGATCTTTCTAAATGAGAAATAATCAGCAACTATCAAGTGACTGAAGCCTATGTACATTAGGAAAAGCTAGTGACGTTTCAGAGATTATGAGGTGTACCCTGAAGAATAGCAGAGAGAATAAAGTTCCTCTCAATAATATTGGCTCTTAGGGCTGCAAAAGCTCTAATAGAACTTATACGCAGTTATGACATCAAACTTTATAGACATCTCAGAAAGGAGACAAGCAAGGATCGTATCTCCCCTTCTAATAAAACCTATTCTTTAATAGTTCCTACCACAGAAACAGAAAATTAACAATGTAATGCTACAAGTTAAGAAAATAAATGGAAACAATTATGAAAATACATTTTTTAACAATCACGTTGTACCAGGGAAATTACAACTTATCCGATCAATAAAAAAATTCTAGAATGAAAGTTAAACACACATGGACAATAAAACAAGATTTATCAGGACTAACCAATGGAGCCCTAAAAGAGGAAGACCAGTTTAATATGTCACCACTTACACTTTCTTAAGTTCTTCAACTAGAGATGCAAAAGAAACCTGGAAATAAGAAGACATCCTAAGTTAGTAATTTGCTCAAAATACAAATGGGTCAGAAATAGAAAAGTATGTTACCCTTAAATTTTCCACTATACCAAAATTCAAATAAGAAAGTAAACCCAAGAATTAATTTTTACTAGATTTTAACATAATTATGAAAATAAAAAGCACTTTGAAAGTAAGCAGCTTTAAGGCTAAGTATACGCCAAAAGAAAAATCAACACATAATTTTAACCAGATAGAAGAAATAGACTTAAAAAATTACCTAATCAGGTAACCCCTTCTACTATTATTTAGAGCAGGGTGAGAAACATCCAGCCTGAAGGCCATATAGAGCCCGAGAAATCATTTGGTCTGGCCCTGCTAAGGCATTAGGGGTGAGTTAATTAAATATTTGAACAAATCTAGTAGGCTAATTTTCAAGTTGATAATTTTGTATGATCCTCAAATTATGTTATATATATCCAAATGGCCCTTGTCAGAAAAAAGGTTCCCCGCCCATGACTTATAGTCTCACTTTCTTTTTGTATACTCAACCCTTTTATCCTGTCACAAAAAGTAATGACCTCCTATCTGGAGTACTCTACCTCGTATTTGGTATAAAGTCAGCATCCAATAAAATTGCTGACTCTATTACTGATAATCAAATCACTAATCATTCACAAAACAATACAATTGACAAATTCCATTTTGGAGAAGGAAGGAACAGACAAACAACAGAATGGCTCAGGCCTTTCTATTGTTTTAAAGAAAATGGTTGCAGAATCTATTAAATTCCTTACCTGATCATTTTGCTTTGCCTTTAAGTCTTGAACTTCTTTTGTCAAAGATGAGTTTTCTGTTCTTATTGCCTTTTTCAAAGATACATAAGCAGAACATACTTTTATTTTCTCGGGAAAAATAGCTTGCTACAAAATAAAGTAGCTTCTCATTTTAACTCTAGCTGCTTCTTTTTTTCTCTGGAAGGCCCAGAAATCTCCCTTCTTCCATGTCTACAATTCTATAACTTCTAGAGCTAGCCAAATAGGTTTTTAATTCAATTATCCCCACAATTACTTCTATTTGTTTACACAATCACACAACCACACATATACCTAAACTCAAATACAACTTTTAAGTTAGTTCTTCCAGCACCACCACTTATCCTAGTCGAGTTTGTTAATGACAATCATAAAACAGAACTACAATCTCTCCTTTCTCTGGCCTCTACTACTACTTCCTGAAATTATGAAGTCTGCTAGTTAGCACTGGTTATAATTTGAGCATGGGCAGAGGTGGAAGAGCTATTTTACAAACTATAACAGTATCTACTTCATTAAGGCAATGCATACTATAAACTACTATGCATTTTTGTATTTTTAATAAAATCTTAAATTTTATTAAATGTGGTTAACTCATATGCAGTTTAAAAGCTATAGGAAAAATCTTACACTAACTATAGTGAAACCCCTCCAGTGAATAACCACATGGAAAATAACTCTAAAAGTGCTTTACATTCAGTTCCTCTTCTTTAGTGGCCACCTGAATAAGTCCAGTTTCAAGTAATTCTTCCACAGTTTTCAATTTCTCATCTTTTTCTTGAATGCTGAAATTATAAATTTAAAACATATGTATGAACTATTTTTTAAGGTAAATGAATGATATCATTCCTAAATATTTTATATGGATTATCTCCTTTGTCCATTGTTCCTTATAAAATTCAACTCTAGAAACATTTCTGAGAATCTTTGATTAATGTCTAAGGGTACTTCTTCTTTACCAGTAAGTAACATGTGTTCAAATAATGCATGTTTACATGCTAACCTAAACAAATAAGTCATTGCTATGCATGGCACCCACAAACCTAATATAATCCCAAATCAATCAATAGTATAGTATACAACTCTTTTCCATTGTGAAATACAAAAAGAACTCTGAGAATCTTGATTAATATAGTTAACTAGTGTTCCTGTGCACCGATTTGTGAACATTGAAATGAAATTGATTAGAAGAAATATTTTAATATCACTATTCACCCTTCTCTATTAGAAGTGTCAACCAAATTCACGATCGATAATGATAGATCAGAACACATGCATGCAATTGGCACCAGCAAGAGCTTTATATGTATTGCACAATCATGAGTCAACTTAGCCTTTTACATATACAGAATAAACTTGCTTAATTAAATCTGGTTTCTGACCTAAACTTTTTTCAGCACACAGAAGCACTCCAATTTCTCTTTTAGGTAATTGTCAGCAACACAGCAATAAATATCAACACAAAGCACATTATTATTGTAGATCACACAGGGAGAACAAAGGGTAAAATATTTAACTGCAGCAGTGTTTGACTATATTCTGTGCAGTAGAAAATGTGAAGTCATTTTCAAGGTCCACCGTTTCTTATTTCTTTTCAGTCCAATTATGTTTCTAAACTTTCTCAATCTCCGTTTTCCAGCTAATGAAAAGAAAAGAGGATTTCACCGAGTTTCCTATTTAACTACTCCAGGACTTCTGTGAGGATCAAATGAGATGAGGCACATGAAAACACTTCACAGACATATGGTTAAAGTGTAAAATATTTGTACCTGGCTATAAAGCAAATAGTGTTTCTGGGCTGAAGAAACTCCAATAAGGCTACTCACTAGGGAGAGGAAGCCAGACATTGCTATGTGATGTCATTATCCAGCACCCACAGCTACCATTTCTGGGCTGAACTGGGTTGTGGGCCACATTTTGTGCCATGGGGTCTTGGAAACATTGGCTGTGATTTGGTAGAGTGTCCTTCCAAGGTGGTGGCAGGGCCTATGTTGGGGGAAGCTAAGTGTTGGTTTGTCAGCACACCAGGTCTGTGGTGCCATTTATTTTGAAATGGCCAGTGCGCATCATGGCAGCTCCTGCACTGAGCGTCCGCCCCTGGTGGTCAGTGTGTGTCACAGACAGCAGTAACTAGAGGCCTGGTGCATGAAAATTCGTGCAATGAGGGGTGGGGGAGTTCTTCTGCCAGCTCCCACAGTCCAGGAGCCTTCAGGGGATGTGATGGTTTAGGCCTGCTCTTCATAAGGAGCGGGCCTAAGCGCAGTCTGGCCTTCCTCTGCGGGAGGCAACCAAGCTGATCAGGAGAAGGCGCCCCCTCATCATCCTGCTGCTGCTGCCACCGTCGGCCACCACGGCTACTGGCCCTCCTCAGCCCTCACAGCCTTTGTCCGGAAGGACATTCAGAAGATGCCAGATCTATCCAGTCTAATTAGCATATTATCCTTTTATTTGTATCGATAATTGTTATCTCAAATTTGGTAGAAGTGATTCATTAAAATATCTAAAGAAATTTTAAACTCACCATTTTTCCATTTGTTCCACAACATCTTTATTAGGCTAAAATGAAATCACCAAAAAGTTTAATTTACCAACTTTGCATGAGGTAAAACTTGTTACACATTGAAATAGGATTTTATAAAAATTGTTTAGTTTTAATTACATTCAAAATTTAGTAAGATGATCCATATTTGAAGACTGCTAATAATTTACAAACACAATACAAAAGAGAAGCAGCTACACAAAACAGAAAAACGTGAAATATGAAATGGACTAGTAAAGTGAGTTAGTATGTTATGAATAATTCTTTAATTACTACAAAAGAAAATTTTAAGGATAAGAAGAGAATGTGCCTTAGTTCCTTTTCATCAATTAATTCAGTTCTTTATATATTAAAAAAAAAAAAAAATCAAAGGTTCTAAGGCCTCACAGGCCAAGGAAGAAGGCTTTGTTCTTTCAACATGTATATGGTTATATAACTACCACACAGACCAATATATAAAACTGATTATAAATTGCAGAAGCAGCATATGAACACATCCTCCTTGTAAATCATTAAAATATGACATGTAGTCCTGGCCAGTGTGGCTTAGTTGGCTGAGTATCAACCCATGCACCATAATGTCATGGCTATGATTCCTGGTCAAGGCTCATACCCACTTTGCAGGTTCAGTTCCAAGTTGGCGTGCATGTAGAAGGCAACCAATTGATGTTTTTCTTTCACACTGATTTCTCTCTCTCTCTCTTTCTATCTCTATCTCTATCTCTATCTCTTTCCCCCCAACCCCCACTTCCCCCCTTCCCTTTCTCTCTCAAATCAATTTAAAAACATACATTAAAAAAAAAAAAAAAAAGCCGAATCCGGTTTGGCTCAGTGGTAGAGCGTCGGTCTGCGGACTGAAGGGTCCTAGGTTCGATTCTGGTCAAGGGCATGTACCTTGGTTGCGGGCACATCCCCGGTAGGGGGTGTGCAAAAGGCAGCTGGTCAATGTTTCTCTCTTATCGACGTTTCTAGCTCTCTCTCTCCCTTCCTCTCTGTAAAAAATCAATAAAATATATATTAAAAAAAAAAACATTACAATGTTTCAGGTTCAATCCCTGGTCAGGACACCTATGGGAAGCAACAGGTCAATTGCTCATTTAATATTGCACAAAACTGACACAGCTTAACATATATCCAACATTTTTACTTTATACATTACTGGTCTAGTCTAACCCATTTTTCCAGTCCCTACATGATTTGCAAAACTATATCTTATATAATAATGAATTAGTCTGCAATAAAATACAAATGACCCCTGACATTGGCCTCCCTCCTGCCATCCCCCCATACATATAAAAGTCCTTACAGTCATAATTTATTGTGTAGAAGTGATTTCCCCAGGCCTTCAAACAGCTAAGGTATAATATTTATATAGGCAAGTTCAAAACAGGTTTAAGGTCTTCCACCCATCTCTACCTGCTCTTTCCTAATTGCTCTAGTTTCTTAATTTTTTCCCAATGTTATTACAGCCATTTTCACAAACACTGTTAATTTTTCCAAAGTCCATTGCCAAATCCTAAGATTCTGCTTCTTACATATTTCTAAAATTAATCCCCTTTTCTGCTATCCCATAGGTTAGGCTCTCTGTTTTACTCTTCTCAACTATCACATCATCCTAATTCTTCTCCCTGCTTCTAATCCATATGGATTATTTTGTGAGAAGTACACAAAAACTTCCAAATGGAAAAAATTCTTCCTACCATCAGAAAGAAGGTAAGAGTTGTCAAACATATATTAAATCCTGTATTATAAAAGCCTAATATGCAAATCAACCAAAAGGTGGAACAAGCAGTTGGCTGGGGGCAGGGCCAGCAAGCAGGGTGGCACCAGGCCAGCCAAGGCGAATGCCAGTGGGCAGAGGTAAAGGACAGCAGTGACTGGCAGTGGCAAACAGGGGGGGGGGGGGGGGGGGGGGAGAAGAGCAGACTGCTTGTCAGCCAGTGCTGTCCCCCAATTGGCCTGCAGGTCAACTTCCACAGAGGGAGGCAAGACTACAGCATCCCCCAAGGGCTCCTGGTCTGCAAGAGGGTGCAGGCTGGGCTGAGGGACCCCTCCCCAACCCCCCACCGAGTGCACAAATTTTCATGCACCAGGCCTCTAATCAGTTTTGTGAAAAATAAATCATGCAATTAGTTTACATCTTTCGTCAAGATGATTTTTGCCCATCTTAGGTCTCACATAAAGACTTAACACAAAAGTGTAACTATGCATGGTAATGGATTTTAACCATACTTACAGTGGTAATCTTTTCATAATATACACAAATATCAAATCATTGTTATATATAATGTTAGTGTCAATTAAAGCTCTGTTTTAAAATGAAAGAAAGAAAAAAGGAAAGAGGGAGGGAGAAAGGATGCACCACACATGCCAGCTCAATTGGTTGGAGTGTTATCCCCATACACTGACCAATGGTTTTTAGGTTCAATCCCTGGTCAGGGCATGTACGGAAGGCAAACAGATATCAATGTTTCTCTCTCCCTGTCCTTTCCTCTCTCTCTCTCTAGAATCAATGAAAAACATGTCCTTGATGAAGATTGGGGAAAAAAGAAAATACTATTAAGTCCAAGTTATCTTCACCTTAACCGTTCAGTTGTATTTTACTTTTAGTCCTACATACTTCTCCCCTATGTAAATTCAAACACCTCACTGTCACCAGAGTGATCTATCTAAAATGCTAGACAAAATACTTATTTATTTTTACAACACCCGTCAGTGGCATTCCTATATGCTAAATCAAGTTCATGGTCCTTATACAGCATGTAAAGTTCTTCATTATTGTCTCCAATAATGAAGAACTTTATATGCTGGTCTCCTCTTGCAGACCAGGAGCCCTTGGGGGATGCTGTAGTCCTGCCTCCCTCCCTTACTGACTCTACTCCTTACACCTCATACTTTGCAGTTCTCTAATATGCTCTAAATACACCAATTTAACCATATACTGCCATGATATTTAATACTGTATCCATTAGACCTGGAATGGTCCTCTTAACTGTTTGGCAAATTCATGGCTCTTTTTCAAAATCACATTTAGCTGTCCCCTGTTCTCTGTGTATTTCACCCTCACCCTCCTCCAAAATAGAACTCATTACTCCTCCTCCTAACCTGTTCAAGAATTTTATTCATCATATTTTTCTGTGTTATATATCTTCACACTAAGCCTGTCTTGAAGACAGGAACCAATTCTCATCCATCTGTGTAGCCTCAGCATATAGCATAGTTTCTAGCATATACTCAATTAGTAAATATTTAATATAGTGAAATTTCCTTTAAGGTCACAGTTTAACAAGTACTCTTGGTTGATCGCTCATTCACTATTCAATTGTACAAACTGTCCCAATTAGCATCTATCCAACATTTCTACTTAATACATTATTGATCTGATATAATCCAATTTTTCCCTCCCTATATGACTTTCAAAAGCATATCTTATATAATAATAAATTAGTCTTCAGTAAACTACAACCAGGCATCAGGGCAAAAAGTAAAAATTGCCTATTCCCATAGCTTTTACTTCATAATCTTGATCACTAAATCTTAAAAATCTACTAGAATAAAGTAAAATGTCATGCTACTCCTTTACTAAAAAGTCAATATTGTCACACACACAAAAAAAAAAGACATGTAAGAATCCTCATCCCCAGAAAGTTTTATTTTATTCTGAATAAATTAGATTTTGTAACTGATTTACTTGCATCATCTATAAATGGAGATTTCACTTCTTTAGTATATATACAGTTTCCCTTACCTGGTGTTTGTTGTCTTTCTGCTTCCTACACCTTAAGAAACAACAACCTGGGACCATTGTTGGTATGTTTCAGTAAGGTCAATCTTTTCCTCCAGGATAAAAATCCTTGGGGCAAAAGGACTACATTTTTTTTTTTTAACAACTGAACTGTTCATCTCTCAACTGTCACTCGGAATTCTGACTGCCTGGTAGAAAGGGGTTAAAGAAAGGTAAAAATAAAAAATAAAAAATTATACTAATCTTTTCTTGGCAATAACAAAGAAATGGCCAGAAAAAAAAGTCAAAGAGGTAGTCCTTTGGTCTGTCAAGATGAGATAAGTTAGAAGTACAACCAAAAAACATAACTCCAGTCATATGCTTTGTACAATATTTTAAAATAAAAAAGACTTTTCAGAAGAGAAAAATCCTAAGAATTATCAAAGAGCAAATCTTAAGTTAGTACCATAATAAGTTTCCACAATTATCAAATAATTCTTTTAAATAAATTTTTAAAAATGTGACTATGAAATTTTATTCTGAGGATTACTGCTAAAACTTCATAAAACTATTATTCATTTAAAAAAATTCATCTCGTGCTAAGAGTTATCTTAACAATACCTAAATGCACACAAAAACTTCACAGTAAACGACATTCTACTTTTCTGGGTAAGAATTAACACAATCAAAAACCATCTACATGCCCTGACAGAATGGCTCAGCTGGTTGGAGCATGGTCCTGTACACCAAAAAGGTTTCAGGTACAATTCCTTGCCAGGGCACATACCTAGGTGTGTGTTTAATCCTCGGTCGGGGTGCGTACGGGAGGCAACCAACTGATGTTTCTCTCTCTGCCAACATCCCCTACACATACACCACCCCTTTCTCTCTATGGAATTAGTTAAAAACTGTCCTTGGGTGAGGATAAAAAATATCTATTATATTTAATCTAATCCAAGTCATTAACCTTGCATCTCACAACTGATATTTTATGAAGCACTAAAAATTAAAAATACTGCCAACTAAACTGTAACCAGAGACTGTAAGATACAACCAGACTTCAGAAATGGATGATAAATTAATAATAAGAAAAAAAAACTTACAATTGATGAAATATCCTATCTCTTATAAGCTATGCCTCAACAAAACAAAAATAAGAATAAGATTAGAGGCATGAAGTCATATTCCTGCACTAAATATCATCTGCTCAGAATTTTCTCTCTATTAACTTCAATTTGCAGGGGTAAAGAATATATAAAGTAATAAAGATTAAGCAAAGTATTTATTGAAGGGAGGAGGAAAATAAGTAGATTATACCTGTTAAGATATTAACAATACTTCCACAGTACTTGGCACAGCTATTTACACCAATTTAATACCTGCATAAATGTGGATTATAAAATTAAAAAGCATGCGCCTGCTGAAAGAAGTGCTATCATTTTCAATAACTTATATTTCAGCTTCTAATAAGTGTGTTCTATTTTAATGTGTCATCTAATACCAAAAGTTTTTAGAATATTTTTTAAAACTGAAATTTGAAGAGTTGTGTAAGAGAAGAGTGTGAAGGCAACCCTCAGGAACGGCATAAAATGAATGTTGCCTGGGGCTCTAGTTTATGAAGCTACAAGAGGCACCAGGTGGGGTCCCAAGGCCTGGCCTGTAGACATCTCACAAGGGGTCTCAGATTGCGAGAGGGAGCAGGCCAGGCCGAGGGACCCCACCAATGCACAATTAGGGCCAGGGAGGGACCAAGGACATCTCCAAGGCATGTCCGGCCCATCTCGCCCATCCTGATCAGCCGGCCCCAGTAGCAAGCTAACCTGCTAGTTGGAGCATCTGCCCTGTTGGTCAGTGCATGTCACAGCAACTGGCTGAAAGAAAGGTTGGACACTTAAAATGTGTAACTTGGATATGCAAAAGATAATAACTCACAATGTTAATATTAAATATTCCTTCAAAATAAAAATAAAAATAAATAAAAAAAATTTAAAAAAAGAAAGGTTGGACACTTAGCATATTAGGCTTTTATTATATAGGATGCTTATTCAGGCTGCTATAGTTTTGATGACTTGGTATAAATATAGAAAAAAGTATGATGGCAGTATGGAGTGGAAATGAGACAGAAAAAACAAATATTCTAAGGGAAAGATATGGAGGCCTAAAATAACTACTATATGCAAAGAACTAGGCTAAACACTATTCATAAACTTACTCATTTAAATCTACCAAGCTTATGATGTAAATAAAATGTGAAAGACTTGGGATGACAGGTTTCAGAAAGGTTAAGCAATTGGATCAACATCACTGCATTAAATGCTGGTATTAGGTTTCAAACCCATTCTCGCTCTCCTCTTCTTTTTTTTTTTTCTTTTTTTTTAAATTGATTTAAGAGAGGGAGAAAGAGGGAATGAGAAAGAAACATCAATGATGAGAATCATTGATCAGCTGGCTCCTGCACATCCCCTACTAGAGATCAAGCCAACAACTTGGGCATGTGCCCTGACTGGGAATCAAAGCATGATCTCCTGGTTCATAGGTCAACACTTAACCACTGAACAACACTGGCTGAGCCAAACCCATTCTCTTTTTAAGGAACCATGATGCCTTAAAGAATGTGAAGTTCCAAGTCTGAAAACTTTTATCCTCAGAACCAAATGCATCAAAATAACTCAAAACATTCTTTTTATGCATACTATTACATTTTTCATTCCTTTGGGCGGGAGGAGGGAAGCTCATAAGCATGTTAGCATTAACTTCCTTTCAGGAAGAAAAGTTATATTTTCTTTAGTTTGGATATTTGATAAACACAAGAACAATAAAAATACAATCAATATTTTCCAAAGTAAATGAACTGGTTACTATTTAAGAAACGGCTCATGAAAAACCTTACCTGTTTAGAAACAAGGGTCTGTAGCCTCTGAACTTCTAATTGTAATACTTTGTTTTGGTCACTTAAAATCTGGAAGAAAGAATCTCAACTTACTGTTTAATTAAGAAAAGGTAACAATGCAATAATTTGAGTAAGTTATTTAAAAAAATATCAAACCCATATTATTGCTTTAAGTACTAATAAAGTGGCAGGTGAATTATATCCTAATGTACATAAGAATGCAAATCTCATATGGCTCCAGTTTCCAGTTTTAATGAATACATTCCAATTTTAATGAATACTTTCCAGTGCTAGTATAAAGTACATTTATAATAATCTCTAAAACAAATTCTACCGAACCCCCTATTTCAGTCATGTAGTTTATCCTAAAACACTGCTAACACTGTGCTTTAATCTGTTTTAATGTGTATTTCAAAGAGCTGAACAGTTTGTGCCAATGGAATCTGGGGAACAGTACTTTCATAAGTGACTAGTAGTAAATAAAAGCCCCCAAGAAGCAAATCATACTACACTGAGATGCACCCTGGGAATCAGAATGCTGTACAGCACTCAAGCTGGTTGGCCAGAAACTAACACTGCATCAACAACAAAGGCAGACAGAATCATCACAAACTACCAACTGAAAACTGTAGAGAAAAGGCTAGAGGGAAACAAACTTCAAAAGTTTGTTTCCCTCTAGAAATAAGATAATGTAGGCGAGAAGAATCTGATAAAATTCATTGCTTGTATAAATCCTCAAATAAACTCTATAAACACTGCTTTAGAATCATTACACATGAAAGTTGTATTTCTAGATTCACTTCAACTGAAAACTATTACAAATTTGTTCAAATAAAGCAGAGATGACAAGCTTAATCACATACCTTAAATTCTTCCATTTTGTTTGAAATTTCACACTGTAGCTGCTCTTCAAGCAGTCTTATTTTATCATCCTTAACACGAATACTATGAGAAAAAAATCAATTAAAACAGGTAATATATTGAGAAAGTGTACATAAATTATGTGCACAACTATGTTATAAGCAGCAATATTTCCTGTAATTATACTTGAACATAAATGTATGAATGACTCCATGTTCAACAATACATTACCTTTTATGCATCTTCTCCAGTTCATGTGCAGCAGCAGCCTGTGTTTAGAATGAGATGAGAATTATGTCATTTCTCAAGCAATACTCTAAATTATTTTTTTACTTATTTTTCCATATTAAAAAGTTACATTTTTATATATTTGGAGTAAGTAAAATTAAAGCAATATCAATACACTTTGCCATCCAATATTTTGTACTTCTTATTGATCAACCTTTATCCTATTAAAAAGATATGTCCTTTTTTAATTAAATGGTAAAAAGCTAGAATAAACCAGCACATTAAGAATGTTATAACTGCCGAAGCCGGTTTGGCTCAGTGGTGGAGCGTCAGTCTGCGGACTGAAAAGGTCCCGGGTTCAATTCCGGTCGGGGGCATATACATTGGTTGCGGGCATATACATTGGTTGCGGGTAGGGGGTGTGCAAGAGGCAGCTGGTTGGTGTTTCTCTCTCATCAACGTTTCTAGCTCTCTATCTCTCTCCCTTCCTCTCTGTAAAAAATCAATAAAATATATATATATTTTTTTTAAAAGAAAGAATGTTAGAACTATTCCTCTGATATATGAAAAGTGGTCAATTCTTTGGCTCGAACATTAATTTTAATATCTAGATGGGTTGTGAGAGGTATATAAAATAGAAAAGTCTTTCAACAACATACCATGAGCCAGACCTGAGTAACCATTATATTTATTTATTGTCCACATGAGTAAAATTAAGATCTTCCAACACCAATAAAAATAAGTATAGACAAACTGAAATTCTGAGGTAAATGCTTAAAAAGCAATAAAGATCTACCTGTTCATTTGCCAAAGCCTGTAATTTTTGCACTTCAGCTTTTAGTAAGAAATTCATATTCTGTATATCCTAGAACAAGAAGGAAAAATAGAATTAGAAAGACTTAATATAATTGACTTTGAAGCTTGTAAAACACTCTTCTACTTAAGCAAATGTCTCAAAGCAAAGTCTCAAATTATAATTTCTTAAATGAGAAAGAAAACCATCAACTCCTGTTGTTTATTTCCTGAATTATTGTCAATTATATCATGTGAGAAAAAAACCTTTAAACTTTTCCTCTTCAAGGGCAAAAAAGAATTTCGTAGTTTAGAAAAGAGACACTTTTCAGATGAATTCGAGTATTTTCTCTTTTTAAAAAAATATATTTTCATTGATTTCAGAGAGGAAGGGAGAGCGAGAGAGAAATAGAAAAATCAAAGATGAGAGAAAATCATTGAACAGCTGCCTCCTGCACATACCCTACCAGGGATCAAGCCTGCAACCCAGGCATGTGCCCTTGACCAGTATCAAACCTGGGACTCTTCAGTCCACAGGCCGACACTCTATCCACTGAGCCAAATTGACTAGGGCTAGAGTATTTTCTTCTTCATAAACACATATACTGATTACAAGATCAAGGTAACTCAATAACTATAATATAAAATATTGCAGCCATCTTACCCAATAGAGAAACATGTAAATTGACCATATCTCCGCTATGCCCACAGCCAATCAGAGTATGCAAATTAATCCAACAAAGATGGGGGTTAACTTGCGTACTACCTGGGTCCTGGGAACCTCCTCCGAACCAGGTCACTCCCAGCCAGCCATGGGCGGGGAGAGGGACTAAGACTGCAATCGGAGGTTCTGGGAGGGGAAAACCTCTTCCTAAGCCTAAAGCCTGGGGCAGAGGCTTTAGGCTTGGGAAGGGGCCAAGATTGGGGTCAGAGGGAAAGGGGGGAAAAAAATCAATGGAAAGAAATGTCATATCTTATGAAAGACACATCTTGAAAATGTCTAAAGAAAGTTGTCGTTTGTTTTTTTTTTAATATATTTTATTGATTTTTTACAGAGAGGAAGGGAGAAGGATAGAAAGCTAGAAACATTGATGAGAGAAACATTGATCAGCTGCCTCCTGCACGTCCCCCACAGGGGATGTGCCTGCAACTAAGGTAAAGGCCTTGACCGGAATCGAACCTGGGACTCTTCAGTCCACAGGCTAATGCTCTATCCACTGAGCCAAACCGGTTTTGGCAAGAACGTTATTATTTTTTCATGGTGAAGGGACTAGAGCCTGTGTTGATGAAAATATCTTGGTAGCTGCAGCAGCAGGGTGATGGGGCTAGCATCTTCCCCTGATCAGCCCCATCGCCTCCCGCACAGGGAGGCCAGACTGCGGCTTAGGCCCACTCCCCACTGGGTAGGGGAGCATCAGTAGGACATCCCCTGAGGGCTCCCAATATGTGAGTGGGGGCAGGCTGGGCTAAGGGACTCCTCCCCAGTGCACAAATTTTGTGTCCCGGGCCTCTAGTTTGTAATAATTACTGTACCTTAAGTTCCTCCTCTTTACTTGTTAAATGATCATGTTCATTTGCTAAAGAATCTTCCGTCTGTTTTATCTGTTTATCCTTTTCTGCAATCCTTTAATGGAAAATACATTTGCATTCAATAAATATTCAGAAGTCAAACCACAAATCAAAGCAGTTTCTCATAAACTGTACTTTTAATTTCTGTAATCCCCCTTTCAGTGTAGCAATAACTGTCATACACACTACAGCTCCTTAAAATACCTACCCCTATTTTAAAAGTTGAGGTAAAATAACTTTTTAAAGCTCACAAGCCTGGTAATGTCTAAACCTGAGTTTAGAAGGGACTCTTTCCCCCTCCCCACGTGGGAGTCTGTACTTGTTCTTTAATAAATTTCCACATTTACTCTACAAAAAAAAAAAAAAAAAAAAAAAAAAACCCTGATTTTAGGGCTTCTGAACTCAATTACACAAAAACACAGAACTTTGTTTTGGCCATCACTGTAAAATTAGATACAGAGTACTTGCAACTACTTAGACACAAAAACTAACTTCCACTGATCTCAAATCATAATTATCTCTCCCACATAAATGCTCAAGACCAAATGAAGAAAATTCCCCAAATCTTTTTATGATAAAGACAAAAACACAGAACGTTTAACTTTTCAGGAATGAAATCATTAAGCGGGAGCAGGGCAGGCAAGAGGGTGAGAGTTGCTCCAAATTTAGTTGCATTTTCTGAACAAGTTAGAATATAAATTTAATCATAAGTACTGAATCTAACAGGTAATAAGTTAATGGTGACTAAGCAATTACAAGAAAATGTAGACAGGCAGGCTTACACTTTATGTAATTCTTCTGCTAGAACTGAAGCAGAGGTCTAAGAAAGAAAAACAGTGTCAACATAAAAGCATTTAGGACAAAGTTTAAAAGTTTTACAATAATCATTAAAAATTAAAAGAAATTAAGGTATATAAAATTATTAAGGCATCATCTAGCACATAACAAGTGTTCATTAAATAGTAGCTATTATTTTGAAGGCAAATTTGATCAGCAACAACCAACAAAGAAACGAAACATCGGGAAAATAGCCAGAAAGTTCCTTTTTCATTCCTGTACTTCTTTTCCTTAGTAAAGATTTCTAATACTAACTAAATGATACAGTTCATGATGAAGGTAAACTTTTTGGTAATACCTATGTACATCTTTACTTCTTAAAAGGTATTTATAGCATCCTCTAAGTATTTAATCCCTGATAAATTTTCTAGAGCTCTCTTTCAGCTAATAACTTTGATTTTAATCAATATGAATTGATAATTTATATATACATACACATCCATAAACACACAAACATCCTTTCCTATATTAAGTAATTCTCCCTAATTAATTTTAGGCTACAGTTTCTACAAAGAAAGGAAATAGGGGGTGCGGATGGGAAGGAAATGTTTGCTATCTCAAAGTTTTAGGACTTTAAATTTTCCTTAAACTTTAAAAAAAAGTTTTAAATGTGAAAACTACTTTTTATATAGAAAGGTGAATCCTTTTTCTACAAACAATTTTTAGAATTTTAAAGTTGAAGAATTAAAATTCACAATATGTATATAATGGAAACAAATTAAATACTCACAAGTTTTTTTCTTTTTTTCTCACTATATTATTATTTATATTACAAAGACTATATCTACTTATCTACCATAATAAAAAGATATATCCTTTTTTAATTAAATGGTATAAAGCTAAACCAAATTAGCACATTAGGAGTATTTTAACTGTTCCTCTGATAGCTCAAAAATAGTCAATTCTTTGGATCAAACATTAATTTCAACAAGAAAATAGTTAATATCTAGATGGGTTACATTAAAATGTTGCTAAAGAAAAACAGGTCTTTGGAAGGTTTCTACACTCACTAAACTGAAATATAAATCTTAAAATGATCCTTTTGCATATATAATCTGAGAGTTATGATCAGCATACTGCTACTACCTGAAGATAAAGTTTTCATTCATGGCTAGTCAATAGTAGAGAACACTTCTAATAGACAAATGACTATTCTTAACACAATTTGGCCAATACCTCCTGTTTTGTGACAGAATTGTGGAAATTTTTTCTTCATATGGCAAAAACTCTCTAACTCACCTCTCAATTAGCTGAATTTGAATTTCTTATTGTTTCTTCTTATGATTATTAGTGTGTTTATCACTCAGGATCATCAATGCTGATACTAGTCTCCCAATGACTAATCCAGTGCTCAGCACTCAACAGGCACTCAGAGGATTAGTTACACAGCTAGGAAGCTATTAGTAATGATAAACGGTAAGAGAGCATCATTACCTGGGCTGCTATCTGGGAGTGGAATTGTTGAATTTGAGCTTTCAAAGCCTCATTCTGCTCCAAAATATCCTTCCATAAACAGCAACCAAAAAAGAGAGAGGGGAAAGTGTATTGTTACTAAATATACCAATGCATACAAACAAAATGAGTTACAGGTACATGTGTTTATTTTTAGAAAGGCATTCTTTGATTCCAAAAGACGTCATTTTACAACAATAATGATTAGGCATTCTTCTAAAAGAGTTAATTTACAAGGTAGAAATTAAGAATATGTTGTGTTGTTCCTAATCTAATACAAAAAGCCTAAGACTGTGGGTGAGGACATCTTTAAGTATATATTCAAAAACAACATACTGTGACAAATGCTCAAAGATTAAGTTTTAATTATTCATCACCACTCCAGAATTAGGACAAGGCAGACTATCTTCCCTTCTTCTATTCAGATAAATCCAATTCCTGCCCACCTTTATTTTTTAAGAGAGAGAAAACTAGATACCTGAACTTGCATTTGTAGAGACTCTTCTTTATTCACCCTTTTTTGCTCCAATTCCATTAACTGCATTAGTCTTTGCTCCAATTGCTGTTTTGATACCAAGGTATCTGTAAGCTTACTATGTAGACTCTGTACTTCATTTTCTTTGGCCACAAATTTACTCTGTAAATCTGTAACAAAGCATTGTGTTTTACAAAGGACTCTTCCTTTCCTGGTTACTGATACTTATATTTATTTAGTGTAGGCATTATCTCCTCCTTGAATGTCTCCGCTATTCCCTCCTTCCTGCCTGCATATGAACAGCCTATGTGCTTACTTTTAATCACAGTACCTGCCACATGATACTAATTCATCTTTTCACCCAGCTTTTTGAAATCAGAGATTACCTTTTCTGAATTCAGAGCTGTGACCAATGCTTGGCACACAGTACATATTCAATAAATGTGTTAATTGAACCATATGTGATTTTTAAAACTGTTATATCATTTCTTTTTTTTCTTTTTTAATTTATTTTTTTAGAGAGAGAAACATCACTGGGGAAGCAAAAACATCAATCTGGTGCCTTCTGCATGCCCTCTACCGAGGATTGAGCACACAACCCCAGCATGTACCCTGACCGGACCCAGAATTGAAGCTGCAACCTTTCTGTGTATGAGATGACGCCCAACTGAGCCACACTGGCCAGGGCTATTCCATTTCTTGATCTCAAACACCTTTTAGTAAGTACTTTAGTAAGTTATTTAATGAATTTCTTCTAAATTCCCTGTACTCTTCTACCTGGAAAGCAGAGAAAGATACTGAAAGCTGACAAATGTCCTGGTGTAAGATGAAGTAAAAACTTTCTGTCTGCTTCTCTTCTAATAACCCCAAGACAGACAGACGAGAGAGAGAGAGAGAGAGAGAGAGAGAGAGAGAGAGAGAGAGAAACTATCCTTGATGCAATCATAAGTAAATGTAACTCCAAATCACAAGACATTAAGACAAAATGAATGGCGAGATGATCACTCAATTGGAGGAAAGGGGAAGGATTCTAGAAACCTAGAAGGTTCAGGAAATCATGATACCAGGCATTATGAGTTGACTCCTGACTTCATAACACAATCAAGTCTAAAACAGGGAGAAGGGATAACACAGACAGAACATGGTTGACTAACACTAAGAACAGAGAGGGAAATAGAGGGAAAAAGGAATGTGTGCATTAGATGTTTTAAAAAAAGGTTATAAATTTCTTCCATAAGAAGATACTAATATCAGAATGGAACACAATTCATAAAAGAGCTCCTGAAAATTAAAGACATAATAATAATGCCAAGATTTAGAATTCAGAAGAACATATTTCTTATCAGCAACAGAAGTTAAATCGGTGGGAAATTTATCTCCAACCCAGAACGCTACATCTACCAAACTATAAAACAAGCATGAAAGTAGAAACAATAAAAACATTTTCAGATATACAAACATATGTACTTCAAGGCTTATTCATGTGAAGATACTAAAACATTTGCTATGAAATGAGAGAAGAAAGCAAGAAAGATGGCAGTGACACAAGATGCAAAAAACAGGACAAAACTAAGTCTCAGGAAGATACGTATGGAGCAAACCTAGAAAGTAAGGTACTCAAGCAGGAAGACTGAGTACTCCAGACAGATAGATCCAGGAAAAACTGATAGAGTCTCCATTATCTAACATGTTGATAGGCTGGAAAATGTTAAAGGGAGTTTAACCACAGGTAAAAACTTAAATGGTAAAACAAAGATCAAGCAACTTAAAAATCATAAAGCAATAATTAGCTCCAGAAAATTATAACACTGTTCAAGAAAAGAATTGCAGTTTTAATATTTTCTTGGCTCAGCACTGAGTACAGAGTCATAATGATGTAAACAATGAATACTGACATGATCAAAAAGTATACGTAACCTAAGAGAAACCAAGATGGAGGTATAAGGTAAACACCTATACTGCTGCCTCGCCCAATTTTAAAACTGCAACTAGAAGACATTATGGACATCATCCAGAACCACCAGAAAGCTGGCTGAGTGGAATTCTACAACTAGAAGGAAAGAGAAAAGAACACTGAGATTCAGGGGAACTGTGGAGGTGTACCATGTGTTAGAAAAAGGGCAGGTAGCTGAATACGAGGCTGGCTTACTCAGGGTGCATGGAGACAGCGGGAACACACAACTAGCTCTCTCATTCAGGAGGAAAACAAAACCTCCCAACTGCACTGAAATCCAGCTCCGGGTGAGACTTAGGGTACCAGACTCATTCAGGGAGAAACTGGACTGTCTAGCAGTGGGCGAAATTCAAGAGCAGCCTTCTCTCAGAGGTGCGTGCAGCCATTTGCTGCAGGACACTGAAACACAGGCCCTCTTAGGGTGGGGCTGATGGGAAACCAAGACTGTCTGCTCCACCCTGAGACTCTGCCCAATCCAAGCTGAGCCCTCCCAGTGGAGACACTGCTGTCCTCATAACCTGGAAGTCAACTCCCCCCAGTAATACCAACAACAATCAAGGCTTAACTACAATAAAAATGCCCACACAGCCCACAAAGGGGTGCATCGAGAGTGTCCACATCAGGTAACTGGGGAGGCTGAGCTACTGGGCCCTGCTAGGACACCTAGCACACAAAGCAACTCTATCAACTCAGGGAAGCAGATAAAGAGGCAGGCCACAAATGAAGGAAATGGAGAAAAGCAAAAGACTGGATATAGAGTTCAAAACCACAGTTATAAGGTTTTTCAAAAATTTCCTAGAAAAGGCCAATAAATTTAGTAAGACCCTCCAGATATGAAAAAGGATCAACTAGAAATTAAGCATACACTGACTGAAATAAAAAATATTATACAGCCGAAACCGGTTTGGCTCAGTGGATAGAGCGTCGGTCTGAGGACTGAAAGGTCCCAGGTTCGATTCCGGTCAAGGTCATGTACATTGGATGTGGGAACATTCCTAGTAGGGGGTGTGCAGGAGGCAGCTGGTTGATGTTTTTATCTCATCGATGTTTCTAGCTCTCTATCCTTCTCCCTTCCTCTCTGTAAAATATCAATAAAATATATTTTAAAATATATATATATATATATATATATTATACAGAGACCTAAAAGCAGACTAGAAGACTGCAAGAAGTCAAAAATTTGAAATACTAAGGAGCAAAAAACACTCCTCTGGAAAAGAAAAAAGAATCCAAAAATACAAAGATAGTGTAAGAAGCCTCTGGGACAACTTCAAGCGTACCAACATCAGAATGATGGGAGGTCCCAGAAGAAGAGACAGAGCAAGATACTGAAAACCTATTTGAAGAAATAGTGACCAAAAACTTCCCCCACCTGGTGAAAGAAAGACTTACAAGTCCAGAAAACGCACAGAACTCCAAACAAAAGGAATCCAAAGAGGACCACACCAAGACAAATCATAATTAAAATGCCAACGGCAAAAGACAAAGAGAGAATCTTAAAAGCCGCAAGAGAAAAACAGTTATTACCTACAAAGGAGCACTAATATGATTGTCAACTGATTTCTCAACAGAAACTATGCAGGCCAGACAGGAATGGCAAGAAATATTCAAAGTAATGAATAGCAAGTACCTACAGCCAAAAATACTCTACCCAGCAAAGCTATCACTCAGAATCGAAGGCCAGAAAAAGAGCTTCACAAATAAAAAAAAGCTAAAGGAGTTCATTACCACCAAACCAGAATTATATGAAATGCTGAAAGGTATTCTTTAAGTAGAGAAGAAGGAAAAGGTAATGATAAAAATGAAGAAATATGTAACTATCAACAAGGAAATCTAAAAATCAATGAACAGTATTAACTGGTAAATATAATAGAATCAGGGGCATAGAAAGGGAGTGGACTGACAATCTCGGGGGAAAAGGGGATTGGAGGGTGCGGGAAGAGATTGAACAAAAAGCATCCACCCATGGATGAGGACCAGGAGAGGTAAGAATAGGGGGTGGCCGAAACCAGTTTGGCTCAATGGATTGGGGACTGAAGGGTCCCAGGTTCGATTCCAGTCAAGAGCATGTACCTTGGTTGCGGGCACATCTCCAGTAGGGGGTGTGCAGGAGGCAGCTGATCAATGACTCTATCTCATCGATTTTTCTAACTCTATCTCTCTCCCTTCCTTTCTGTACAAAATCAATAAAATAAAAATAAAAAAAAGAGTAGGGGGGCAATAGGAACTTGGTGGAGGGGAGCTATGGGGGGGAAAAAGAGGAACAATTGTAATAATCTGAACAATAAAGATTTATTAAATTAAAGAAAAAGTATACATAGCCTTATCAATCGGATGAGGGAAACGTGAGAGAAATGGTCTGAGAGTATTAAGCCCTCATTTCCTGTGACAGAAAGTTAACTGATGCCTATCAAGAAATAGCAAAAGAAAAAAAAAAGCAGTGTAAATATAAATAATATGCTTAATTAGAGATATGATACAATTGCAACCAAAAAATAAAATAAATAAGAATAAACTTAAAGGATGTGAAGGACCTATATACCGAAAACCACAAAGCATTATTATAAGAGATTGAAAAACACACAATGAAATGGAAAGATACTCTGTTCATGGACTAGAAGAATAAACATTGTGAAAATGGCTATATCACCTTAAACAATATACAGATTTAATCAATCCTCATTAAAATCCTAATATCACCCTGGCCGGTGTGATCAGTGGTTAGTGTCAGACCCACGCACCAAAGGGTTGCAGGTTTGATTCCCAGTCAAGGATTCCCTTCAAAATTCCCTTCCCACCCCAGTCAGGACAGGTATGGGAAGGAACCAGTGGATTTGTCTCTCTCACATTCATCTTTCTCTCTCTTTCTTTCTCTCTCTCTCTCTCTCTCTCTCTCTCTCTCTCTCTCTCTCTCTCTCTTCCCACACACACACACACACACACAACCCCCCTCCTTCCACTCTCTCTGAAAGAGCAATAAAAAATATATCCTCAAGTGAAAATTAAAAATAAGTAAATAAATAAATTACAATGTCATGTGTTTTTTTTTTAAGAATAAAACAAAAAATCACAAGATTTGTATGGAGCCACAAAAGTCCCAGAATAACCAAAGCAATCCTGAGAAAAATTAAGAAGCTGGAGGTATCACAATATCTGACTTCACATTCTACAGAATTACAATAATCAATACATCATAGTATTGGCAGAAGAACAGACATACCGACCAATGGAATAGAATGGAGAGCCCAGAAATAAAACCACAGGTATATGGGCAAATAAAGTTTAACAAAGGAGCCAAAAACACACAATGGTGAAAAGAAAGCCTCCTCAATAAATGGTGCTGGGAAAATGGAAAGACACATGCAAAAATGAAATTAGATTAATTTGTCCCCATGTACATGAATTAATTCAAAATGGATCAAAAACCTAAATATAAGATCTGAAACAATAAATTACAATAAATAGAAGAAAACATCAATAGCAAACTTACGAACCTTAGTCATAGAGAATATTTTATGAATTTGACCCCAAAGGCAAAGGAAGTAAAGGCAAAAATAAATAAATGGGACTATTACAAACTAAAAAGCTTCTGCACAGCAAAGAAACTAATTTAAAAAAAAAAAAAAAAAGGCAATCAACCAACTGGGAAATGTTTTTCTTTTTTTGCAAGCAACAGCTCAGACAAAGGATTAATATCTAAAATATATAAAGAACTCATACAGCCCAGCCGGTGTTGCTCACTGGTTGAGTGTCAACCCATGAACCAAAAGGACGTTGGTTCAATTCCCGGTCAAGACACATGCCTAGGTTGTGGCTTAATCCCTAGTAGAAGACATGCAGGAGGCAGCCAATCAATGATTCTTTCTCATCACTGATATTGAGAGAGGGACTTATAATCTGATAGAGCACCTGAATTAATGTGAAAAATAATGATATTAAGTTTTAGAACATATATACTTATGTGAATAGGGGGTTAAGTTTTTCTTAAAGTTTCCTTTTTGCAAGGCCTGTGTGAATCGATTGAGGAGGTGACTTGGCTGTGAATCCAGCAAGCAGAATCGATAAGCAGGGTCAGACCAACCCACCAGGAGTCAAAACATCATCTCATCACCTGAGACTAAAGACAATAGCTGACGTCTGCGGACCTCCAGGGCTGCACATAACTGCATTCCATTCCCAGCCTCATCCTAGCCCATGCCCTTTATAATCCTGTCCCCTGCACCTTGCTGTAAGATAGGATTTGAATGCTTGTAGGTATCCTGTCTTTTTGGTTGGCTAGCCTTCTCAATAAATGCCTTATATGATTGAACCCTTTGTTATTGGACATAGCAATGGGCAGCCTGAGCCCACCCCGGAGTTTCCTAGTAACAAAATCTTTCTCTCTTTCCCTCTCTCTTCCACTCTGAAATTAATTTTTTTTTTTAAATAAGCAGAAGACCCAAAAAGACATACAGACAACTATCAGTCATATGAAAAGATGTTCAACTTCACTAGCTATTTAGGGAAATGCAAATCAAAACTACAATGAGACACCACCTGTTAGAAAGGCTATTATCAACAAGACTAGAGGCTGGAATATTAATTTGTACACAGGTGAGGTCTGGCCCACCCACCCCGATGCGGGTCAATCAGGCCAGGCCGGCTGGGGGGGTGGAGGGGCTGTGGAACAGTTACGCATCAATCAGGCTGGCAGGGGTGTGGTTAGAGAGTGACCAGGCTGGCAGGCAGAAGTGGTTAGGGGCAATCAGGCAGGCAGACAAGCAAGTGGTTGGAAGCCAGCAGTCCTGGATTGTGAGAGGGATGTTGACTGCCCATTTAGGATGTCCACTGGGATTGGGCCTAACTGAGCAGTAGGACATCCTTCAAGGAGTCCCAGATTGTAGAGGGTGCAAGCTGGGCTGAGTGACAACCACCCCCCCCCCCCCGCTCTCTGCACAAATTTCATGCACTGGGCCTCTAGTTATTTATAGTTACATATAGTTATATATACTTTTTATCTTCTTTGGTTTTTTTTCTTATATATTTTTATTGATTTCAGAGAGGAAGGAAGAGGGAGAGATAAAAACATCAACGATGAGAGAGAGTCACTGATCAGCTGCCTCCTGCACGCCCTCAAGCCATAAATCAAGCATGCACCCTAACCAGGAATCAAAAGGTGACCTCCTGGTTCACAGGTCAACACTCAACATGGAGCCATGCCAGCCAGGCAGTTATTTAAGTTTATAGTTACAATTCTTTTAGCAAAATTCATGTGTGCTTTGTTGATTAAATATAATTATTAATTTTAAGAATAAGCTAATGTATCTTAACATAAATATGAACTTTTCATATAAAGAAATAGGGCTTCAATATCTTGGGTATCTATAATAATAAAAGTGTAGAAATGACCATCCCAATGACCTTCATCTGCAGATGAAGCCAGGCTGTGAGGGCTGAGCCCCTTGCACAAATTTTGTTGCATCGGGCTCTAGTATTTATACATTGAACCAAAGGGAAATACTTGGGGAGATAAAAGAAATCAAAAGAAACCAAAGCTTTAAAGGTCCAAATTATAAAATTATATAAGAAAATGAGTAGTGGAGACATAAGTAACACACAAGCACTCTAGCTCTCTCCCTTCCTCTCTGTAAAAAAATCAATAAAATATATTTTAAAAAGAAGAATAAGAGATGAAAGTATTTAAGGACTAGGGAGTTTTAAGTCAACTACTTGGAATAATAATGATCTTGTTTTTCTCTTCACAATATATGAAGTGAGACCCTTAGAAACAAAATATCAAATGAAGAGTTGGTCAAAAATCCAAAAGGAATAATTACAAAAAGGAAACACACAACAAGGGTTGCATTACCCTATTATGGACTTAAAAATAAATGCAATCCTGTGTTTGTGCTGATTTGTCCATTCTCCAGGTTCAGTTACAAGAAGCTGAGAGAAGGCGGGAAGAAGTGAGGGCTGAGCCCCTTGCACAAATTTTTTTGCAACTTAATGCTTCAGACAAAGCTTTTAGACTGTATTTTTTTTTTTAAAAAATCCCCACCTGAGGACATGCTAATTGATTTAGAGAAGGGGGAGGGAAGAAGAGACAGAGAGACAGAGACAGACAGACAGACATCAATGTGAAAGAGAAAAATCCATCAGTTTTCTTTTAATACCAGTTCTAACCAGGTATTGAACCTGCAACCTTTTGATGTAGGGATTATACTCCAACCAGCTGAGCCCCACTGGACAGAGCTAGAGTGCTTATCTGTAAAACCCTAGGGAATGTTAGAGTAATAAAGGTGCTTTAAAAGCTATTTTTATTTAACTATAACCAAAATGCCAAATTACATACTGTCTCTACAATATGGAAAGGGGAGAAAATTTCACCCAGAATTATATACTAAATTTACATGACTACCTCTTCCCCTTACCTTGCTGGGCTGCCTCATGTTCTGTTGTTCTCTTCCTGATATAACTTTGGACTTCTTCCCGCCTTCTCTCAGCTTCTTGTAACTGAACCTGGAGAATGGACAAATCAGCACAAACACAGGATTGCATTTATTTTTAAGTATCCTCTACCTTTACTATTGTATCATAAAACTGCTTATTCCAACTACCAGTCTCCTACATTTTAATAAGATAGGCAGATATGTTTAGCCTGATAATATGCATGGATATTATCAACCTCAGCCATTCTACCCTCCCCATCACCTGAATACAGAATTTAGAGACTGGAAATTATTTCAAAACAATATTTGTGCTGGTGGATCATTATAGCTACTTTGTATATATCTGATCCTCTCAACTATAATCTGTTTTCCATTAAGCTTCTGTGAGCTAATAGGCTTTCCAAAGATAAGATGGTATCTTTATTGCTAAATTCCAGTAGGTACCTAATTTGTAATTTGAAGTATAGCACAACACTTTAATCTTTAGTGTCATTATCTACTTATTTATATTCAGAGAACAAGCTTCCATATGTGCAAATGCCAACAATATACACACCAGCAAGACAAATCCTATTTAATCTTATAGAATAAAGAGGTAATATGCAAATTGGCCATCACTTCAACACACAAGGTGACTACCCTCCATGTGGTCAAAGATGACTGTCCCCATGTGGACTCAAGGTGGCCGCCACAAGATGGCCAGCAGGGGAGCACAGTTAGGAGCAATTGGGCCAGCAGGGGAGCAGTTAGGTGTTGATCAGGCTGGCAGGGGAGGGGTTCGGGGGTGATTAGGCTGGCAGACAGAAGCAGTTAGGGGCAATCAGTCAGGCAAGCAGGTGAGCGGCTGGGAGCCAGCAGTCCTGGATTGTGAGAGGGATGTCTGACTGCCCTTTTAGGTCCGATCCCACTGAGCAGTCGGACATCCCTCAAGGGGTCCCAGATTGGAGAAGGTGCAGGTTGAGCTGAGGGACACCACTACCCTCCCCAAGCACAAATTTCGTGCACCAGGCCTCTAATTCTCAATGTTGTAGGCGCCCCTAGCAAGGGTGGCAAGGGTGGCAGGGGAAAAGATCAGGAGTCCAAGGTGTGGGCTGTGCCTTCTCCCAGTCCGGTCAGCCTCCCCGCCCTCCGAGGGGTGCAGGGGCTGGGGTAGGGTGTCGTACAGAGATTGGAAGAGCTCCCCATGGCCGCTTCCCCTTCCTTCTTTCCAGTCCGGGTTCGTCAGGCACTCTCCTCAGACCCCCGGGAACTTGGCTCCCACAGGCCCACCCCTCCATGGCTCCCTGCCACCCCCACCCTACTTGGCTCTTACCCACTGCCCGTTTGTCAGGAGGCTGCCAGGGTGCCCTGCTATGAACAGCGCAGGGAATAGGGGTCCGGGAAGCAGCTCCAGTAAAGTTTAGAAAAACCCAGGTCCACAGCGGGATTCGGCTGCGGGGGAACAGGGGAGTCTGCCTGGGTGGAACAAAATCATGCCAGAGTCCCACCCCATGGCCCCACAGCCTCGCCCACCCTGCTGAATGGTCATCCGATGTTATGGCATCCTGGCAATTTGCATATTCCTCTATTATTAGTACAGACTATGTTTTCTTTGATTACAAAATCCGAATTAACTGGTACACCTGGTACCTATAAATCAGCTCATTTCATTTTTCATATCTTCAAACTTAAGCCTATATTTAATTCTTACGTAAGTGCATACACATGTATATAGGCAGAGTACTACAGGTCCCATTCAGCCTCAAACTACATATCTCAACCCTTTTATCCATTTAGGACACTGAATTGAATGTGTACATTATTTATGAAATGATAAATTTGGGTGTAAATATATCACCTTCAGCTGAGTAACTGCTTGCTCAGCATTCTTCTTTTGAACTTCCTCTTGCTGCAATTTTCCTGTTTTCTCAGTCAGCTCATTCACCAATCTAGCATAATCCTGGCGCAGTTTATTCAGTTCAGCAGACTGCCTGAAAACAGTAACTAGATTAGGAACCTCGAATTTTTATTGACTCATATAAAGAATAAGCAAAACATATTGAGTGTAACCTCTGAATCACTCTGATGACAATTATACAAATTCTAAAATTACTATAATATAATCAAGAAAATGACCACACTCATAAGCATAGTCAAGTGTCACCCTCAAACTGATATTCTGAAAAATGTATTAAAATCAAAGTTAGGATTTGGTCTGAGTAAGGATGCTACTAGTCTTCTCTAATGCACTGTTTCTCAAAGTATCAGAGCCAACTACGTAACTATCAGTGACTTAATATGTATACTCCTGGGTTCCACCTTAGAGCATCGAATCATAATCTTTTAGGGATCGGACTCAAGAATATGCTTTTTCAAATAACATGCCAAGATGCTCCTCAGAATTATGAAATTTGATAACTACTGTTAAGGGGGATAGGTGGTTTAAAACTTCAGTCTCATAAATCAATATACCATTCCATTGGAGGTACAGTATTTATCATGTAGTTTAGCAGAAGAGGTTCTTCACAGAGCAAAGAATTGTTTTTTAAAATTAACTGATTTTATACACAAATATAAAAAAACAAAAGTCTAACCAATCACTATCCAACATCACTTTGAAGATTCAGAAATAGACTCTGCCATTCAATGAAAATACTCTGCCATTCAATTAAAAATAAAGCATTGGAAACATACTTGTTTTCTAGTTGGTTTGTAGTGTTGCTGACAGCATCTCTCAATATGCCATTTTCCTGCTTCAAGTGAGCTATCTCTGCTTCCATCTGCTCACGAACTTGCTGGAACTAAAATTATTTTACAAACATAAGATGTAGAAAACAATGTCTGCCAAAGCTAACTTTTTTTTTTTAATCCTCACCTGAGGATACTTTCCCATTCGTTTTTAGAGAGAGTGGAAGAGAGAGGGAAAGAAAAAACAATAATGCGAGAGAAACACATCAATTGATTGCCTCCTGCACAAACCCCCACCAGGCCCGGACCAGAGAGGAGCCTGCAACTAAGATACGTGTCCTTGAACAGAAAGAATCAAACCCAAGACCCTTTGATTAGCAAGCCGACACTCTATCCACTGAGCCAAACTGGCTAGGGCTGTCAGAGCTACCATTTAAAAGACACTTTATTGTTAAGAGAACATAAAAACCATGAAGAATAAATATAAAGAAACTAGAGGCCTGATGCACAAAATTCATGGAAAGAGCTTGGCCCTCACAGACCCTGCTGCCTTGGCCGGCCCTCATAGCTCCCCACAGCCTCGGCCGGCCCTCACAGCTCCCCACAGCCTCGGCCGGCCCTTGCAGTCCTGGCTTCGTCTAAAAGGTTGTCCGGATGTCATCCGGAAAGTCGTCCAGATGGTCATTCTGCTATTCAGTCTAATTAGCATATTAGCTCTATATTATGTAGGATTTAAAAGATAAATTACATTTTGATAATGCAAAGTGATGAATGCAAAGCAAATACCAACTGTCACAGAAATCCAAGAATGCAAGGAGCTCTGGCCAGTTTGGCTCAGTGGATGGTGTGTTGGCCTATAGACTGAAGGGTTCTGGGTTCAAGTCTGATAATGATCACATGACCAGGTTGGGGGCTCAATCCCCAGTAGAGGGCGTGCAAGAGGCATCTGATCAATGATTCTCTCTCATCATTGATGTTTCTCTCACTCTCACTTCCTCTCTGAAATCAATAAAACTATATTTTTTAAAAAGAATGCAAGTAGCCCTAACCAATTTGGCTCAGTGGATAGAGTGTTGTCCTGTGGACTGAAGGAATCCGGATTCAATTCTGGTCAATGGCACATGCTGAGTTGCAGGCTCAGTCTCCAGTGGGGGGCATGTAGGAGGCAGCCAATCAGTGATTCTCTTTCATCATTGATGTTTCTATCTCACACTCTCCTTATACCTTTCCCTCTGAAATCAATTAAGAATATTTTTTTAAATGCAAGTAGATGCTAGCTGCTATCATATTTGAAATGCAAAATAAGTACATAGAGATGCTATTTCAGAACTAAAAATGATTTAAAATATCTTTCCTACCCCAGACTCATACAGAATTAAGCCTATCTTAATCCTATGTCAATTTTATGTACACAATATTTTTTTAATTTTATTAATCAAGTTTTGAAGCTGAAAATATGTTCAATACACTTATACTAAATTGCAAATTGAGCCATAACCAAATATATGGCAAATTCATTACACAAAAGTATTTGCTAAAATAATTTTTTATTTATAGAATCAAAAGATAAAGAACATTGACTCTTACATCTCCAAAAGGACATATCTTACTTTAATATGTGAAATAATCTTAATAATTTTAATAGATCTATTTAATTAAGAGAAATTAAAATGTATGTTTCTATTTTTCAGAGAATTTATTATATGGAATCTATTATCATGCTATCTATAAGCAATCAAATTAAAAAAATAAGATGAATCACTTCGACACCTTTCATCTTCAATAAAAGATAATGCCATAAGTACCTAGCTAATTTTTAAATCAACATTAAGTAGCAATTAAGAAGAAGAAAGTATCACTATGGAAAAATCAGTTCTTCCATAACCTGACTTACAGAAAAGAATATTCAAATGACTAGAGGATGGGAAGATGGAGGATTGGACCAAATAAAAGCATAAAAGCAGCAGTGGATGGGGTAATAACCTGATAACAGTCACTCACTTCTTTTGTACTATTCTACTATTAGTGTAACACCATAAGAAACATGTGTACTTTGATAGCTGTGAAGAATACCGTAAGTTGAATATTTGCAGTATAGCCCTAGCTGGTTTTGTTCAGTGGATAGAGCATCGGCCTGCAAACTGAAAGGTCCCGGGTTTGATTCCAATCAAGGGCACATGCCTGGGTTGTGGGCTCCATTCTCCATGGGGGATTTGCAGGAGGCAGCTGATCCAGGATTCTCTCTCATCATGGATGTTTCTATCTATCTCTGCCTGTTCCTTCTCTCTGAAATCAATAAAAATATATTTTTTAAAAATTGCAGATTAGCAATGTGATCAAAATATTATTTTATAAAAATAAATGTGGTACTAATCCTGTTAGCACAGAAATTAGAGACCTATTAAGAAGTTGCTACAAATATGTTAGAATTGTTAGTGTAGGTAGCTAGTTATTAATAAAGAAAGAGAGCCAAGGAAATCAGACATTGAGAAGCCTAATGTAAGAGGGAGCTAAATTAGGCAATAAACCTGCTTAACTAGGAAGTTGCAGCATTCATAGGCTCCCCAGGGGATCAGAGTATTGCCCCACCAACAGGATTAACACCCCTCCTTGCCCCATATTGGGAGGAAGGACTGGCTTCCAATCTCCCCTGGGTATAATTGGCACACTCTCCCAAACTAAAGGGGGAAGGAATAAAACAACAAAGAAGAAATTCCTCTCTTGGGCACATGCCCAGTAGAAGCCACGATGGTACAATGGAAGGTCTTTCCACTTTCAGGCATGCATAGGAGCCAAGATGGAGACCATAAAGGAGAGGAGCTACCTTACTTGGGAAAAGATCTGATTGGAGAAGAGACACAGAAACAGGTAAGAACTAAAAAAATGGATCAGTTAGGGGAGGACCCAGACCAACAGGGGTTGGTTTGAAAGAGTACCTGGTCCTTCCTAAATCAGAGATAAGACAATCTGAGTTTAAAGGCAATCTCTCTCAATCTGTCTCTCTCTCTCATCCCATACCATACATTCATTCATGTGCTCATGCATTCTCTCTCCACAGCAGCCATGTGGGCATAGCAGCCACCGGCAGGAGGCCAGCCAGCCATGGGCACTCTAAACACAGGCACCAAGTGCTAGCCTGGGTAAAGCAACACAGCGCCAAGTGGAGTGCAGACAGGAACAGAGACTATGCTAGCTAGACAGGAACAGAAGTTGAACTGAACAAAGTTTTAACATGGACTAAACAAATGGCACAGAATTTCTGGACATTAGCTATTTTCCTGGGTTTTGATGAAGACAAGGCTAACTTTTTTCACAGGGGGACAGTTGGCGATGAGGTATCAGGAACCTGGGGGCGGCCTTCTATTTCTATCCCAAAAAACCTTACCACTGTATCTTATCCTCCCATGCATGGGTCTCCTGAAATGCTTTTCTTGCAACTCTGTGAAAGGACCCCATTTCCTCTGGCAACATTATGAAATACTATACTAAGGTAATGTCTAAGAATTAAATGCAGCCGAGACCGGTTTGGCTCAATGGATAAGAGCGTCGCTTAGGGACTGAAGGGTCCCGGGTTCGACTCCGGTCAAGGGCATGTACCTTGGTTGCGGGCATATTCCCGGTAGGGGGTGTGCAAGAGGCAGCTGATCGATGACTCTCTTTCATTGATGTTTCTAACTCTCTATCGCTCTCCCTTCCTCTCTGTACAAAATCAATAAAATATATTTTTTTAAAAATTAAATGCAAGAGTAATAAGAAATACAGTATCTATTAAGGTTTTAAGAATAAACTGTAGACTGAGCGAGGGAGAAAAGTCAAAGGACTGAAGAGTAATAATAATAATAATGCCTCAAAATGTTGAAAAACAAAAACAACCGATCAAAAGAGTATGATTTTAGACAGGTGATGATAAGAGCTTCCAAACTGAAGCATCAGCCAGCAATGAAAATAATTTCAAAAAATTAATGGTTCAGGAAGTTTAATTAAAAGGGCATTATAAGCCCACTTGGCAAGTAGACCCAAACCATGTTCTCCAAAACCCTCTTTATTAGCAATAAAGATGATATTTAAATCTCAAAAAAAAAAAAAAAAAATCGCTGAACTAGACCTAATTGGAATCATGAAAATGGATGATACAGAGAAAATATATATATAGAGTAAGAACTGAACTTTCTTAAATGCTAGAAGTCAAGTGAAAGAAAGAACAAGAGATAAAACCAAAACTGTAGGATTATCCTTCATTATCATTTCTCTCCTCCTCTCTCCTCCACTAAGCTCTATCTACTCTTTCAAATGACTCAAACTCATCTTTCCATTGTCAACATCTGATTTCAGGACTCTGTTCTCTTGGTTTCCTGCCAAAGCTTTCCAAAAGATCTATCCTTTGTTCCATTCTCCACAATACTGTCAGAGTAATAATTTAAGATATTAATATTATAACACTGATGCCATTTTAATAACCTGATTATTATTTAACATGAAAGGAATGAAAGGGGAAATCGAATAGTATAGTAGTACAGGCATGACATTTGTTCAGCTTTGCAAAAAGCTGCATTTAATACTCCAAGTTTGTTCCCAGCTCACTGACTGGGGAAGGGACTAGAGAAAAGTAGTTTGGACACATTCCCAGTAAGATCTAAGTGAATGGAAAAATACTTGCCTGTCAGTCACACCTGAAAACAACTCGTGGCCAAGATGAGCGTGGCTACTGCAAGCTAGGGAAATCTATTATAAATAGATAAACTTCTAAACAAAGAAAGCTCAGCCCTTCCTCCCTCCCTCTCTCTCTCTCTCTCTCTCTCTCTCTCTCTCTCTCTCTCTCTCTCTCTCTCACACACACACACACACACACACACACACACACACACACACACACACACACACGCCAGCCCTCTGGGGACTCTAGCTGTAGGAGGCTACGCTGTACCCACAAGGCACAAGGCCATGCTGGATTCCACACATGGACTAATGTATTGCAATCTGGTCTGAATGCTGAACCACAACCGGTTGCAACGTTGAACAGAAACTTTGGACACTGGCCTTGTTTCTGATTCTGCTGAATTCTCAGCTGCCCCTCTTCCAGGACTGGCATGGGGGAAATGGGATATTGCAATTAGAGAAATATAACTCTACCCCAATAAAAACCTTCCACATTTCATCCTCCCATGGGGGCTTCTGAAAATGCTTCTTTTAGTGGCATGCCCAGAGCCTCACTCCCACCTGTGTCTGGGAAGTCTGGCCCTTTAATTCCTCCGGCATCAACACTTCTAGTTTGCTAAATTTCACCAGCTCCCCAATCTTCAGTTATACAAGGCTCTTTAAGTCAGGACCTCTATTTAGTCCTCTAGTTCTTCCCTTCTACATTCCAGCCCTGACTCCCAAATAACTTAAGTTTTATTTCTTAAAAACTGTTATTTCCAAACATTCTGTATTGGAAACACTGGAGTAATTAAATTACACTAATTAAAAAGCTCTAATAGCCCCAATATAGGCCCAATGAATTATCCTCTCTAGAGATTGACTAAGGAATCACACAAAGTAAAAACCTCTTATACCAAGTGCCCACTCCTTCATCCTCTTACTAGTAGCTGACCATGCCTAATTGTTTCAAAAGATTCAAAGTCTGAATATCATTTCTAACAAGTCTTCTTTATCATTCCTTCTCCTTCCCGTCTCCCATCTCCATTTTCCAAAGCACCCAATGCTTATACCACTATTATGATTTACTTGTCAGCTTCCAGCTCCCTACCTCATCCCCACATACAAAAGTTGTTTACTTAAGGCAGCAGCCAGTTTAACTAGCCACTATACAATGACCCAGCATAGAGCCTTACCATATTAGGTACTTAATTAAATTAAATCAATGCAAATACTTCACTTTGTTTTCAAAGAATGAAGATATACCTTCATCTGCATCTGTTGAGTCTCCTGATAACTGACATGCATTTTGTTTTGAAATACATTATGTTCCTTTTCTAATGTTCCAATCCGATCTTTCATTCTTCCTATAACTACATTGCTTCTTTCTTTCTCTGCCATCATTTCCTAGAAGAGAAAACCAGAAAAAATATTATGAAAAATGTGTTATTAAAAATGTAAGTACATACAACTCTAATAATAAAAAAAACATTTTAACATCAGTAAAAATGATGACAGTAAAATAATCATGAATTCTGAAATAAGTACTTTAAAAAAAAAAAAAAAGCCAAAACCGATTTGGCTCAGTGGTAGTAGAGTGTTGGTCTATGGACTGAAAGGTCCCAGGTTCGATTCCGGTCAAGGGCATGTACCTTGGTTGCGGGCACATCCCCAGTAGGGGGTGTGCAGGAGGCAGCTGGTCAATGTTTCTCTCTCATCGACATTTCCAGCTCTCTATCCCTCTCTCCTCCTCTCTGTAAAAAAATCAATAAAATATATTTTAAATTTAAAAAAAAAAGGTTAAAAAAAAAAAACCACTGTCATCTGCATCTCACCTCTTTATACCAATTCCCTCAGAAACAGTATTCTGTTAACTCTTATTTCAAATGCACTTTTTGGTCTAAGAGTTAGAGCTGAACCTAAAATAAATCCTACCTTCTAACTTGATAAGAAAGAACATTTTAAAAGCAAAACAGTTCCCCTGGTCAGGTAACTCAGTAGATAGAACATCGTTCCAATACCACATCTGTGAGTTCAATCTCCAGTCAGGGCACACACAAGGAGAACCAATGAATGCATAAATGGGTGCAACAACAAATCGCTGCTTCTCTCTCTCTCCCTCTAAAATCAATCAATACATTAAAAGAAGAAAAACAGTTAGTTCTCTATAATTTGTAGGTACTAGCTCTCTTTTAGGGTAAAAAAAAAAAAAGGACTAGATAAAATAGCATAGAAGAGGAAAAAAGAAGCCTCTTTCCTAGGGAAAGAGATTGGTATGTTTATAGCAGAATGGAAGTTTGGAATAAGGGAAAAATCAGAAAGCAAAGTGGTATTAACTTCCTAAGTCAAATCTTAAAAGGGTGGTTTCATTTTATGTTGCAAATATTATGAACTTCTAGAACAAATATTATCAAAGTAAAAGAAAGTGAAACAATTTGAAAGTTATCTGCAGTTATGATCAGCCCATGCCCTGTTGTAAGAAACTAACAAAATTTAAGGTTTTTATGTAATTTATGGTTGCCCAAAAGAGTTTATTCATTTACATTAGAAATTGTTATATGATATACATAAAGCACTTAGAAAAAAATTATTCACATCTGAAGTGTACAGCTCAATGAATAACCAAAAAGTAGTTACCTTTTTTAATTTTTTAAGTAGAGTCAGAAAAATATAGCAACATAAAACTATACTGAAGTTTCTAATCTTAAAATATAGTAAAAAAATATGGTAACATAAAACTAAAGTTTCTAATCTTAAACAAATTATTATATTTTAGTAACAACTTTAATTTTAATCTGGTCAAGTTTTTCCAATGACATATTTACTTCAAATTCACATAAAGAATTTTATATTCAAATAAGACCATTCTCATAATGTCATGAAGAAGTTCTGTGAATGATGCAGAAATAAACTTCATTTTACTCTATTGTACTTAATTCCTAAAATGAGAAATAGTATTTCAAAAGGAATGAATCCCCATTTTCTATTGACTTTCAATTATGTTCTCAGTCTACATAATTTTTTTTGAGATTTAATTGACACAGACTGTTACATTAGTTTCAGGTTTACAACACATGATTCATTATTTGTATATATTGAAAAATAAGAGTAGTTAATATCAACACCACACAGTTGGAAATTATTTTTCTTGTTTAAGAACTATTAAGATCTATTCTCCTAGAATCTTTCAAATACACATACAGTAATTATTAACTGTAGTCACCATGCTTTACCTTACATCTAGAAGTTTGTACCACTTAACATGAATTTTTAAAGGCCTTTCTTTACCTCGCAGGGTAAAATTTTCAGGGCTTGAAGAACTTCACTGATTAAAAATTATAAATTTTTATAATTTAAACAAAATCACACTGAGTTTTATGCTTCTACAGAGAATAATTTAAGTCAGATCCAATTGAACAATGTCCAAATGCTGCCATTATTTCGAAATTAGGATATCTATAACTACTGTTATTTTAAATTCATAATTCAGCTGTAGGGTATAAATACCACAAAAGAGTAAGATACCACCACCACCAAAACATTAAATGAAAATAATTAACTCAGGAATTGTGGACAATTTCTAAAATCCTTCACTAATCCTGATTCAAAAACTGTATCCTTTAGCCTTGGCTGGTGTGGCTCAGCTGGTTGGAGCATCATCCTGCACACTGAAAGGTAAGGGGTTCAATTTCCAGCCAGGGCACATACTCAAGTTTCAGATTTGAATCTGGTCAGGCATGTGTGGGAGGCAATGACTGATGATTCTCTCTCACATCGATGTTTCTCTCTCTCTCTCTCTTTCTCCTCTCTCTCTTTCTCTCTCTCACTTTCCCTTCTTCTTTCTAAAATCAATAAAAAGATAAAATAGCCTTTGCTTAAAAAAAAAAAGTATACTCTTTAAATGCAAGAATGACTTCACCTGGGTTAACTGCTTACACCGATCTTTCATAGCAGCAGCATCTTCCTTCACAGCAGCAAGTAATTTATCTTTCTCTTGAAGCTGATGTACAAGTACAGTCAATTCTCCTTTACTTAACTATAATTGAGAAATCAATACAGTATTAGTAGTAGTTAACACAAGCTAATGAAAATTATGAAAATGAAATATCCAGATCAAGTGTTCTTAGGCCAATGCAGAGTTCATTAATACATATAAGTAGATGACTGCCAACTAGTGGTCAGTAAAATATCATTCAGACGATGATATTTTCACTGTATCAGTATATATTCTAATGCATAATAGGATACATATTAATCAAAAAACATATTTTTACAAAGAATTATATAGGTCTTCCAGTTTTTAACCATGAGTCAATATAGCCACCTCTCTCTCCTCCTCCTAAAAGATCAAAAGAATAATATGAAACCAAAATGCACCCAAATGAAAGTCTCTGTGATGTCAAAGTCATCTGTAATATCAGGAAAGATTGCCAAAAGCAGTGGAAATCAAACACAGGTGTTCAACAACCCTGTCAGAATACACCCAAAACTACAGAAGTGCCATGGGTGCTTAGTTCTCTGAAGTTAATAGGCATGCCCTGAGAAGTAAAAGCAATAATCTCCCATTTGACATCAGGAACAAGTATAAAGATAGAAGGTAGAAATTTTCTTGGAAGAAGGTCTCAAGAAGCAGAATAAAATAAAAATAAAATGAAGAAGAAATCATACAAACTTTACTCAGAGCAGCTACAGTGAAGCATGGTCAAGGGAGTTTGACCAAGCTTCTCTAGTGAAACTCTATAATGAAGATTTTATCTGGGAAAAGGAAAGGCAAAAATACACACATGGCCCCCAACGAGAACATCCCTCAGTGGAACAGGAGTATCGATCAAAAAGAAATAAAATAGGGTCTATACAAAATACAAGGAAAAAAGAAAGGAAAATAATAAGAAAAAACAAATGGCAAGAAGAAAAATCACCAGAAAAAGATTGTCAAAGAGTAGACAAAAATTGTAATTAAAAAATATCACCATGATTTTTAAAAATCTAGTATAACAGTCATTTCTGGAAAAATAAGAGCAAAGAACAGAGCTCAGAGAAAGAGCTCAGAGAAAAGACCAGACCACAGAACAAGATAAAATATGTGCTGGCAAAACCCAAAGCAGAGTAAAAGTAACACCATCTCAGAAATATAATCCAAATAGAAGCAACAAACAGAAAAAGAAAGACTGCTAAAAATACAATAAGAGACACAGAGTACAAGGTGAAGTAAATAAAAAGCAAATAAACCAAAAGCTTTATTTTAGAATTAAAATATGAACGATAAAGACAACAAAGATCCAACATATGCTTAATTTATACCCATTATTTTACTTATTTTTTAGGGACATTGAATCTCATTATTGAAAGGATATGCTTTATCCCAAGTAATATTAATAAAGGAGTCAATGCTCGGACATATTATAGTAAAATTATTGCTAAACTTCAAAGAAGCTGAATCCCTGGATGCTTGTACAGTAGGGCATATACTGGAAAAGTCCAATAAATAATAAACACTTGGTTGATTGCCCAAAGGATGTTTTTATTGTGAGTATAGTTCAACAAAAATACATGAAAAGAATGCAAAATTCAGGCAGATCTCAGATCTGTATCCAGCAATTTGAATGTAGAGAATAGTAAAGCAAATATGAAAATTTCTAAAGGAAAGAAAGTGACATCTAGAAACATTATACCCCACCAATTCATCATTCAAGTATAAAGACGACAAAGAAGCATTTAACTTGCCAGAATTTGGGAAATATAGTTTCCATGAGCCCTTCTTGAAGAAATTCCAGGAAAAACAACTTCAGCCAACCAAGAGATGAATACAGAAGCTATGGCAAAAGAACTGGTATCAAGCTTTGAACCCATCATTAAACTGTAGAATTAAGACTAAAACAAACATGAAAATTATAGTCACAAAAGAAACAATAAATATTAGAAGTACCTGATAAAGAAATGCTATAATTAACAAAAGCTAAGAAAGAAGAGAGAAGGTAGGAAAAAATTTAAGCAAGCAGATTTCCTATTATATAACATTGGGCCAAAACGGTTAATAATGAAAAGTTGAAAAATTATATTATTGAGGCAAGAATATTTAAAGGCCAATATTAGAAAACTACTAACCTATTAACTAAAATAATCAAATAAATCTTAAGATTTTTTTTACGGTAATCATATTAACAGTTAACATGTTTTGAGCAATTACTATACGCTAAGAACTCTAAGCACCTACTACATATTATCACATTTAATTCTCAAAACCTGATTATCATTCCCATTTAAGAGATGGGAAAACTGAGGCACTGAGGTTAAGTAACCTATTTAAGGCCACAAAATTCAACATGGCAGAGCCCAGATTTGAATGCAGGAAATGTGACTCCAGGGCCAGGATTTTAACCTACACTCTAAATATACAGTACAAGTGTCTTGTAGCTTAAACACAAGTCAAGTGCACCCACACACACAACATAATACCTCCTCTCTAATTATGCAATCTCTCTTCCCAGCCCCTGAAGTTTCAATCTTCCCTAAAAACCTATGATTCCACTGACTCCTGGTATTTCTCCTTCTCCTGCTTTGTAGTAGCTTTCCCTGCCCTTTAAATGTTAACGTTTCTCATTCTTAACTTTCTACCACTCTTCATATCCTCTCTAGTCTAACATACATCCACCATATGTATTGGTAAAAGTAGATAACTTGCCTAAATCACTTCCATTAAAATCCTTTTTCAACTCCAGAAAAACTAACATATTCAATTGTGAAATGATTCTATACATTTAATGATCCAAAGGATACCTAAAACAACTTCCTAAAAAAGCAATCCTCTACTCTCTCTTCCTCTGCAAGTGTTCACAAATACCTTTGTCACCACAATCTATCCAGTTACTCAACAGCAAAACAAGATAAATTCCTCCTTAGAATAAATAGTGGGGTCTCAAATTAGAAGACCCTGTAGTGGTTCTCAACCTGTGGATTGGGGCCCACAGGTTGAAAGCCGCTGCTGTAGAGCCTAAGCCCATCGGAAAACACAGATACTTACATTACGACTCATTAACAGGAGCAAAATTACAGTTATGAAGGAGCAACGAAAATAATGTTATGGTTGGGGGTCACCACAACATGAGGAACTGTATTAAAGGGTCGCGGCATTAGAAAGGTTGAGAACCACTGCTCTAGAGCAAGGGGGGACCTTTTTTCTGTCAAGAGCCATTGTATATTTAGAACATCATTCACAGGCCATACAAAATTATCAACTTAAAATTAGCCTGCTATATTTGATCAAACACATCCTTAATGCCTTGGCAGGGCCAAATCAAATTATTTCTGGCTGGACATTCCCCATCCCTGCTCTAGAGGAACTAGAAGAGACCTAGAATGGGTAAAATGTAGTGAATGATGGAGAAAATGCCATGAAGTAAGGTTAGAGAGAGAGAAAGACGAAGTCCTCCTAAGGAATTTGGGTTATATTCTAAGTGCAAAGAGAAAGGCACCTAAGGCTTTATAAAGGTCACCTTCCAGTTGTTTTGAAAAAATAAATTAGAGGACTAACAGGGAAGGCAGGAACATCACCTAAGAGACTATAGAAGACAAACAGGTGAGAGGTGATAACTTGGATGGGATGTGTTGGGGGTGGAGGGTGTTTAAGAAAATATGGAAGCCACTCAAGGTTTTAAAGCAGATAACTGGTGTTTTTTTGGAGGGTAGGGAGTGTAATGTGTGTGTGTTTAGAACAATTAAGGCTACATCTAATACTGACCAGAAATTGTATCATCTTATGTTACACATGTTGTCACCTTTATCAGTATGACATAGTACACATAATATAGTGAGCAAGACTCATAAGAAATTAAATATTAACTCCACAAATTTTTGTTTTTGTGTTGTTTTCTTATTTTAGTCATAGCAATGATTTCACTATCCAAATAATTTATTTTACAAAGATAATACCCCGTTTCCCCGAAAATAAGACACTGTCTTATATTAATTTTTGCTCCCAAAGATGCGCTAGGTCTTATTTTCAGGGGATGTCTTATTTTTCCATGAAGAAGAATATGGTACACATTTATTGTTAAATGAAAATAAAGGAAATTTATTTCCTGTGTATGGTATAGTGGTACGGTAGTTGTCAACACAAACCAGACAAACTGTGAATCCTACAGTATCAAGAATTTACTCATTTATTCAATGACAATCATGTCATCATCTTCTGGAACATCATCATAACAATCCAATTCCTGAATTTCCTGGTGAATTTCTTGTGACTCCATTTCTTTCAGAATCAGTGGACCAAATCTCTCATGTTTAGCCTAGGGGGGCCTTATTTTCGGGGGGATGCCTTATATTTCACTCAGAAGGAAACCTGTAAGTAGGTCTTATTTTCGGAGGATGTCTTATTTTCGGGGAAACAAGATATTAAATGCATTCACAGGCAACAACAGGTTCCCAGGTTCTTTGAATGGTGCTATCTTCAGTCACAAAAATATTCCCTATATGCTATCCAGAAATCACCTGAAATTGATTTCAATACTTCCAATTAGAAGATAGCAAGGTACAACTTAGCCAAGAGCCAAAAGACTTAAAAGTGAGATAAACCATCTTACTTATAAGCAATTTGCTTTTATCAAAACATTTAATGACTCAGACATCTGACTAAACTAAGTATACTGATTAGTATGGGTATATGAAATAACTTCTAAGGGCATTCTAGAACTTCTAAATGTGGCCATAGCTTTGGGGTATGAAGAATGGAAGTAGATGATAACTTATTGCTCTAGCAAAAGTTTGCTTGGTGAACTTCTAATCACTGCTTCCACATATGCTCATAATCAAAAATATGCTTACCTTCTTTAAAGCTTCCTGTATCATGCCAGACTTCTCCTTTAGCAGGTCTACAACACAAAGAGCCTCATCTTCAGAAAATACCATAGTCTTCAAGGACAGAATAAAATCTTTAAATTTCATTTCAGCATTTTCTAAAAACAAAATAACAGTTGGCATTTAAAAGACACAGCAACTTCAGTAACGCATCAAAAATTCTTAACCCAGAAAATAACCAAGACAAAACAGACTTATATTGCAAGTCAAATAAAAATAAATATTCTAGACAAGAGAGAGCAAGTGTTTAAGGATCTTTAATGTAATATAGAATAATGAATTACATTAACTGACAATTTGCTCAAACTGTACAATACTTGGTTCATCTACCATGACTACATTTAAATTCAAAAATTTAATGCTAAGCTGCCAATATGCCCTCACTTCAAAAACAATCACTCAAATCTCTAGAATGTGAAATTATCTATACTAGATTTGTTCACAAATATTCTCATTTAACCTTAATTCTTGTGACATATAAACCAAATTTTACAGGTGAGGAAATAAGATCGAGGATATTAAAAGGAAATCTGATTTTTCAAATACAAGAAATCCCAAAATTTAGAAAAATTCATATATCAGACATCTGACTTACCCATCTCAATTCCTTGAGTGCTCTAATATTAGGCATCAACTTACTCTTCCTAAAAGCAACTGCCACCTCTTAGACCCAAAAAAGCCCAGGGCTTTAGTATGTCAGCTGCATCGTTAAGTTTAAACAGGCACTGTGTGCATGAGTGGGGCCAAAGTGAAAGTACTCTGTGCTTTCCACTCAACTTGACTATAAACCTAAAACTACTCTTAAAAAATTAGTCTATTAAGAAATTAACAAAAAAGTAAAAGAAATTAACCAAAGAACTTGTATGCATATACGTGTAACTCATGGACATAGAAAATAGTGTGATGACGGCCTGGGGGGTAGAGGGTAAGGCATGGGGGGGTAGAGGGTAAGGCATGGGAGTGGATGGGGGAAAGTGTCAATGGGGGGAAACAGGGAGACAGCTGCAATACTTTCAACAATAAAGTAAAAAATAATAATAATAAAAATAAAAGGTAGTTGTGAATTAGCACAAAAATTTTGTGTAAGACAATCATAAAGGGAAAAGATCACCAGTCACCAAAATAGTGAGTCCTTGCACAAATCAAAGCCAGTGTCCAAAAACTGAGGTTAGACTAGAAAACTACCATTAATCCTTTACTACAGTATTCTTTTACTCTTTCACAATTCATTGCTTCTATGAGAAAATGTACTCAATTCCATCAGAACTAAAAAATGTGTTTTTTTCAATACAATAGATTGCATCATTCTGTATGTTACCTTTGTCAGGTTCCACCCTCAGTTTTTTAGTCCCCATTTTCTGGATTCCTTCAACTTGGTCAGGTTTAATCAGATCAATAACCTCTCTCTTCACCATAGGATTTGAGTTTGCATTATCCATCAAAGGAATATAAGTAGTTGCATGAATAAGAGGTTCATCCACCAAAACTGCAATTTAGATTCAAAAAAATTATAATTAGTATTTTTAAGCACATTTAAGTTTAATGATAAATGCAGTAATTTTCAAATCTCTAATACTACCTAAATTTGGCTTTAAATTCCTATTTTATCATTTAAAAAGTCAAAACACAGTACCAGTTCAATATTATTTCATAGTACAGTAAACATTTAAATCATCTAAAACTTTGCAGCATATCTATTTCTAATAATATCTGAAAACTTCTTTTATACATCCTTTACATTTTAGCTGGTTCTCATTTTTTTTGTTTTAAGGATCCATTTACATTTAATTAGTGCTCAAGAAAAACTTAAATTTTTCTTTTTGTTGGTTCTTTGTTGAATATAAGTGATAATTCCTAATTGAGTTCCTCTGACTTGCGAAATACAAAAATCAGTCATTGTTCCTTTCTTCCCTCTTCTAATAGGTATGCCTCCAATTTCTGTGGCACATCTTACGACATTGGTTAAAATTTTCAGAACAACGTTAAAAGTGGAGGAAGAGACATAGCCGGTTTGGCTCAGTGGATAGAGCGTCAGCCTGGTGACTGAGAAGATCGCAGTCTGATTCCAGTCAAGGACACATGCCTGGGTTGCAGGCTCAATCCCCAGTAGGAAGAGTAGCTAATCAATGATTCCCTCTCCCTCTCCCTTCTTCTCTGAAATCAAATAAAAATATATATATAAAGTATTATATATAAAATATATATGTAATTTTTTTAATTGGAGAAAGAAAGTCTCCTTACTTTGTATTAATGTGAAGAACTCTATGAGTATGAACAGTAAAGTGTGGTGTCTGTTGGTCAGAGATACTAACTTCTACATTTATATGGGAATCTCTCTATATTCCTACTTTTTTGAAAAAATGGGCATGCATAGTTCTTTTATTTAAAACATAATGTTTAATGTTATGAAATATTTTTGCATAATATTTTTCTATACTTGATTGCTTGGTATGTGTTGTAATTTTAATGTAAATAATAGAACTTAACTTTTTCCTTTTCCAATTTTACTATTTTGTAGCACTAGTTGATACCACAGCCCATTACTTAAAAATCACTGTTTAGCCGAAACCGGTTTGACTCAATGGATAGAGCTTCGGCCTGCTGACTGAAAGGTGCCGGGTTCGATTCCTGTCAAGGGCATGTACCTTGGTTGCGGGCACATCCCCAGTAGGGGGTGTGCAAGATGTTTCTAACTCTATCTCTCTCTCTTCCTCTCTGTAAAAAAATCAATTAAAAAAATATTTTTAAAAAATCACTGTTTAAACTACATAAATTTCACAGTTAAGTTTCTCCTGAATAATTCTAAACATATAAAAATTGCACCACCAGCGGCCAGGCCTAGAGCAGCAGATCCCAAAGCAGCAGGGTCGGGAGCAGCCAGGCCCAGAGCAGCAGCAGCTAAGCCCGGAGTAGCCAGGCCGGGAGCAGCCAGGCCCAGAGCGGCAGGGCCCGGAGCAGCCGGGCCCAGAGCAGCCGGGTCGGGAGCATCCAGGCCCAGAGCAGCAGCAGCCAGGCTGGGAGCAGCCAGGCCCAAAGCAGCAGCAGCCAAGTCCAAAGCAGCCAGGCCGGGAGCGGCCAGACCCGGAGCAGCCGGACCCAGAGCAGCCGGGTCGGGAGCAGCCAGGCCCGGAGCAGCCGGGAGCGGCCAGGCCCGGAGCAGCCAGGCCCGGAGCAGCCGGGTTGGGAGCAGCAAGGCCTGGAGAAGCAGCAGCCAGGCCCGGAGAGGCAGCGACCAGACCCGGGCAGCTGATTGTGGATCGGAACAGAGCAACAGAGGCCAGGCCCGAAGCAGCCGGGCTGGGAACAGCTCGCTCCTCACCTGCCCATGCCCCAGGGCCGCTTCTCAGACATGGCTGGAAACTTTTGGGGGAACTTGAGGGTCTGCTGAATCAAATGATGAAGGCTTAGATCTGGATGTGTTGAGTTAGTATAGCGCTGGGGTGTTGATCTGTGAGTGCCTTGTGTGGGGTCTGGATGAGGTTGGTTGATCTATTTGGAAGTGTCTTTTGTGTGAAGTGTATCCTTGGGCATGTGGAAGTATTATTGATTTGAGAAAATACTAAGTAATTGATTTACTACCTGAAAAATTTAAAGTTCTGAAAGTTTAAGGTCTCTTGCCAAAAAGAGGTTTTAAAGCTAAAACCTTAATTTCAATGGAGAAAGGGGAGGACAAGCCCTTCCCACCCAGAACAGGTAATTCAATTCCAGCCAGCAGCTATCTTTAAACAATGTGTCCATTTACATTTGAATGGCTACACCTTTTGATAGCCTAAGGGCAAATTAACATGTAAACAAGTTTGCTTCTCAGTTCCCAGGGCAGAAAAAACAAGGTTTAAAATTATTAGATTTTAAAATTTATTCTTAAAAATATAAAAGTTTATTAATTTAAAAAAAAAAACCAAGGAAATCAAAAAATCTGATGAACAATATTAACTGTTGATTATAATAGAATCAGAGATACGGGAGGGGAGTGGACTGACAATTCTCGGGAGGGGGGGGTGTGTGGATGCTGGAAGAGACTGAACATAAACTGTGCACCTATGGATGAGGACAATGGGGGGTGGGGAAAGGGCAGAGGGTGGGGTGGGAACTTGGTGGAGGGGGGAAGAAATGAGAAACCTTTGTAATAATATGAACAATAAAGATTGATTAAAAAAGAAATATAAATTGGTAGTGTCGGGGATATAAAGTTCACCAAAGAGAATATTGTGAAAATATTGTAATAACTTTGTATGGTGCCAGGTGGGTACCTGAATTATTGATAGGGGAAAGGTAATCATTTTGTAAATCATATAAATGTCTAACCACTTTCTTTTCACCTGAAACTAAAATAAAGTAATATTGAATATAGCCGGGACCGGTTTGGCTCAGTGGTAGAGCGTCGGCCTGCGGACTGAAGGGTCCCGGGTTCGATTCCGGGCAAGGGCATGTACCTTGGTTGCGGGCACATCCCCGGTGGGGGGTGTGCAAGAGGCAGCTGATCGATGATTCTCTCTCATCGATGTTTCTAACTCTCTATCTCTCTCCCTTCCTCTCTGTACAAAAATCAATAAAATATATTAAAAAAAAAAAAAAAATAAAAAAAAAAATAAAATAAAGTAATATTGAATATCAAAAAAAAAAAAAAAATTGCACCACCACATTTAATTGGATACTTCCCATATATACATGCAAATTATATTTAGGAAATATTTGGGAATATAAAGTAATGACAGATTAAGCTAATGTTGTCAAGCATAATCCTTAAATGGTATTAAAAAGTATATCTCAGAATCCTTTTCTTCTATAGAGTTTGTATGCCATTTCACTATTTTCAAAACTTAATTAAGAATGAGAATATATTTAAACTATAAATACTTCTTTATAACAAACTTATGCCCTGTCTGTCAAAGTACTATAAAGCCACAAAGCCAAAGAGAATCCTGGACATGCATTAGTATCAAAGCTATTATAGTATTCATTCAGCTGGAAATTAAAGAATATGTGAGGTCTCTAGGGTCCTTCTCATAACGTACTGCTATAGAATTAGTATTTATAAAATATATATCTACACATTTTACCATGTTCTGTCTTTTGCTTCTTTGATGAAACTTTCTTCTTTCCTGATCCACTTTCTTGTTTAGTCTCTTGGTGGAGGGGTAATGATTCTTGCTTTTTCAAAGGTGCCATAGGAGTTTCCACCTTTTTATCCTGATCATCTTTATTAAAAATAAATAAGAAATCATATTAAAAATAAAGAAAAATAATCAGAAAAGATACAATAATTCATAGAATGCTTTATCACTCAAATGTAAGCTCTGATATATATAACTTGTCATTGTAGCTTCTTACTTTGTTACACTTGCTCTTTAATTTCATCAAGAATTCCAGTACTTGCTTCTTTTATAATCCGTTTTTCAGTCATTCCTAATCTATCATTTCTTCTGTGACTACTATAGCTCATTTCCTCAACTTAACTTTGGAAAGTAATTTCTTTGATATACTCTGCCTATATCAAATACTGTCCTATGTAATTTGTACTCCCTTTTGGCCAAAGATGTCTTTCTAAAACATAAATCTGACTTTAGTGTAAACTAACCTGACTGAAAGTCTTCAACAATGGCTAAACTAACATCCCAGCTCCTTATCACAGTATATGAACTAATCACTGCATACCTTTTCAGCTTTGTTTCCTACCACTCCCTACACCTCATACTTCATGGTTCAACAATACACTGCATTCTTTTTATCGTGAGGATATCTTTTCTTCATTAATTTCATCAAGTAGGATGCAAGGAGTGGGAGGGTAAGGAGAGAAACATTAATGTGAGAGAGACACATCAACTGGTTGTCTCCCACACATACCCTGACTGGGACAGTTACTGAACCTGCAACCCAGGTATGTGCCCTTGACAAGGAATCAAACCCTCGACACTTCCATGCTTGGGCCGATGCTCTAACCACTTAGTAACCGGACAGGGCAATACACTGTATTCTTATGCCTTTATGCCTTTACACATAATATTCTGCCAATATGAAAAAAGACCCCACTATTTGCTTGGTGACATAATTCACCCTGAAGACCCAGCTTAGGCACTCCCTCCTCTGTAAAGCTTTTTTCCCGCCCCGGGTCTCCATAAATACTTGTTTAGACCTCTGTTATTCTATACTTTACACATCTCTTATAAAAATCACATTTTATTATTGGCTTATATGTCCTTCTTCCCTCTTCTTGTAATACCTAATCCTCACCCGTTCCCAGCTACCCAAATAAACTAGCTAGTCTTTATTCAACCTTTTAGATTAATTTCAGTAATTATATGAACTAATTGGCCGATATAGAACTTCTACACTGGTTTAGATATACATAGATCATTATAGATAACTTTTTATTTTATAATATTTACTAAAGACCCAGTACACAGACACAAACACCAGTGGAGTCCCTCAGTCTGGCCTGGACCCTCTCGCAATCTGGGATCCCTCGGGGGATGTTGGGACCGTCCAGGCCAAGGGACCCAAATCCACGCACCAGGCCGGTTTCAGCCTGATCCCCACAGGCCAGGCCAATGAACCCCACTGGAGCACAAATCCATGCAACAGGGCTCTAGTATGCATATAAGATCTTTGGTTAATTTCTTCCTGCCCTCCCCCCTTCTTTCTGAGATTCATCAGTCTTTTCCATGTTTCCATGCCTGTGTATTGAGCGTCTGCCCCCTGGAGGTCGAATGATCAAACGGTCACTTAGGCCTTTATATACATAGATGTTTGTATCTACAGCTAGCATGTAAATACGTTGAAAATGCACAATTCATCTCTGTAGTCTTGGTATCTAGTATAATGCCTACCATAAAACAGGTGTCTACTAAATATTTGCAAAATCATTCAAGGGTTAAAAGAGATATCTGATTTATCTTATCTTTAATTCTTATCACACTGATTAGACAGCATTGGTTGAAATTAGTAAGTTTCTAACTGTTGGTACTTACAGATCCTTTGTAGTGTTAATAAAAGAGTTTGATTTTATGTTTCTATTAAAGGTCTTCCCAATATTTGTAATGTGAAGTTTAATTTTAAATGTTGTTTTATGATCAATACCAATTATTTCTAACATTAATTGCCTTCACTAATGTTAATGAAGGCAAACACATAGTAAAAAGGATAATGATTTCATTTCAGACTCAGCATTTAACATTTTATATGCACCTCTAATACATTATTAGGTGTACATTTCAAGCTCTAAAGTTCTTAAAAACAAATACTATCATCTAATAAAGTTAAATAGATTATAATACCGCTTCCATTTTTAGACTTCTTCTGTCCTGGTTTCTTCTTTGAGGCAGTTGCTTCAGAGGGGGGGGTGGGCTGTTTAGAAACTGGGACAGGTTCTACTTTTTTGCTTGGAATCTTTGATACATCACTTTCTTTAGTGACCTGCTCTTCTAGTACCGGCTTGTGTTTCTTTTCCTTCTTTTTTCTTTCTCTAACACTATTAGAAGTTTCAACCACATTCAGTGGAACAGGTGCAAGTTGCTCATCTTCTACAGCCAAGGCATCAGATAACTTAAAGTCCCGGGGTACACTCTCAGAATCGGATTCATGAAGATTCCCATTCTGAATTTCTTTCTTTTTATTCTTTTTCTTTTCTGCCTTCTTTTTATCTGGCTTGGTAGGAATAAGCTTTTGTTCTCTCTTCTGTTTTGCAAGAACTTCATCATATAATGTTTCTTTCATGAAAAGCCAGAAGAAGAGGAAAATTACTGTAATAACTACTGAAGGAATAAGAACAATAAAATATGTTGACTCATAAAACTCCATCATGCTTTTGTTAATGTGATCCTATAAAGCCTAAAAGAAAAAAAGAATAAGAAACCTTAGTTAGTCTTATAAAAACTAAATATATAAAACCTCTGCTCTTTCAAATGGTATTTCAGATCTAACTTGATCTATAAATCTAATCAGGTTACCTGTTTAAATCACATATTTGATTACCTTATCAGGTACAGTTCAATTACACTGTGGAAGAAAAATGTGTGGTAATTAAAACAAGTGGAACACATCCTTCCATTTTTCAATGTGAAAAGATGCTATAGGAGGAAAAAACGTTAAGACATCCATTTTCCCCCCAAATAGCCACTATTAATACTTTATATGTACTTTTATTGTACAATATTCATGAATACTACTATATGTGGAAATAAAGTGGCATTAACTACTATCAATACAATGGATATAACTAAAAGTACTATACTCTTAGTGAAAAAAAACAGAGGTGGTTCATTACTCCTTTTAGAGAGTTGAGCCCATTCACAAACTGCTAGCACCTTTATTCCACCAAATAGTATCTATGCCATAAGGTTGAGAGAATTAAATATGATACTGTACATAAAGTATTTACAGAACCTTACAGCAAATAAGCACTCTAATGTTACCCATCACTTATGTAGCAACTACTAAGATAACATAAGCAAGGCAAATGAACCTCACGCCAGTTAAATAAGATAGGTAAGTTCACACATATGTTAAGTGGCAATAATTAGCAAAGCCAAATTCTAACCCAAGCTCTTCAGACTCCTTGGCACCTACGCTCTTTTCACTATATCATACATTATATAATAAAAGAATTGAGCAGTAAGAAACTTGCATAAAAATCTTAGGTTTAATAAGGTCTAAGACTAATAACTAATAACTTCCAGCTTATTTCAAGACTGTTTCCTTGACAATTTAAATGACTTGTTAATAACTGCCACACATTTTCCAGGGAGCATGTAGAACATCAAGACTCTTGAAAGACAATATATACGAAAATCGCCAAAACCGGTTTGGCTCAATGAATAGATAAGAGTGTCGGCCTGAGGACTGAAGGGTCCCAGGTTTGATTCCGGTCAAGGGCATGTACCTTGGTTGCGGGCACACCCCCAGTACCGGGTGTGCAAGAGGCCGCTGATCGATGTTTCTCTCTCATCGATGTTTCTAGCTTTCTATCCCTCTCTCCTCCTCTCTGTAAAAACTCAATAAAATATATTTTTAAAAATAATAATAAAATAATAAAATAAAATAAATTAAAAAATATATATATATATATATGTATGAAAGTCACGTAAATTCTGATAACTAGTTACAGGTGTTACTCAGAGTGAAAATAAAGAAACGTAGATAGGTGACATTCTCCTCTAGTAATGACAGGCAGCTAGGATCTTATTGCTTCTATAAAGCTTACTCAATATGGAAGCCTCTTTAAAAAACCTCTCACTGAATTAAATGACATTTCTCCCCTAGGAAGAAACACATGGACTGGTGTCTACAAAAAGCTAATGATTCTGGCTAGCAGTTTATTCTCCTGTGTAGTCATTTATTTATTTTTGTGTGTGTTTTTATTGATTTTAGAGAGAGAGGAAGGGAGGAGCGATATAGAAACATCAATAAGGGAGAAACATCAATAAGGAAGAAACATCAATAAGGGAGAAACATCAATGGGCTGCCTCCTGCACACCCTGTACTGAGGAAAGAGCCCAGGGCATGTGCCCTGATCAACCTCTTGATGCATGAGCTGACACTCATCTACTGAGCACACCAACCAGGCTGTAGTCATTTATTTTTATAAATCCATTAAATATGAGAATATAAAGACAAGAGCTGTTATTGCTATGAAAACTAAATTAAATCCTTTGGAAGGCCTTGATGAAGTAGAAAAATCTAGAATGATGACTTTGAACTTGAAAAGTTTCTAGTGGCCACATTTTCATTCCCCTTTAAAGAAACCAATAGTAGAAATCATCAACAATGCTTTTAGGGTATCCTATCTAATAAAGAAGGAACATACAAATTGACCATCACACCATCACAAAGATGGCGTGCCCATAGCCAATAAGGAGAGAATATGTTAATTGATTGTCACGCCCTCAAATATGGTTTGTACCCCCAGCCACAAGATGGCGGTGCACAGCGAGGCACAGGCAAGCCTCAGATGGCAGCTGCCTAGCCGATGCCCAAGGCACAGGAAAGCCTCAGATGTCGGCTGCCCAGCCACCCAGGACCACCCAAGGTTCAGGTAACCAGAGCTGGCCAAGGTTTGTATTGCCAGCAGTGGCAGCAGCATAGGTGTGACAGGGGCATCGTCTTCCTCTGATCACTGGGTCGCCTCCAGCCCTTGAGGGCTCCCAAACTGTGAGAGGGGGCAGGCTGGGCTGAGGGGACCCCCCCCCCCACTCCAGTGCATGAATTTTCATACTCTGGGCCTCTTGTGGTTTACAGAAAAAGATCAGAAGACACCCCCAACTCCCAATTCAAAGACAAAAGATTGAGCCAAAAAATAAGACAAATAAAAGTGTTTTAAGTTAAAATAAAATATATAAGGCATACAGATACTTTCAATTCCTGCTTTAAGCAACCTAACCAATGGTCCTAATCACACAGGGCTGGGGAAAAGGTTTCCATCACACTCTAACATCATTCCATCCACCAAGGGGTCCCCAAAAGCTCCAATACCACTTTTCTCCTGCTCTCTGACTAACTGAAGTTGAAAACTATATGAGCAAACTGAAAACTACATGTGTCCAAGAATGAGGTATCCATCACAGTAAGGAACTGCAGGATAAGGATTTCATTTCAGATCTTTATTGAGCACATGCTATGTGTCAAGCACTGCCCTAAACACTCAATAAACAAAACAGACAAAAAGTCCTGCCAGCATAGAGGTTACATTATAATATGTGTTTGGGGCAGAGAGAAGGAACAATAAATATAATCAAATAGAATTTACATAGTTTGTTGGAAGGTGGCAAGTGCTATGAAGAAAATAGAGCAAGATATAGATCATATGTAGGGGAATGCAGCTTTAAATAAAATAGTAAAGTAAGATAGACCATTTGAGCGGAAACAGGTTTGGCTCAGTGGATAGAGCGTCAGCCTGTGGACTGAAAGGTCCGGGTTCGATTCCGGTCAAGGTTGTACCTTGGTTGCAGGCACATCCCCAGTAGGTTGATGATTCTCTCTCATAGATGTTTCTAACTCTCTATCCCTCTCTCTTCCTCTCTGTAAAAAATCAATAAAATATATTTAAAAAAAAAAAAAAAAAAAAAAAAAGACCATTTGAAAAGCAAAGATTTGAAGGAGACATGAGAGTCAGCCGTGCAAATATCCTAGGGGGGAAATGGTCCAAGGAGGGGAAGCAGTCAGTGGAAAGGCCCTAAGACAGTTAGTTGGACTGTAATGAAACAAGCAGGGGGAAGAGTAGCAACTAAATTAAGACAGGTACGGGGTGATGGGGAAAGTAGGAGTGCCCAGCTCTGGAAGGCTTTGTAGCCATACAGACTTCATCTTTTACTCTGCATATGGAAAGGCCTACAGGATTTTGAAGAGAAGTGATATGATCTGGTTACTATGTTGAAAAAGACTGTAGGGAGCCAGTGTAGGTAGAAGCAGGGAGACCAGTTGGAAGACTAACTGCAGAAATCCAGGCAAGTGATAAGAATGGCTTGAACCAGCCTAGTGAGCAGTGGAGTAGATTAGAAGTGATTTAATTCTGAATACATTTTTAAAATGAGACAGTCAGAATGCCAGGTTGAAAGAGATAAGTCAGGGATATTTCAACAGATTTTTTGCCTGAATGTTGGATGGAACAGCATCAAATGAGTAAATCAGACTGCACTTCAGGCAGGTTTAAAAAGGAAAATGGAAGTTTAGTTGACTACAGTAAAACCTCAATATAAAGGACTAATTCAGGCAAGGGGAGTCCATTAAAGCCAAAAGTCCATTAGGTTTTCCAAATGCATATGTTAAAAAATTGACAAATTAGTTGGTTTACCTGTTTTTACTTATGTGACACATTTGTGTAAATAAAACTAAGTATGTATGAACTTTTAATTTCACAGAAAAGTTTTCTATATTTTTTACTTAATTTAAAATTTATACTGAATAGGTCTAGGAAATGGGTGCATTCACCAGTCACTGAGAGTCCATGGTTGTGGTGTGACTTAGCACAGAAGGAAACATCACTTAAAATTGCATCAGAAAGTGAAGTCAGGAGACAACAGAGCCAATTAGCATGCACTATGCAGTATGATATGTGCTAATTGTTACCCATCATTGTTTATAAGCAGTGATTCTTGGAATTAAATATGTATTTATACATATTTAATATTTATTTATAATGGTGAAATTATATTTATTTATATTGGTGAAATTATTACGCAATATAAATAATATTTATTTATATTGGTGAAATTATTACGCTGTTTTTTCCAACACATGACCTATTCACTAAAATTTGTTTAAAATAACTTAATAACAAAAAAACCCTGTTAATTTAATGAGCAAATCTTGGTTAAAAGCACTTAAAAATTAACAGTGTATTAATTTTCACATATCACATCCGAACCAGAAATTTTGTGTGATAAATCCAAAGTCCTTTATATTGAGGTCCACAAAATCAGGGGTTTACTATACTTAACATCCAAGGTGAAATGTGGAGCAGGTTGTCTGGAGTGCAGGAGGAAGTCTGAACTGGAGATATAAAAATGGCAGCCATAAGCATATAGGTATTAAAAGCTGTAACATGCGATGAGATCACCAGGGAAGTATTAAAAAAAAAGTCAACCAAGGACTAAACATTTCAACCTTAAGAAAAGAGAAATCATAAAGACAGTATTAACAAAGCAATTAGTAAGAAGAGAAACCAAAAAAAGCAATGCCCTGAAAGGAGGGGAGTGTAAAGTTTCACTTAGTACAAACCACTTTGTTGAGACCAGATTTAAGGCTATGTGTTCTTAATCAGCCCATAGTAGTTAAGGTGATAGGTAAAATACTAATTTTATCTTTAA